GGGGGGGCAGATGGATGGGGTCTAGGCTTCTTAGTCATTCTTTGCAGGCGGTTTTAGCAACAAAACAAGGAAAAACGCGTCATTGGTCTAGGGGTTAGGATTCAACTCTTCCATCGCACCGGTGAAAAGTTGAGGCCCGGATTCGAGTTCCGGATGACGCATGTTTTTTTTTTTTTGTGGCTTTTTGCAACGAGACTGCGTCGGCCTCATTTTACATAACCTCTACGGTTTAGGAGTAAATGAAGTCATCTGAGTTTCTCTTTTGGTTTCTTTTCTTTTTTGTCTTTCTATCTTTTCCCTTTGTCCTCAGGGAGGATTGAGTTGACTTTTCGGGACGAGGTTGGTTTGAACGCTTACACGTATACCTAGCACAGCGAGGCCCAGCTACCCGGGAGAAATATAGGCTTAGAGGAGATACTACATACTAGTAGTATTGCTTTTCTCCCCTGGCGTGCGCATATGGTGATGGAGCTACACTGTGGACCAAGATCTTCTCTCTCTCTCCTGCGGATCACTCTTTGCTTTGTATGGGGCACTATCGTGTACAACATCACTCGCCTGGTTCCCCGACTCCGTACTCGGGCATCCACTTCCCCATACCCAGGCTGAAGTTCCCATCACCGCTTCTTGCATCAGTCGACCAAAACTCCACTGCCCATGCTTCTTCTTGCCAAGACGATTACCAGCATGCCAGTACCGATACCCGTACGGGGAAGCAGGTCACACATCAATCCGCCGAGGAACATGGCTCTGCCGTGCCGGATGGCGTCAGGCACAAGGGGGCAGCACATCGGTATCAAGGGTCAACTGCTATATATATCATGCAGCACGCGCAAGTCACATGCCCTCTCCATCCTTAGTCAACAGAGTCTACTGCCGTGCCGCTCACAGGTCGTATAAGAGATTGGGACAAGTGCCTCGGGGCAGTATTATGTATGTATAAAGTGTATACGAGTGAGTATATCAGGACCGTCGGAAATCCAAAACGCCAAAACGCCGCTGCCTTAAGATCCAAAGTCACGGAACATACGAGCCCCCCGGCTCTCCGCTCTAGCTGCGCAAAGCATCTAACCGGTTCCTCATCTGGTCCATCATTGCCTCTGCATCTTCCTCGTCCTCCTCTTCCTCCGCCGCCGCCACCGGCTTCTGCGGCTCGGGCACCGGAGCGGCAGGCAGAGATGGCTCCTTTCGGGCAAGGACCTCTCCCAGGATCTTTTCAATCTCGCCCTCGGCCTCTTCGTCCTCTCCCAGCAGGTCAACGTCCTCGGGCAGCGTCTCGTCAACCATCTCCTCAATGATGCCCGCCTTCATCAGCTCGACGCTGAGCTCGCGCATGGTGCCGGACAGCTCGGGCAGCCGGATGAGGTGGTTGACGTCCTTCATGATGCCGACGCTGGCCCGGATCGAGCCCTCAATCTTGCGGACGGCAAAGGCCTCGTTGACCTGCATCTGCACCGAGTTGAGCTGCGCCTTGGACGTGATGAGCCGCCCCGACGTCTTGCGCGCGCGGACGAGCTCGCGCGCAAAGTCCCGGACTTCCTTCTGCGCCTGCTTGGCTCTCGTCGGGTCTCGCTGGGCGCGCTTGTCCGCCGCCAGGATGAGGTTCTTCGTCTTGATCTCGACCTGCTTGACCTGGGCGATGTCGCGATCGAGTTTCCGGATGTTGGACCGGATCATGGCGTTGCATTTTCGGGCCTGTTTTTGTTTAGGTGACGAAGGGGTCAATGGCAGATTCTAGATGGAGGCTGAAGCGGAGCGTCCGTACCTGTGCCTGGGGGTCGGGCTTTGCGAAGAGGGATTTGAACGCCTCCATGGCTGGCGCCGAGTGCTGTCCAAGTCCCAAGGGGGGTGAGGAGGGAGGGAGGAGAGGACGATTGGCGGGAAAGAGATGATGGCTGTGTGTTGCGGGCTCGGAGCCCAATGCTGATCAAGACTCGAGGCTGGCTGTCCGTCTCATCCGTATGCGTGCGCTGAAAGAATAAGGAGGCCGAAAGCACAAGGACGGCGCTGGTGGAGCCCGAGGCTGTGGCCGCAAGCGATGCGTGGTGACGAGGATCTGGGTTTCGCTCGGTGAAAGGACACAAGGCGGAGAGATAGTGTAGAGGCCGCCTTGTTGGGCAAGACGCAACTCGTCACCGTGCTGGGATGAGGCTGGGGGGAGGATGCGTCAGCCACAGCGTGGCTTGAGCAGGCTACTGGCAGACGTTTTACCCCGCCGCGAACTTCTGGGGCTGGGCAGTTTGAGTTGGCGCCGAGAATGGAAGGACTCCGTTGGTAAGGTAATGGATGTTGTAACCTCGCAATGGGGCATTCGACAACTGCATGGTGATGTACAGAGTAGAGGTAATCACATTGGACTTTAGATTCAAGATCAGATTGTTGCTTTTGATCTCGACTGTCTATTCAATTGTCGAACCACGTCATGCTCGGTTCTGTTGTTCGTTCATCTTGCTGGGAGCTGAGCTTCAACCCCACAACGGGCACATGTTTGCTTGCTCAGCTCAATTTGTTCAACAACTTGCACTGCCGAAGCTGCACCTCAAGCCGGCGAGTTGTACTACTAGAATACCATCAGTTTAGCCCTTGCAGAGCGTCAGCATCAACAAGCAAGTACTTCTGATGAAGAATGTCAAGCTGGCGTGGCGCGCCCCAGCCGTCCAGCCTCTCTGGCAACGCCGCCTCGTTAGCGGGGTACCTGCTCGTTCGCATCGGCCGCCGCACTCGCGAGGGGTACCGCCGCATCGTGCCCCTCATCAGCCCTGCCGCCAAATCTTTTGCCTTCTGACGCTTTCCATAACTGCCTTGCTCGGTTTCACTCAAAGCTGCGGTGCTTCCTTTGATCCTTGACCACAGCCTGATTCACCCCAAAACCTCATCTTCAACTTCAATCCACGCACGTCTTTTTGCTTGCGCGTAACGCTTCGCGAGTTTTGCCAATCTCTCTCCAACAACTCTCTTCATCTTTCCAACCAGCTCTTTTGCTTCCAACCTCAACAAAGCTAAACCCCCGCTTCGCACGCACCATGGCCGAGACGTTGACTCCCGAAGGTGGGTTCTGATCTGTTTTGAGTAGAGCCGCGTCGTTGGTGGTTTGGAAGCTGGCCGGCGAGACACACGATGCTCGTATCAAGACGGACTTGTGCTTGCAAGCTGCGTTCCCTCCTACGCCACGCGCCTCTGCTTGCTCGAATTGCCCATCGCGGCGATGCTCGCTCGTTGAAAGTGTAAAGCTGACGCTGTCTCGGTTTCCAACCTCTAGTTCTCTGGGCCCAGCGCTCCTCTGTGTCCGACGCCTCCAAGAACTTCATCTACCTGACCATCTCCGTCCCCGACGTCCCCAAAGAAGACCTCAAGCTCGACCTGAAGCCCACCAGCGTCACCTTCACCGGCACCTCCGCCACCCTCAAGAAGACGTACCATGTCGAGCTTGAGCTGTACGCCGAGATCGACCCCGCCGAGAGCCGCGTCAACCACACTGCCAAGAACATCGAGATGAAGCTGCAGAAGAAGGAGCTCAAGGAGGAGTACTGGCCGCGGTTGCTCAAGTCTTCCCAGAAGCTGCATTTCCTCAAGACCGACTTTGACAAGTGGGTTGACGAGGATGAGCAGAACGAGGCCGCTGATGACGATTTGTCCAAGTTTGGCGACATGGGTGAGTGACTTGTCCTTCCCCCCCTTGGCACATGCTTTCTGCGCCAGAGGTGCTCTGGCTTTGTATGTACATGGCCGTTTACTAACTTGATGGAATAGGCGGCATGCCCGGAATGGGTACGTGACTTTGCAGCCTCCCACTAGCATGACTGAGGCTTCCTTTTCAACACCCCCCTTTTTCTCGAATTCGCAAAAGCTGACAAGCTTCTCTTTAGGTGGTGACTTTGGCGGCATCGATTTCTCCAAGCTGGGAGGCGGCGCCGGCGGCATGCCCGACATGAGCGGCATGGGCCTGGAGGGCATGCCCGAGTACAGCAGCTCCGGAAACCCCGACTCCTCTGACGACGATGACGACGACGAGATGCCCGGGCTCGAGGGCGAGGAGGAAAAGAAGGCCGAGGAGGAGAAGAAGGACGAGGGCGAGGCCGCACCCAAGGCGTAAAAGCAGATTTCTTGGGAGGGGGGCGCCATCATCCATTTTTAAATGAGATACACCTGGAAACGGAATCCTTGGCGATTTGACTTGGGAGTACGGGTTTCTTAAGTTCATGTACCAAGTAAAAAATTCAACAAAATCCCAGTCAAGTTGGCTTTTCATTCCCCTTTGTGTTTGTGAGCATTCTAGGCCTGAATAATGAGAATGGAGGAGGCGCCATGTGTTTTTGTAGGATCAAAGCTGCTCCTCTTCACTACACTTTGCAAAGACGACAGGCTTATTATCCTGGGCTTTTGCCAAAGCAGCAGCATACTATAATACATCATGAGATTTCCAAGAGTCCTACCTACTTCTACATACATATTCATGCATGCCTCTTTTCATTGGCTTGAGAATAACATCACCCCAAAAGGACGTCAAAAGGGAGGCATCACAGATCAGGCGAATAACTGGCAAACAAGAATTGTTCACGCTTTGAACTCACTGACCATTGTCAAGACTGGATTTGGTAACGGACAGCATTTACATTTTGCTTGGCATAGAGATAAATCAACTGTTTCGCTTATTATTACTACTCAACACACTTGCCGCACCCCAGTCGCAATACCTCAGCCCAAGATGAGAGACAAACCCAGAAGAGATGAAGAAAACAGCAAACTTGATGTCTCAAGGAATTCATGTGCCAAAGCCCCCCTACCGACCCCCGCGGAAACGTTCTGCCACAGAGGCAGCATCTCTGTGAGCAGCCTCAATGGCGCGTTATACCCCAAGCGCGTGATGAGCCAGCTCCATACTTCTTTTTTTCTCTCGTTTTATGCATTGATATCTAAACCACAAGTTCCATGCAACGCCGTCACACCCGATAGGAAATCAACCAAGTATCATTTACTACTGGAGATGTCAGTCAAGTCCGCATAACGGGTGAATCAATGTAAGCATACCATAATCTCGTCTTCCATAGCGGCGTCTCCGTTGGCGGGAGCGGGAGCGGCACCAGCAGGAGCGGCACCAGCGGCCTCGGTGTTATTGGCGCCGACAAAGTAATCCGCCATCTCCGAGTCGAGCTCTTCTTGAGTCTTCTTGGCAGGGCGGGCATTGCGGCCGCGACGCTTCTTGTTAGCGTTTGCAGCGGCTCCCTTGGCACCGCCGACCTTGGTGGCAGCCGCGTTTTGCTTCTTGCCAGCGGCAGACTTGGGCTGGACCTTGGGTTGGCTACATATAATCAGCCGTATGTTCGATATCGTGAATAAGAGAGGGAAGACAAACCTTGTGCGCTCCGCCAGAGACTTGATCGGGGGAATGACCTTGTCGGCCTGAGCAGCCCCGACGATGATTTCAATCTGTGTGTTCAATGGTAAGCTTACATCTTTCCGCTTCCTGTCTGTTTGAAGCAACCTACCTTGATGGGACGGCCGTCGACCAACAGTCCGTTCAGGGTCTGCAGCGCCCTGGAAGCACCATCAGGCTTGCTGAAGGTGACATTGGCGATGCCCCGGCTCTGGGAGTTGGGGCCGTAGGAAAGCTCAACCTTCTTGATGGGACCAACAGATTGAACAAAGTATTCCTAGGGAGCAAATCGTGTCAGTTAAGCGGAAGCGACGGGTTGCACGAGCATGTATTCTCCGACTTCGAGGTTTCGCCGATCCGGTCCTCTGAATAGCGCACGACTCCAACGGAAAAGTAGTATTTCAACGACCAGCGAGCATAGCAGTGAGCAGCAACCCAGAGCGCAACATGAAACATTGTCGACTAGGGATCCCCCGGAGGCACGCAGGTAATAGGAAAAAGCCCAAGGTGTCAGAAAAGATGCCGCATGAGTCGCCCAGAAAAGGGCCAAAGTACTGGGCGTGCCAGTGCCAAGATAGAGAACATCATACGCCCGACTGCCGACAATTGTCTCGAAAATTGACTCCAAGAAAGAAAATGCGCTCGAACAAGATGGGCCGCTGACAGTTTGAAAGAACGGGGTTTCGTGGATGTACGTGCCCACTGCTTTGCTCGCTCGATCGACCGACCGACTGACGCCAGGATTGTTTTTTGAAATTTGCTCAAAGGCATTTTCTCATCTCCACTACGCTTCAGCGTTTTTTCGGGAGAGATATGCCACGGTCCTCATGGTGTTATCGCATGCTTCGACGATGCTGACCAGGCATCCTGAGGCATATTGTGCGTAACGAGGACGGTCTCGACTTGCCAATGGCGCGCAAGGCGTTGTGAAACGAGCGCCGCCATGGGAAGGAGACTTGAGCAGTACAAGGGCTCGAGACCACAAGGGCCATATCGAAGCCTCTTAGAGGGATAGCCGTTTCGAAGAATCGAACACGGCGAGGAAGAAAACGTCGAACAAAGTCCGGAGACGAAATAGTCTCAACGGAAACATACCTTGATCTGCTTCTCCGTCACGTCCTTGGGCTGGGGGGCGTTAGCGCATGTTGTTTTGCTTGTTCGAGTGAGAGTTGGACGACATACCAGGTTGCTGACGATGACTTTGCTCTCGCCGCTAGGAGCAGCGGCCTTGAGGGGGGCAGCCTTTGAGGCAGCGCCGCGAGAGGCCTTGGCAGGCGTCTTCTGAATACCACCGGCAGGGGCGGTAGCAGCAGGGCGGCCGGTGGTTGAGCGTCGCAGGGAGCGACGGCGAACCGAGTTGCGGCGCTGAGCGGTGACGATCTCGTCAAGAGGTTTGTCGAGCTTGGTAGACATGGTGATTGTTTTGAGTGTTGACGGAGACGGGAGAGAGAAAAACCTGTCGAGTATTGGAGTCGACAGCGGCTGGTCACGATTGACAGACGGAGATGGTCAATCAAAGGGAGAAGATCAAGGTCGAAGAGTCGCGACGAGCGATTCTAGTAGGCTTAATCGAAGAGATGCGCAAGCTGGAGATCCGTGAACGGTGACTCAGGATCACGAGTGCGAGGCAAGGAAGCTTCGGCAGCGGCGCGTTGTTTGGAAGTCGTCAAACGGTCTGAAAAAGTCTGACGAGAAGAAGAGGAAGAAATGTATGCAGTGCAGTAGAGCGTGGATGTCGGAGATGGATGGGAAGTCGGGTGTGTTTTGCGGCTGGGCGAAGACACTGACTGGGCTTTGGAATGGAGATGGAGAGGAAAAGGCGAGGTTGCGAAGAGGGGAGTGCGAGCGGAAGATAAATGCCACGGGCAACGCGGGCGCAGGAACGCGTGCCTGCTGGAGGCTCAGCGCTGCCTCTGCTGTCTCTAGCCTCTAGTGCCCTGAGAAACAGGGGGAGCCGCCCTTACCCACAGGCGCCGAGGCGCTAACAGTAATACAATGTGGGCGGCGGCCACGCGGGAGTTACTTGCGCCACCGCACGCCGCAGCGCTGGGACGCTTGTACCTTTGCCGCTGGCCTCAGCTCAGTTTTCGCGATCCAACGGCAGACACACGGTCGCATCAGTCAGCCAGCGCGACTGCGGTAAGGAGATGCAGTCGAGGAATGGTGAGACAGAGTCAGCCCAGGCCACTAATGCAATAAGAAACCCCAGGCCTGGGCATAAGCGCCACGATGGCCCTCTGCGCATGCACCGGGCTGGGGGCAGTTGCTTGATAGCGGTATAACCATAGACCCCGATGGCGACATATTTTGCCACAAGATGCTCGGTGGGTATGACGATAGTGAGGTAGACGTTCTACCGGGGTCTTACTACTGGGGACATCCCTGGCTTCAATGTGGGCGTTGGTGTTTGTTAAGCAACTCTGGTCCTCTCGATATCACCGTGGAGAGAAGGACTGATGACAGCCCTTCGTTTGGAGTTTGGGAAAGAACCGCTTTCACGTCTGACCTAGGGTTGGAGTCAGACAAGGCGAAGGCCCTCGATCCATTCACTTGGGCGTGCTGGCGGAATGAGACGACGGGGATGGCGCGCTACATGCAACGCCTCTTTCCGACCATAATGCACTACAATGTTAGGCTGATGCTGGTTCCAAGACGAATGAATGCTGGCAGAAGAGAAGAAAGGGAAGCAGACATGTTTGTCACGGAAGTCGACGCCTGGTGCTGGAACCTCGAGGAGCAAGTCAATTCAGCCGGATGCGCAATCACCCTCGGAAATTGTGAAGGCCTCTCAAAGATCGATTCAGATGATCTGTTATGGTCAATTCATGCAGAGCGTTTGTATAGCTTCCCTGGCTCTTGCTCTGCTATCTGCCCCTTCGCAAGTGGTATCAAAAGCCGGCAATCCTTTAAACTCTATGCCTTGTCACACCCGCCTCCGAGCCTCTGCCGGGATCTTGCTCTGCCGTTTCGCTGATTTTGCTCTCCCAGATACTTTTTGAGTCTATCATACTTAGAATTCGCTGGTTCGGTTTCATGCTGCTTGTTGCTTCGATGCGCACGCAGTGCCATGTTCTTGTCCTGGTTTGCTCGCAACGCCTCCCCATGGTCTTCATGATGTCTTCTTGCCCGCGGCGGCTGGCGTGGGTTCTGAGTTGACTTCCAGGAAGTGGTAGACCACGATGAGAATCATGGAAATTGAGCCCAGGAAGATGGCGAGCTTGTAGAGATCGTCGTCGGAAATCATCGTGAAGGCGTTGGAGCTGGAGCTTGACCTAGGCTGAGCTAACCGGAGTATCGCAATCTGAGGGCTGTAAGAATCGCCAATTGGTCAGTAAGAGACCCATCATAGAGGCGCGACAAGACAGCTGGGGTAGAGATCCCATACTCACCTGTGGGCGCTGCGATGGTCGTGATGACAAGCTCTGGGCGCAATCACATCAGGGTTCGACTGCTGGGAGGACACCTGTAAACGAGCAGCTCTGGCTGACGACGTTGTTGCAGTGGCCAGTTGCTCGAGTCCAAATGCAGCTTAGCCTGCCTGTCGGGAGAGATCAAAGTCCACCTGCCTCGATAGGTGGAAAAGAGCGGGCCCTTCACGTGATCGCGGTGACTTCATCCGGCCACTGGCGTTTTGCCAACCCACCAAAACTTGGACCCAACTAACTTTGTGTGTCTCGCGAAGAATCGCCGCCACCATTTTTTGACGAAAAAGTCGAGCTGCGGTTTCCTGTCCCTTTTGGCGGTCTCTTGAAGGGCCATTTCTGCGATATACTATAGAGGGGAGTCGAGAATATCAACGCCTTCTCGCATATCGACTTCGCCGGCGCATCTCATTTCCGATTTCCATCGAATTCCAGCGTCTATTCCAAACCCGCTAGAAGCGTCCTTCGAATTATCACCCATCGTCCATCGTCCATCGATTGCCCAACATGCCGCCGAAGAAGGAGAAGCCCGCCGCTGGCAAGAAGCCGTCTGCCGCCAAGATGGTGGAGGACAGGACTTTTGGCATGAAAAACAAGAAGGGGGCGCAGGCGCAGAGACAGATTCAGCAGATGACGGCCAACCTGAAGGCCAGTGGCAGCGCCGAAGACAGACGGAAGGCCGCCGAAAAGGCTCAGCGTGAGAAGGAGAAGAAGGCGGCAGAGGATGCCAAGAGAGAGACCGAGGCTCTCTTGAACAAGCCCGCCCAGATTCAAAAGGTGCCCTTTGGCGTGGATCCCAAGACGGTCGTCTGTATCTTTTACAAGAAAGGCGATTGCGAAAAGGGAAAAAAGTGCAAGTTTTCTCACGACTTGAGCATGGAGAGAAAGACGGAGAAGAAGAACCTATACACCGATGTCAGGCAGGAGGAGGATGAGAAGAAGAAGCAGGAGACTTCTGCTGACTGGACAGAGGAGCAGCTGCTCAAGGTCGTGCTGTCGAAGAAGGGCAACCAGAAGACGACAACCGACAAAGTGTGCAAGTATTTCATTCAGGCCATTGAGGACGGCAAGTATGGTTGGTTTTGGATCTGTCCGAATGGTGGCGATAAGTGCATGTATAAGCATGCTCTCCCTCCTGGGTACGTCGACTCTGTCTGTGGTTATCAAGGCTATCGGTTGCTGACTTGGACGCTTCTAGATTTGTGCTCAAGACGAAAGAACAGAGAGCAGCGGAGAAGGCGCTGCTTGATAAATCACCGCTCAAGACTCTGACTCTCGAGGATTTCCTGGAATCAGAGCGCCACAAGCTTACAGGAAACCTGACGCCCGTCACTCCGGAGACCTTTGCCAAGTGGAAGAAGGAACGCTTGGATAAGAAGGCCGCTGAGGAGCAGGCTCGCAAGGCCAAGGACAACACTGGCCGTGCTCTCTTTGAGAGCGGCAAATGGAAGGACGTTGATTCTGAGGCGGAGAGCGAAGATGAGGATGACGATACCTGGAACCTCGAGAAGCTTCGTCGCGAGACCGAGGCTCTCCGGGTGAAGAAGGAGGAAGAGCGACTGGCATTGCTGCACGGCGGACAGACGCCAACGGGTACGCCAGATGCGCCAGAGGAAGAAGGTGGGAGCAATGGGGCCAACGGGGATGCTACCGGGACTGCGGAAGAACCATCAGTTGCACAGACGAGCCAAGAAGTACCGGCGTCTTGAACGGCCACGGAAGAATGCTCAAAGCCGAGGCGACTTCAGGTTCCCTCTCATCTTGAGGAAATGCTGCGAGAGGAAATTCCGAGCACCTGCTGGGACCACTGACGCCGATGGATCCCAGGAGGGACGCGGTGACGTGCTATTCGTCAAAGAAAGCTCGTCGCCTTGGATATGTGGGCGGCTGCGGTGGCAGTCGTACACTGACCTCGTACTACTACTCTACATGCCCCGTATAGAATAGTGCCGCATCAGTTTCACATTGCAAATGACATTGATGAGGGGGGAGTTGGAGGATCAAAAAGAGAGGAAGGGGGTTTATTGCGGCCAAGGCTTTTGATTCTTCCAAAGCCGTCAAGGCCAATTTCAGGAAGCAAGCCACAGAATGCGGTTAGAACATACAAGACATGCCACGAGTGCTTGAAGCACTCTGCAAGCTGTTATGAGGTTATACCATACGGAGCATACAAGAACACGTGTGATGCGTTGAACATCTACCTATCCAATATTGATCTCTGATTGGCGCAGAACATGGTCCCAGGCTTACAGGAGGACTGCCGAGACAATGCTTGTGATGTTGTCTCGGATGGTCTAAAGCGCTGGTCGTATTCAGACTGTCCACGTTGCCTTGCCTGCTTGCATCCAAGGCTCACGCCGTGTGTACCCGAGCAAGAAGCCAGTCAAGCCAAGTGTGGGAGACGTCAAAGAAGACCATATGACGCAGTGCCGTTGCATCTCTGAGTTGCAGATGGCAAAAGACGGCCATGTTTGTCATAATTATTTACCCCTTCTTTCTTCTCGTCGTTCAACTTGACCTGCAAGGTTTCATCCACTCTCTCCCGCTTTTTGGAGGGCAAGGGCATGAATGGCACTGTAAAGTAAGGTAAGCTGCGCTTCTCCCCGGCTGATGACGTCCTCAGGCAGCGCGCCAAAAAAAAAAAAACACATGGCAGCCGTCCCGCGGTCTGGTTGCAGGGAAAATGGGGACCTTGGTTTTTGGTGTCTTCTGGTTGGAAGACCAATTGAGTGCGTGCGGAGGGGGGAAATGGGGTGCTTTTGATTTGAGGGGTGTTATTGAGATGCATGTTCGGTCATGTTGTCTGTAGTGATTGCTCGTAGTAGTTTGATATTGCTGGAAGATAAAGTTCCTACCTACCTTATGTACTACTATATACTGCTAGAGATAGAGGCATGTGACGCCAAGGTAGTCCTACCAGTACTGTGAAAGACAGTATGAGGTTCTGAATTACCTTTAGTCATGCTCTGATCGGTATAGTAATGAAAAGGAATGCTGCCACTGGACTGTAATGAACATGGCTGATAGATAGCGAGATACAGTGGCCCGCGTGGTGCATCTGCGGGGGTCGGATGGCGGCCCAGCACCAGCACAGTGACCTCATGCCCTACTACAAGGTACAAGCTCTAATACCTGACCCTTTACCTTGTCCACCCCAACCAACAGCTTCCCCACAGACCGGCTCCCACTCGGCATCTGATCAACCTCCAAACACAGGCCAAAAAGACTGGAAAAGCATGGGCTCGATCCGAGGGGCTGCTTTTGCCTTCAGCCTCTGCTGCCCTTGTCTGCTGTAGCTTCTTCTTAGCAGCAACCCCTCATCTGTCTGTCGTGTTTCTCTCCCTTTTCCAACCCTTCATTGTTGCGTTTGCTGCTGGGAGCCGAGCAGCTGAGCGTCTGGTCTGTGAGTGAGGTCGACGTTGTCACATCGAACTGCTGCCATCGCCATTCGCCTCTTGGTGCGGGCGGTGGGCTGGAAAGCATCAGCATCAGCATCAGCATCAGCATCAGCAGTGCTCCGTATCCGCATCGGCATCGCCTGGATCTGCACCGCCATTGGCATTGACTGACCTCTGCATTGGCGCAACCGGCAGCGTTTCACGATCGTCGACAGGGCAGGGCAGGGCACAGCACAAGCTCCACGACAGCAGGCGGCACTCGCGCCTTTGCATTCCGAATCACCTTCGCCAGAGACGGGGCTGATTGACCCAATTCCACTCGACGCAAGCTTCCCTCGAACCGGCTCTGTCGTCACCCCTCACTTTCGCCTCTCTTCTTTGTTTTTCCCAATCTCGGTTCTGCTCGAGCTCAGTCCAGCCCAGCTCAACTCCGCCATTCCGTCTGCTCCTAATCAGGACTCTTCAATATCCGATCGAATTCATCCGTCTTCTCTACAACCACCCCTCGGCTTGCCACATCTCGATTTCTTCGCCCCTTGAATCTCGACAGGAATACAAAGACGGTAACCCATCCATCATCCTCTGCCGGCGACAGAGACCTCCGGACGGCTGCGTTCGAGGCTCTTGATGGACAAGAGGCTGCTGGCTGCTGGCCGTGCTGCGATCCGCGCTCCGGACTCTGGTCTCACACGGGGCCGCCGTCCGAACGCGCTGTGACCGGACGCCAATCGCCAGAAGCATGAGCGCGGAGGCCAAGCGTCCCTACCAAGATGTCACAGGCCGCTCCGCATCAGCCGTCATGCCTCATCCTGGGGGACGAGAGAAAGACCGGGAATGGCCCAATGCGCTCATGAAACGCTACCGCATCGAGGTCGCTGCCAGCACATCCAGCGTCTTCTCCACACTCGCCGCTTTCCCGCTCGACAGCGTCAAGACGCGCATGCAGACGTATCAGTACCGGGGCTTCCTGGACTGCGTCAAGCACACCTACCGCACCGAGGCTCTGGCGGGCTTCTTTCGAGGTGAGTTGTCTACTATTACGTTTGATACACCCCTTGTGCAACCAGAGGCCGTGGCCAACTGACTTATCTTCTTTCTCTGCAGGCGTCACCGCTCCCATGGCGAGCATCACCCTTGTCCGCACCGTCTCCTTCTCAATCTACCGAAGAGCAAAACACGTCTACTCTGGCTGGATCAAGCAGAAATCTGGATTCGACATCCACCGCCACGTCAGCACTCCTGGAACATATCCGAACCTCTACTCAGTCGCCTGCTTTGGTGCTGCTGGCGCAACCGCAGGCTCCGCAATTACCTTTCTGGCCTGTCCTTTTGAACTCACAAAGCTCAGCGCTCAGGTGTCTGTGCTGCTGGCAGAGCGCTCTGGGGACTGCCAACGAAGTCGCGAGGTAGCAAAGAGCTACCAGAACAAGGGGACGTTGAAGACCATGGCCAACATCATCAAACACCGGGGCATATTGGGGCTCTATACCGGCTTCCAGTTGCATCTTTGTAAGCACTCTCTGGGACGGCAATGGCCGGCGTCTCATCCCTGTGGGTTCATCTTCCATTTTTTCTGTTAGCTAACTGTTGCGCGTGAATAGTGCGCGATACTTTGGGTACGGCCATTTACTTTATGGTATATGAGAGCGGGAAGCAGCTCGGAACGACGTTTGCGGGCGATAGTCCGAATAGTAACAAGCTGGCCGTTGTTGCCGCCGGCGGCCTTTGCGGGTTGGTATCGTGGGCCATGATTTGTGCGTATTGCCCTTGGACCGTCACGACGGCCGTCGAACTCAGGGGGTGTAAACTCGGAGCTGACTGACGTCGTCTTTTGCAGACCCAATTGACTCGGCAAAGAGTATTTACCAGAGAAACGCTCTTCTGTATTCTCGCGGAGAGAAGGTCGAGCCGGCGCCCAAGATCGAATTCTTCAAGCGGCACATGTACCGTGGCCTGGGCGTCTCCATGATCCGGTCCTGCGCCGTCAACGCCATCTTCTTTTCGTCTTTTGAAATCATCAAGAAGCGAATCAAGAACATTGATGACGAGCGCAAGGTTTGAAGCGAGCTCTTGACAAGAGAGGACCCTGATGGAACGCACTAAGCAGGATTATGTGGTAATGCATCTCTCCATTTCGTCTGTCGTCTCTCTTTGGTGGAAGATCCCAAAAAAAAACAACCTCTGGTCAAAGGCGGCGTACGGCTTTCTTAACTGGCTCTCACCCCACCTTTCCCCTTTCTTTCTTCTATCCATGCATGTCATAGCCATAGGGGAGGCTCATAGTTGCCTGTGGCGTTTGCGGATTTCTTTTTGTTGTGTTATGTCTCGTCCGAACTCACTATTTCACAGCTTGTCTCGTTCTTCGACAGGAAGGGACCGTTGTCGACAAGTTCAGTTTCTTGTTTGAAGGTTATTGGCATTTCCTATTGACTCTGACAGAGTAGCCTGGTAATATTCTGTTTCAAGAGTGAAAAGGGCATTTCTTCGGAGGTGGGCGGGCATGGAAGGCATGTCATCATGTAAGCTTTTTAGTGAATACTGACAAGGGGGAGGAAAAGAAGAAATTAAATAAATACTATGCTATTCATTATCTACCTAGTTTTCTCTTGACGAAAACGTCCGTGCTGCCATGAGAATATAAAAGAATGTAGAACAAACTCTAGGAAATGTAACTTGATGTGCCCTATCCATGCTCGTTGGAAGATGTCAAGTGCGAGGAAGCGATAATAGTCAGAGATTTAACAGCCACGGTGATAACCACAGGATATTCATGAGAAAAAAAAAAAAAAGAAAAAAAAAAGAAAACGAAGATACTCAGGGATCCATCAGTCAGGGGCACGGCGGTAGTGTCACGATAAAATACAAATGATCTGTCTAATGGCTTGTAAACACCGCTGCGTAAAGGCGGCTGGCTACCAGAAACAGAAGAACAGGCTACGTACGGCTCTCATGACGATTCTATTCCCCCTCCCCCTGTCTACGAGCACACTTCAGTCGCTTTCAGATGCCAGCTGAACACACATAACTTCCCTAAACTCATCTTGCCATTTGATATCTTGCCCTCCATTCGAACAAAATCAATATCATGTTCCTAGTTGTAGCTTTTCCTTTTTCTTTAACACCCCCCTTTTTTTTTATATCTCGATCAAGAGATGGACCTATTATAGCCCTAAAGGAAAGGGAGGCCACCGGTGTAATGACCCAGTCCTCAAGTAAATGAGAGCCTCGCAGTTGTTTTTCAGGTGCCTATCCGGCGACAGCTCGTCATGCGACGCCGTGATTTCCGCTCCGGGCTTTGATGTGCTCTCGAACCTTTTGCCAATCATTCTCCATCAGAGTCACCTTCTTCTCCCTCTTCTCGAGTTCGGCGAACTCCGCCGGCAGCACCTTGGCCTCCACGCTGAACCCCTCTTCGCCCTGCAGCGCTCTGACTATCGTATCGGAGAACTTGGCCGGGTGAGCCGTCGAGAAGGAAATGTGATGAATGCCACCGCGAGTGCGGTAGATTGACCGTGCCGTTGCGGCCGCGCCGACGGCAGAATGGGGATCCAGTACGTATCCAGAGTGTCGGTAGAAGGCCCTGATGGTGTCGAGGGTTTGCTCGTCCGTGACTCTCTCGCTCTCGAATTCGCGCCTCGCGCATCTGATGACGTCGCGATATACGGGGCCAAAGGACCCCTTTTCGTCGAGTTCTCGGAACCACTTACAGATCTCCTGGCTTGCTTGCCTCTGGTTCCAATAATGGTCCATGCCGGCGCTCGACGCAAACTCGCAAGCGAGGAACCACAGCAGACGTTCAAAGTTGTGGGAAGTCAGGACATCCATCGCAGGGCTGAGAGTCTTTCTGAGGCCCGACCCAAGCACATTTCCACCGGGTCCGACACGGCCAGGGCGCTGCTTCTCATACCGTCCTGTCCTCCAGAAACGATCGAGGATGTCGTTTTCGTTGGTGGCGATGACGAGCTTCTCGACGGGAAGGCCCATGTGTAAGGCGAAGTATCCAGCAAGGATGCTGCCGAATTTGCCAGTTGGAACCACAAATCGAACCTTGTCGCCGAGCTTGAAGGACGCAGACTGCTTGGTAAGGGAGAAATACGAGTAGAAGTAGAGGACTATCTGAGCCAGGATCTGAGCCCAATTTCTTGAGCTGACAAGGTCAAAGTCTTCGTTGACTTGCCTGTCGGCGCGTAGGTTGCGCAGGATGTTCTAAAAGACTCAAGCTTAGGAAATAAAATCAAATCAAAGCAAGATCTAGGCAAAGATGGGCCAGTATGGGTACAGCATGGCAACATACCTGACAATCGTCAAACGTCCCAGCGACGGCCAAGCTAGAGATGTTATCGTCCGGCACTGTGGTGATCTGAGCCTCCTGAATAGGGGCAACCTGCCCTTGGGGAAACATGACAAAGGCGGATATGTCCTTCTTCCCTCTCAGGCCGTAGATAGCAGCGGAGCCGGCATCACCTCTGGTGGCACCAACAAAGGTGAGATGATGTCGATCTGCTAAAAAGAAAAAACATGGCAAAAGGTATGAGCGAGTCCCTGTTCGCATAGAGAGAGAGAGTCCCCTGCCTGCCTCCGTCTCACCACGTAACATCACTGATGTATACATGGCCCTCTTAGACTAGGAGGTGACATCAAGAGGGGGCACGTGGACGAAATAAATGGCATACCTGCGGTGCTTGTTTTGCTCTCGTTCTTCCTCACGAGGAAATACTCAAGCAGGTTGCCCATGAACTGCGAAGCAATGTCCTTGGAGGCAAATGTAGGGCCATGGAACAGCTCAAGGAGATGGTGTTTCTCCCTGAGGCGGACTAGGGGCGTTATCTCTGGGGATCGAAACGTGGAATAGCTGCGCGCGATGATGTCTTTGAGGTCGGCGGGAGGGATTTCGGAAGGGGAAATGTAGAGTGACATGATCTCGAAGGCAAGCTCGGAAAAGCTGAGGCTTCCCCACGATTCCCACGCAGTGGCACGTGGGATCTCTTCAGGGATGTATAGACCACCATCAGGGGCGATACTGTTTAGGACGACTTCCTCAAATGAGAACTGGAAGAGAGACGAAAGATGTTAGCTGCTGGGATGTAGGATATTGCCGACGTTCTCAGCTTCTGCAGAGGGCCACGACATGTTGACGGTGGATGGCAGCGAGTGGGAGAAAGAAAAACACGGAAGGAAAAAAAAAAGGGAAAGAAAGAGAGCGAGAGAGAGAGAGATTCAGAGAGAGAGAAAAATTCCGTGCTGAGGAATAACGTGGGGAAGAAGAGACTTAGGAAAGTGTCTTCATACTCCAGTATCCTCTCCGCGAGTGCTCAGGTATCGATACGACGCATTCTCATCGGGCGTGCCATTCGGCTCCATAGCTACCTGAGCAGCTCCTGGAGGCACGATAATATGAAAGGCCAAGAAGTAACGGGGAGAAAAGGAGACGAAGCAGCGCGGTCGAGGGGAACGAAGGTCGAGCAGCGACACGGGCAGGGGGTACAGGCAAAATCAAAGGAAGAGAGAGAAAAAATTCCACCCAAGCCCGATGTGAGAAAAGAGGGCGCGGCTATCTGGAAGAAGCTGCTGAGGAGTAGAGGCAAAGAGGGCTGTAAGTCACTAACTGGCGTGCTAAGGTAGGTCGAGAGATATCGATCAAACTTGGCGTATGACCGGGAGTACTCAGTACGGCGCCATGAGTCCCGGGACAAGTCGCGGCTACCTAGCAGGCACAAGGACACGGGAGAGGCAGGCCAGGGGCTTGTACCCAGTACCAGCCGGGGTCGTCGCCAGCCGTCGTTAGAGGCGCCATTTCATCCGCTTCCAAAGGTTCCAGTTACGCAGAGACGGCCGTGGGGCATAATCACTCTCGGCGCCATCTCTCTCCTCTGGCCAGTGGCAGCCCCTCCCGCGTCCCCTTTGGCTTAGTGCGGGGTGGCCTCTGCTTCCTTTCCCTTGTGTCGGTGACAGCCTGCGGCTGCATGTGCCTTGTGCCTCTACTCACTCTGCCTCGTATGTACGTGGCGTGAGCTCAGCATCGCAGTCCTCCTTGCTGCTGGCATCGGTGTCTCGGCGGCTTCAGGAAGCCTAACGTGCTGCCCCCGTACATGATGCGAGTGAGTGTGTATTGCATATTGCGGATTCCTGCGGCGACGCGGTGCCAAAGGGTTGCGCGCGCTTCCAACAGGCCCCTGGTCGACTTTTGCCTGTTCCATGGCAAGGTCGCCAACCCTAAAAAAGAACCCAATAGATATTTGTTGACGGTCACCGCGCCGTTGTGCGGATCCTGGTCCGCGGTTCATCAATGCTCTTGAGTTTTTTTTCCTCCCCCTGCGACTGCTCGCGACTGATGCTTGTGCGGGAGACCTCGGCCCACGAGTTGCTCAGAGACCGGCCAGCTGAGCGACGCACCTTTTGGATATCTGCTTTTCGAATTTCCCAAAGGAGGGTAGCTGCTGGCCCAATGAGGAAGAAAAGGGGGAGAAGAGGATTGAAGACTTGCCGCACGACCTCCTCCCATCTTTCTCTTCTCTTATCCTACACAAGCAGGCCTGCTGCCGCACTCACACCGGTCTTACATGTCCCTGCTTTAGGCTGTTAGGCGAGTTTGTGGCTCGGACAGTCCATACCATTGGCCGTGTCGACAGAGGTTTTAGCAACTCGCCAAGGACCCGCAACAATAGCCCGGAACGCCCCAAGACTTCGAAGGAATGTCCACCTGTCTAGTTTTGTCGGGAACGTTGAGTCTCCTGCCGCTGAGGGCTTGCCGTCTGCAGCTCTTGGGGATACACGTCCAAGTTGGGCCATGGTTCTCGAGGCAAATGTCGGATACTTTCAACTAGTGCTGCAGTGTCATCGTCTTCCCATGGGCCGGGGGCTGAAGCAAGCCTCCCCGGACCTCATCCACGTTTCATAAGTCGGGGCTTCAGCGACTGGCTCAACCGAGAGCATGGAGTAGTCGCGCGATGCCAGACGGGTCATCCACAGACATATAGACTCGAGTTGGCTGTGTGCCAGCGGATGGCATGCCAGCGGTCCATCTGGTGAACTTTACCCTTCATCGAAGCATTTGGGTTGCACCCGCTGTCTTTGACAGCCGCTCGGTGTTTCGTACCGGCTCTAACGGGAGAGCTGCGTTGGAACGTCGGCCAGATCAAGTCCAGTCCGCTACCCTGAAACGCATTTTTTTTTATGTGATCTCACATTTGCGCGACCGTGGACGCGACCCATGTCCGAGAATGACGTGAAAAAGTGGTGCTTGCCCACCAGTCTGTTGAAGTAGCCATGCATGCGCTCTGCATATCCGAGACGGGCCTGGGTACAGAGTATGGAGTGGCCCTCTGTTTTCAGCGCCAGTGCGGCACGGTGACGTTGGCCATGCCCAAATGCCCAGTACTAGGCACCCGAGCTATCCAATAGAGGGTTATCCGCCTTGGTGGCCATTGGCTCATGGACCGCCTCCCTGGAGTCTCTTGCCAGAAGGGGTTGCCCTCAGCCATCGTCTCTGTACACCAAAGCCGCAACCTTGGTCCCCCGTGTGCAAGCATCTCGTCCCCATATCTACCCAACGACGAGAGCACACACTCCGTACATGGCGTGGAATTTCGAAAACTCTAACACTGGTGATGATTCGTCCGGCATAGTCTTGGCGGGTCGCACCAACCACCGCACTTTTTCTCTCTCCTGAGGGGGGAAGGGAATAGAGGCCAGTCATTAGAGATAACTTTTTGTTCCATGAGGTAGCCGCTGGGCTACAGCAGTCATTTCGACTCGATCAGAAATGTGACATGTCCGCACGCCGCATCTCCAGATACACTCAGGGTGATGATACTGCACTGCGTACCTCCTCTGCTCCTCGTCATGGTTTGCGTACCGACTTCAGCAGCGGGGCAATCTTAAATCGCTTGCTCAGCCCAACCCTGTACAGGGGTTTGGCTATCCCTTGTGCCGAGAATCCCTTCTTGTCGCACCCCAATTTCTGTTCTCTCGCTCGTGCAGCAGGCTGTCTTGGCTCTTTGGGTACGTCTTCCTCCTTCGGCGTGTCAGGACTGCTCTGGCCGGCGGAATGATCCTTTGTTTCCCCCCTGCTGCCTGGGGCTGCCTGATCATGGCCGCATTCTGTGATTTCCGCCGCGGATGAGGCTCCTTCGGCAGCTCCTTTCTCGCTGGTAATCGGCGGCGAGCTTTGCGCAGTGGCAGCTTGTATATCGTCCCCATCAGCAGACGCAGAAGTCTTTTCCAGGCCCAGGTTGGCTCCCGCATTGCCGCCAGCAACAGGGGCAGAGACGGTAGTGGCGGCAGGAGGCGGAGCGCCATCTACAGCTGCCTCAGCCGACTGTTTCTTAGGCCGCCCTCGCCTCTTCTTCTGCGTTGTTGCAGCCGGTGTCCCATCAGCCGCGGCCGATACAGGACCTGCAGCCGCTTTCATTGGCAGGGGCTCATCGCTTTCTGGAGGCTTCTTCGGGCGACCCCTCTTCTTCTTGGGCTTGACCATTGGCGTGGGATGTGCCACGAATTCGGCCTCATTGTCCCCCGACTGCAACTCTCGTGGTGGGGGCTGATGAGCTGAAGAATCTCTTCCGTCACAATAATCCTGATCGGGCTTGGGCTTAGATTGTGAATCAGGTGAATGCTCCGGCTCGGACCGCTGAGACTGTGATTAGCCCTCGTCGTGTGATATCCTGGGATGCCAGCCCACTTACCGCAGCTTTTCTGCGAACTGGTGCCAACGTAGAAATGATGTCAGGGGATGAGTCCCTCCGTATAGTATTACTGTAGTTCCGATACTCTGATTTTCTCGTCCCCACCTCGGCGTCCGGCTCCTCGGACCCCAGACTGCTAAGATTCTGATTCGAAAACGTTTGGGTTCGCTGCGTATTGACATTGGTGGCCGTTCCACTTGAACCAACGGCATATAGCGTCTGCTGCTTCGGGAGTAGGTTGCTGTACTTTGGAGCGCCAGTAGGCACCGAGTCCATGCCGAGATGAGACGACTGTTCGCGTCCTGCCGGAGAAGGGTTTCTCAGAGAGAAGGTCGAGTCGGCGTCAAGAGGCATCGTGGGTAGTGGTATACTCGATCCAGCTGCCGTCTCCTCTCCATTCTCAAGGATAGACTTGCTACTAGAAGGCAGCATAATCAAATTGACTTCGTCAGTCGGGGACAGTGTACTGCCAGACTCGTCTAGCCGTCTCCGTTTCTTGCTGCGACTTTGAGCCCCCTCCTCGATATCCCAATGGCCGTCTAGAGGCGCATCATTGGCAGAAAACGACCCGTCTCTCATGAACGCTTGATCCGGCATCTTGTGGCTATGCCTCTTCGACCGCCTTTCCAGCGATCTAGGGGCTTCTGGGCTGCTTGGTACTTCCCACGGGTCCACCACACCGGTCTCTGTCACAGGATGCTTTCCTTCTCGAGAAGTCATCTGAGGCCAGCCAGCGCAAGGGTCTTCAGCCTGAGCATCTGGAAGTCTTTCCATGTGAGGATCCGTGGTAGTTGTGGTGGATGAATGATAGAAGCCCTTGGTGGTCCGCTGAAAGGGAACATCAGGAATAGTCATGGCTGAACTTTCATGCGGCACATCATCCAAGGTCCGCTGTAGCTGCTGCGCTTTCTCGAGGGCAGCGCCATGCTGCTCATTGTAGATTTGCTGGAAGAAGACCGAATCTGTGGACGCAGTTGCAAGGCTTCCCTGCTCGGGAGATCGTGCTTGCGCCAGAGGAAGCGTTACGGCTGGAGCGGCTGCAAGGTGCTCGTTCGAGTCACTCTCGTCATCGGAATCAGCAATGACCAAAGGGCCCATGCTGAGAAGTGAGAGGCAGAGGGGCGGGAAGATGAGAAAAGGATATAAATCACAATCCGCCACCTCCCGATTGCAATCCCCCGAGTTGCTTGACTGGATGCTCAATGAATGTGGCTGCGGTGGTCGTTGGGGCGTAACGCGGTCTGACGTCCACCGAAACGCGAGAGCACGTGACCTCTTTGTCGTAGAGCTCGTATTCTATCAGGCAGGTACCCCCTTTTGACTGGTAGGAGGCTTGACATTGAAGGCACGTACCTACCAGTACCTTTTGCCAAGTGGGATATCAGCAGAGCAATGAGAACTTCAGATACAGATATATGGCGGATGAATTACTATTTCTCTACTGCTTCGCAAATATGCTATTATTTCACGCTATAACTGGAGATTCCCAAGCAAGGGACGCTGCGGCTGGCCCTTCAGGTGAGCAGCAGAGCCCTTGTAGAGGCTCTGCCAGATGAAAGCTTCGCTGAGGAGGAGCTCAATGTCCTTTTCCGTCCACGACTTCGTTGGAAGACTCTGTAAAAACATCATGACCTCCTGGAAATCCATCTTGACTAGTTTATCAGACCACTTTACGAGGAGCGCAGCGCAAACGTATAGATGGAATTCCGAAAAGCCTTGTTCTTCGGCCTGGTCCCATCGTCAGCAGCTGGGCCATTGATTGAGAGGGAGTTTGATAAGCAACGGTATATTACTTACGAGATATGTATCCCACATGCGGATTGTGTTCTTGACGCTGATTTCGCGCATAAGAAGACAGTTCATCCACCGAAAACTAAACTGTATGAACTCGACGCCTTCTTGCTCAAGATGCTTTGATAGGTTGGAGTCAATCCTGGCAGTGAGGTCCCGCAATGCAGCTACCTGTCTCTGAATACCCGGTTGAGCAACAATGTAGTGATCTTGAATGCCGTCAAGCAGCTTGGTGAGACACCAGAATGAGTCTGCTTCCACAGCATCCAAGACGGACTTGGGCAGTTGGCCGGGATCCATGCCCGTCTCGATATCCGGATCGGTGATGTAGAGCCCCAGGAACACTTCCCAGAATGGCGTGACTAGATCGTTGATACCCTGCACGTATCCGCTGGCAGGATGCCTGACGGCCCAAACATAGAGGATGCGTTCCAGCGATCTCTGTGTCGCCTCATAGCTATAGAGCTCAATGTGAGGATTCGTCCTGGGTATGTCGATGCTGATCTGATGCCAGACAGCTTCATCCAAGCCCCTGGCTTTTCCGGCGGAAGAGCTGCTGGCTGTTGTCCCCCCTCTTTCAAACGCCTGCTTGACGCCGTCCAAATACTCCTTCCGCTTCCTCTCTAGGGTCGCAACGCGCCGCTCACTATTCGTAGGGAGATAGCTAAGGAGGAGTTGCCAGGTCATTGCGCGGACCTCGTGCGGTACGCCCGACCAGGCTAGTGAGCGAAGATCAGGGAGCGATATTGAAGATGCCTGTAGCAGCCGCTTGAACTTGTTTATCCGCGTTATTCGCGAATTGATGGCGTCAGCTTCTTTCTGCGGTGCACTGCTGGGTATAGAGGGGTAGCTAATTAAATGAAGCGCATTTGCGGGATCTTGCAAAGGGGTCAGCAATCTGTGTAAGCAGATGACAAGCCGGGGAGTGCCATTCTTACCCTTCAAAATATCTTTGTATTGTGGTCGGAGAATCTTGCCCTCGCTTTTCTTGGGCATTGGATACGTTGACGCCGGACGCTCAGCTGCGATATCTGCGCTGTTTGAATACCGCCGAGCCTGGATTCTGCCAAAGGAACCGCCGCCCACAGGAGACAGAGATTCCTGGTATGGTTCCGATCTGTTGTTTTGGGTAGCTATTCGCTTCGACCTTCTCTTCATGTTGGAGAGGCTAGGGAGCCCAAAGTCATCCCCATCGTCGTCTTCATACCCCAGCATCTCATCTTCGTCGGCCTTCCAATCATCATTGGTATTCGACAGGAAGTTGATATAGCTCTTAAACGGCGGGGAGGTAGAGGCCACTGAGCCTCGTTGAGGTGAAGTAGTTTCGGGCATGCGATGTCTCGAGGACGATGTCGAAGGGGGCGTCCGGGGACGAGGCGAAGAAGAGCTGGAGAGGTTCCTTGACCCTAAAGTCAGTGATGCGAAATGGGGACGGTCTGTCAACACGCGGGTAACATACAACGAATCGAACTTAAGTGAGTCCGCATGGGAATACGCCGCACCAACGACTAGACCAGAGCCCTCTCGACCTGCCGGGTTCGTAACGCTCCTCCTAAGACCGCCGCCGTCTCGTAACGGCGGTCTCCAGAACGGCGAAGCTGATCTGTGATACGGAGTGGCGTTAGCAGACAGCGCGAAGTGCTGGAAGGGTGCGGGTCAGGCAAAGGAGCATACTCGGACCGATCTAACACGTCGAGCGATTGAGCTTCGGTCAGTAACGGGTTCCCATTGCTCTCTCTTCAGGGCGCACGATCCGACGCGACGGAAGGCTTTCGAACAACGTACCGACCTGGACCATCTCCTGCGGCTGGGGACCGGCTGTTAGCATCACCACCACCTCGACTTGTCGCCAGTTGCGCCACAAGGCCAGAGCGAGGCCGACTCACTGAATTGGCCGGCTTCTTGCCGCTCCCAGAGGACGACCACATGTTCACGAATGGTCGTCGAAAGCGCAAAGGTGAGGCGTCATTCTGCGGGGTTCTGGGGGATCGGAGTCTATGCCCGTGACAAGCTGGGGAAGCGTTGAGCCTGGCTCGGTGATGATCCTCGTTCGACTCTTGTCCACCTTTCAAGGTTGTCTCAGCCAAACTCCAATTCCAGGCAGGGCGGCTGGTTGTGGCTCTGGTTGGGTAGGTACTTGCTGCAAGCGGCAATGTCTGGTGGGTGTGCTGGTACCGGCGCTGATACTGTACAGGAGGCACCGCGCTGAAGTGCCGCCAACGGGTCGGTATGTTGGGGCGGGGTAACAGCTCTGGAAGGCACCTGAAGGCACCGTTACAGGGGAATTACGCGCTAAAAGGCTGTCCAGGTGCGCTGGGTGCCTGCGTGGTGGCAAGGCTGGACCTGTTGGGGGATCTGCGGCGGGCTTCGTCTGGGCCTACCTAGAAGTACCTTGGCATTAGCTGAGAGTAGCCCAGATTCTCGTAGAGGACGTTAACAAAGTGAGTATCTCAAGGTACCAACCGTCAGCGAGCGTAAACACACCACAGCCTTGCTTCACGCAAGGGGGAGAAAACAAGGTGCGGCAAGGCCAGAAAAGGACCACCATAGCCATAGTTCTTGTCAGTTCTATTTGAAATTTCACCAAATATCCCTTCCTTTTTTTTTCTCTTTCCAAAGGCATTAGCATCGTCACGGCTTTGAAGAGAAGCAGAGCCATGCCTTGTGGAACGCTGACCTGTCGGACTTCTCCGGGCTGATTCAACACCTTAGTCAGCAGATGCCCACGTAAGGTCCCTTAGCAAGGCTCTAGTAGTAGCGCTTCCCTTCCGCTCAGCTTTCCAAGGAGCAACTTAACTTCTTCCTCAACCTTCGCATGCCGTTTTTCTGCGCAACGACACCGAGCATCTTTTCCATCCTCCATCATTCCCTTCGGCATCAAAACCATCAGCTGTTCATCCTCCACGAAGGTATTCGCTCTCATTGAGGCAATTCTTCGGCCGCCGACTCCTACGTCTCGACGCTGCTAGCGGTCTCTACACAGTCGCGGTGTCGGTTATTCTCGCCTCACTTCACCCTTCAGTCCATCTCTTGCCACACGATTGCCATCATGACGGAAGCCGAGAACTTCGAAGACGATCTCTTCGCCGACCTGTAAGGCCACTTGACCCTCCAGGTGCCGTTTGCTATCAACCTGCTGACCTGGTGACTAGCTACGAAGACAATGATGCAAAGCCTGCCGCGCCGGCCGCGAGTGCGGCCCAGAATGCTGACACAAAAGTTCACGACCAGCCCGAACCAGCCGCTGCCCCTGCCTCCGCTGGTGATGAGGACAACTCTGGCTACGATGCCATGAATCAAGATGCAGACGACGATGAAGATGAGGTTGACTTCAACCTGGGAGGCGGAGGTCCTTCAAACAACACCAATCAGAATTTGCAAGATGACACGCCGGCGACTCCGCCGTACGGGACCGTTCACAAAGCCAGTGCCAAGGAAGATGGGTGAGTTTCCCTCGTTATGTGAAGCTATGATTTTGGTGCATGAGTTCTTTCACCTTATTCTGCGACAAGTGTCGTCAGCAATGTTGCCATATGATGATAAGAGGCTACCAGCCAGCGCGTAATCCTGCATCCTGCAACCACATGATGGTATACACTTGCTTAGAGCGAGTGGCTGGCTCGATTATTTGGGAGAAGAGTCAAGAGATTCAGCGGCAGGATAGGCCCCTGGTCTACCGGAGAGCAAGAAATATCAACAAGCATGAGAGTTCGTTTGGGGGTATCCAGAACACTCCCGGAGGAACACAGTTGAGACGCCATCCCGAGAATGAAGAAAATTCCTGGGAACAATGGAGCAAAGGGAGACGATGGCGCTTTGCCCATCGATGAAGCTGGGGAAGTCAAAGCTTTGATTAAGCTGAGAACCAATATGCACCCGCCCGACGACCTTTTCCCACTCCAGTATGGGAACGCTTCTTGTCTTTCATAGCTCTCGGTCGCAGAGGTCTCAGAATAGCCAGACGAGAGCATATGCGCTTCTCGGCGGCTGTAGCAAGATTGACAGCGGGTAGCGCTTAGGGTCAACTCGTACCTAGCAGCAGACAGTCAGAGACAGAGTCAAAAGCGATAGCACACAGACGAAAGATCAGAAAAGAGAAAGGAAACAAATACGACACTTGTCTGGCACCTTGCGTCCCCTCTGCAATCGCTGTATGCCATTGGATATCTCACCAAGCATCGCACCGCTTCGCATTGGGCCTATGAAGCGCCATCGTTGACAACTCTTTGACATAATCTCAACTTCACCCTCTCGCCAAGTAAAGAGGCAATGCTCTGGCTCCGTATGGCATCGGGTTTCGGAAGATTTCGGCAACCGTCTTGTCTCTTGAGGCTATCCGCATACGCTTCTCGAGAATTGGCGCGCATACGACACGGTAGCAGGGGCAAGTGCATGGTATCGGCGGATATCTGCGTTGCTTTCTCAGCTGGCTGGCCCTCCCCAAGGACCCGACGTGGTGACAGCGGCAACGTATTCGACTCCATGGACTTGACAATGGCCCCCCAATCCATATGCCAAAGCCAGGCCGGCAGCCGCTGCATCTCTCCTATCATCCGCCCTACCCACGGGATCTCTCTTCTGCTACCCATACGCTGCTCCTGCTAGGATTTCGTTTTGCTCAATTTTTTCTATGTCATATCATCTGCGAGATGGCTTTATGTGATAACGTTATGTGCTGACCTTTTGTTCGCCTAGAAAAATGTTTATTGGTGGGCTGAACTGGGAGACAACAGACCGTACGTCTTACTTTATACTATTGGCGAGCTTCGCAGATGCTAACGGACGACAGAATCCCTGCGAGATTACTTCTCACAATTCGGAGAAGTCGTCGAGTGCACTGTGATGAGGGACAGCAGCTCTGGTCGGTCCCGCGGCTTTGGCTTCTTGACTTTCAAGGACCCAAAGACAGTCAACATTGTCATGGTCAAGGAACATTTTCTGGATGGCAAGATTGTGAGCTCACATCCCTTCAGGAAATTAGTTGTATGTTATTCTAACGGGCAACTAGATTGATCCCAAAAGAGCTATTCCTCGTGACGAGCAAGAAAAGACGAGCAAGATCTTCGTCGGAGGAGTTAGCCAGGACACCACCGACCAGGAATTCAGAGAGTACTTTGCCCAGTTTGGTCGAGTCGTCGACGCCACATTGATGATGGACAAGGACACCGGCCGGCCTCGTGGCTTCGGCTTCGTCACCTTTGAGAGCGAAGCGGGCGTGGACGCTTGTATCAACGTGCCGCTTGAGATCCATGGGAAGCCTATCGAGGTCAAGAAGGCCCAACCGAGAGGTAACCTACGAGAGGAAGAAGAAGCGGCCAAGCGAGGAAAGTTCCGAAAGGGCGACGACCAGTCTGCCCAGGGCGGCATGGGTCAGCAGATGGGCGGCAACAACTCGGCCATGACGCCGCAGCTCATGGCTCAATACTTCCAACGCATGCAGCAGTACTTTGCCATGATGCAGTCGCAGATGGCCATGTCACGCGGCATGCCCATGAACCCAGCCATGTGGCAGCAGATGCAGCAAATGCAGCAGATGCAACAGATGATGGGCCGCGGCGGCGGTCCCGGACAGAACATGATGGGCCAGATGAATCCTCAGATGATGCAGCAAATGCAACAGATGCAGCAGCAGATGATGGGCCAACAAGGAGGCCAGGGCAACGGCGACGGCGGCTACAACGGCTACGACCAGTACCAACAGCAAGCATCTCAGGGTCCTCACGGTGGCCGACGGGGCGGCCGTGGAAACTACGGAGGCGGCGGATACGGGATGGGAGGAGGAGGCGGAGGAGCCCCCACGTCCTGGGAGGGCATGTACGATGATGTGCCGCAACCGAATGCCAACCAAGGGTCGTCTCGGCGCGGCGGAAGTGTCGGCCACGGAGGCTCGGATTCCCAGCACTCTCCGCCAGCCAACGCTCCGACTGGGCCCAAGAATGCCGGCAAGCCTGGCGCCAACTACCGCGGCGGAGGACGTGGCGGAAACAGGGGCTTCCACCCTTATGCTCGATGAAGCAAAACAGTCGGCATTGCTTTGATTGATGGACTTGTATTACTATCGTACGACGACAACCCCAAATCAACCGTCAAGGAGGAGATCTAGTGCGATTCTATCTGGAAGAAAAAAGAAAACAAGGATGGGGTGGGGGAAGGTCATGACGACTATGCTTTGAACGCGTGAAGGAGAGTTTGTTTTCCTTTTCTTTTCTATCAATTTCTTTTGGTTTTCTTTAGGTTTTCTTTAGGTTTTCTTCCTTTAATCTAATTAATGGTTGCTTGCTTTGAAAAGAACTGTTAAGTTTAGTCGCTCAGCCCGAGGGGAGAGGGGGAAGGATTCGTGATGATTTCCCTCCCTATATGTTGTTCTTTAAACTCTTCTCCTTCTCGTCTTCCCATTCATATTGCAGATTCGACTTCTTACAGTGGACCGGGAACAGGAATGGAAAAATAAAATTTCTCTTGAGATTTCATTCACCCCCTTTCTTTACCTTTGTCTTTTCCGTGTTAGCTTTTCGAAAAGGTATCAGTCAGGTATACTAGATACGTTTTACACGATGTTCTTTCCTCTATTGCCCATCATTGCAACGTTGCTGCCAAATGGATAACCGTATATTCAAAGTGTTCACAATAGGTAGATAGGTCGACGGATATTCTATATGCTTGCACGCCCACTTCTGTCAAATAATTTGATGGTATAATATATTTTGAAAGAAAATAAGTTCCAACGTGCTACGAGGTGCTACCTAGTCCTGCCCGTGAGCAGGCACCAAACTCCATGTCCCAACCATCATTCTACGACCGAATTGTCAAGTGAGAAAAAAAAACAAAGGTGGAAAAGGAAACAGAAAATGTAGAAAAAACAAGTGGCCATGCTCATGAAAATCATACAATGGATAGATAAGAAAAGGAGCGAGAGAAAAGAAAAAGAGAAAAATCCAAGCACAAATACAAATCGCTCGCCTCGCTCGGCCCCCCGTAACTAGAACCGTCTATAATTGTCTCCCTCCTCCAACTTCTTCAACACGCCCACCGCGTCAGCGAGCAGGATGCTCCGCCCGCCCAGGCAGTCCTTCTCGAGCGACGCCCGCGCGAGACCGACCGCCCCGGAGCCGACCTGCCTCTCCGCCTCCGACATTTGCTGGATGCGCCCGGGCTCCATGTCCGACGCCTTGAGGATCCACTGCACGGCGGCCCTCCGCGTCGGCGCCTTGGTCTCGGAGCGGCTGGCGCCGCCGACGTGGCCAAAGGCCCAGCAGATGAGGGCGCACACGTAGATGCCCCAAAAGTCGGAAATCTCCTTGTGCTGCCGCGGGCGCTGGAACGGGGGCGTGGGCACCGAGCCGCTGCTCCCGTCCTTGCTCGCGCACCTCTGCAACCCGAGGAACAGCTTGAGCGCCCGCGAGGCAAAAGCAACCGCCACGGCGGCGCTGCCCGAGTCTCGCCACTTCTCCAGCTGCCTCTGGTGCTCCATGAAGTCGGTGGCCTGGAGCACCTTTTTGTTGAAGACCCAGCTGTCGCCAGACACTGACAGCAGCGTGTGCAGCGGGGTGTAGTGGAGGGCGAGATGCGACATGGCAATGGGCGAGTATGGAAATAGACTCATGATCCTGAAGTGGTTCATGCTAATGCTCGACGCATCATCCAAGAGGTTGATCTTGGTGAGGGACCGTCGCTGGGGAAGCTGTAAAACGTATGCGACCAAAAACAACGAAGCGTCAAAGGCCGGGATCGAAGCAATGTCTGCTGCGGTAATGGTTTCGAGAATCGTCGCCCCGACAGTCGCGGGCATGGCTGGCTGCCTGATGCTGCTCCATTCCTGGTAGCTTTGCGCATCCCACAGCTGCAGCGTGGCCATCGACAGAGGGATTGGGAGTGTCCGGGGATCGCTATAGTCCAGGCCGAGGACCGCGGCTCGAGGCTGCTCCAGGAAGGACATTGCGTGGACATCAAGCAAGAAGCAGGCGGATAGCAGACGCCTCCTCGATTCCATATGGACCCAGATTCTCCATTGCTGAGAGGCATCGCATGGTCCCATAGTCGATGGGTAAGTGGTTTGTGCGTGAATGACCTGCATTGAAGGTACAATGAGCAAGAGGTTTAAAGACGGCGGGGAAATTGTCACCCCGAGAAGCACAGAGCACGATGATATTAGAAAGACAGAAAGGTAGAGGCACCAGTTGGAGAATAATTGAGATAAGAGAAAAAGGGGGTTGGGGAAGCAAGATGGTCATAAAGTGAAAGGAAAAGAGAAATAAAAAGCGGCCGTTATCAAACTTTTGTTTTCGTTTTCGGACATGATAGTACACAAGACATGACAATAGTGAGGCAGAAAAAGACCAAAGAAAAGACGGGAGAGAAAGAAAAGAAAGAAAAAATCCCGTTCACTCAGAGACGCCCAATTGCATGTGAACGTAGAGAAAATCATGAGAAATCTAGCGGGAACTAACCATTTGGTACAGTGCCTCGAAGCGAGGCGATGGCATATATGCCTTCTTGTTCCGTCCCCGGAAGCGAGCATAGTATTCGCACAGCAGCGTAGCCTGCATGATCGGCAATGGCCATTCTGGGGTGCCAGAGTTGGCATACTAGTAGAAAGAAGGGTATGTTAGCTGTTGCTCTCCTGTCAATGAGCCAAATGTTTTGTTCTCATTGGGCACTTACCAGCTTCGCCTTGTCCATAGCATAGGTATGGAGCTGGTGCCCGTTCGCGCGGTGATCCTCGTGCTCAAGGAATTGAGTGGCAATGGCTGCCATGGCACACTGGAGTATTTCCATGTGCTCCTCGGGCATGTTTGTCGGGTTTTCGAATGTCGGTCTGTGGATGATGGGGTACATGGAATGGACCTTATCCCAGTACACCTCGATGTACGTCGGGATCATGCTTCGAATGCCATGGCTGAGAGCTGTCGGCATAAGAGTATACAGACCGAGAGCATCTACAGGCTCGCGGCTGCAGGTGCGAGGATACATCATACGATCCGCAGGCAATGCAGCCGGCGCCGCGACCAGTGTCTCCGCGGACTGGCCCACCATGAGCTCCGGCGGGGACATGCTCCGAACTGTCGTGTCAAGCATTTGGGGACTGTAGAGGTTTGCGCCATGTTCGTAGCCAGTGAACGGGGTTCCCATACCATCCCCGTATACCGACGAATAGACCTGCGGAGGGGTAGCAGCGTAGCCAAAGGACATGGGATATCCGTTGTCCGTAATGACGGGGCTTGGGGATGTGGTATAAGATGGCATCGGTCCACTCCACTCCGCTGCAGGGGCCCGAGCCGACGACGGTTGAAACCTGGAGCTGCCAGATGCCGGCGTTGAGTAGGCACTTCCTGAAGAGGTCGACGGGATGCCCGAGCTGTCCGTCCATGGAATGTTTGGCGGCGTCGTTTCGGGTATACAAAGCTCTGTGACTTGAGCATCTATTACGCCCAGTCCGGCAGGCCGCGGTTCGCTGTAGGTAGAGACCACTCCAGCGGTAACGGGGTCGACCACGCCCATATCCGCCATGTGATAGGCACTCTGCGTATCTCGCATATGTGGCGATTGCATTGTAGGCCCTGGCGGCGTTGAGTTGTTCACAGATGACCAGTGGCCGGCCACCATCCCGACACTGGAAGCCGGTGTGGCGGCAGCCCCAACGCTATATGGAGAGGAAGCTTGTTGCATCGTGGGCGCTGGTGGTGAGCTGCTGTATGGTCGAGATGGACTGCTGTCTGAGCGTCGCCGTCGTGATGAGTCTCTGTTCAGTTTGCCGTCGTGTTCGCCACTAAATCTCATATTCAGCTGTCGCCCCTTCTCCTTGGCACGGGATGGGAGGATGGGTGAGTGAAGCTTACTGTCTCTGTAAGTGTCGGTCCAGCAAGTCTTTGCGGTAAAAGACCTTCTTGCAGCCCGAGACTGTGCAAGAGAGCTCCGGCGGCTGATGGCTAAGCTGATGTCGTCTGAAGAGGCATTATCGTAAGCTTGGTGTCCTGTGAATAGAAGGAGTGATGAGTCAATGACATACCTTAGATGCTCTGCTCTTGTAAATGTCTTCGATGTGAGGAAGAAGGTCCCTCATGTTAGCTTCATATGGTATGACAACACGGGATATGAAAGGAGTGATGCAGTGAATGAGTGAAATACCTTTGGCGGCCGGCAGACGTCACACGTATGAACAGGAACTCCCTTCTTCGCGCGACTGACTCTCCCAGTAATGGGCGTCAGTTTGACAGGGTGATCCCCCGAAACGGTTCCTGGCATGACGGGCCTCATTGCTGTTCCTTGGTAATAAGCTGTATGGCTCTGGCTCTGTCCGTAGGAAGAGTCCATGGAGTCGGTGCTAGTGTTGCTGCGTCGACGAGCGCCGGGGTGGCTGTTATATCCTAGGGGTGGCGCTGCAGGGTGGTGGATGATGTGAGGAGGTGATGTTTGCCTTGACAGATCCACCGGGATATGATTGTATCTGGCCATGGGGACGGGTAGATCTTGATCAAGCGAGGTTCTCGAGGCCGGCCTCCGGTCCCTTCTTATGGAGTGCGAGTCGACGTGGTCGTCATCGAGATTCATAATGTTCCTGAGGCTCCCCATTGTGGAAAGGACTCCTCCCAGATCGAAAGACGAGATGCAGGTAAAATAAAGGTGAAGGAGGAAGCAAGGTGCCGGGGCAGTCGTGGAGCACAGAAAGTCTATCTTGGTATACACAGCCCGGAAGGCTGCGAGAAGACGCTGCTAGTGATGTGACGTGAAGTGAAGTCGTAGAGATGATGGATTATAGAACCGGCTATCTCCAAAAGCACGGGTAAGGAGAGCAAGGGTATGGTTTGATGGTGTAGGAGAGGACGAAAAGGGTCAACTTAGAAGGCAAACCCACGTAGCAAGCAAGCCGCTTTGGGGTGGGAGAGCCAGGTACGTCGGCGATAACCTAGCCTCAGCCTCGTCCGTGGAGGAGATGTCCCCAGTAGCGATGCGACCACAGAATGCCTTTGAGAAGACAAATATAGGAAAGAGCCACAAGGCCTTTGCCGCTTCGTGCTGCGGGAGATGGCAGTGGTGACGGGCTGCGGCAAAGAAGCAGAGAGAGCGCGGCAGAGTAAAGTAACTGGGAGGTAATCTACATGTAGGCATGTAAATGGGTATGTTATGGTGATGTGGGAGCGTGCCCCCCCCATGGGCAGCACGACCCAACACAGCCGAACTCCCATCGTCTGAAGCGGCCCTGGAAACATGATCCTGGTTCCATGACGAGCCGTGGGCTGGCAGCTGAGCTATGGGGTGCATGTAAAACGACGTGGGAAAAGGGCTTGTTGTCGCCCCGAAGCGGTGTCGAGGCCATCAGCTCTCGTTTGTGCGAGTACTGGGTACATTGCGAGGGCAGCGCAGCACCACGCAAACCGGGGGGAAGGGCCAATCTCTCTGGCACTCACATCTCACTCCCACCCCCCCGGCCCAGACTCGCAGCAGTCGAGGCTGACAGAACCCATGTCAGGACGAGGATGCACAGTGGAGACGCCGCCGCGTGGTTGAGCCAGCCCTGCCCGCGGGAGCGAACGGGCCAGGACTGGGGTAGAAGCCAAAAAGCTCCGTCCAGATGAGCGCGACGAGTCGTTGTGCTGGGAGCATCGCCGTCATTGGGCGCAGCACGGGGGAGAGGGTGGCGGCGACTGGTGGAGGGGTAAGAAATATCCGCCTGTCATAAGCAGAGCCGTGATCGAGGCGTGTTGCTGCCTCGCTCGTTGGCCACCAGCGGCCGCGCCAATGTTGGGCATACAAAGGATTCGCTCGCTGTCTGCATACTTCCATCCGCTCAGGTTGGCAGCAGTCTCCATGCGAGGTACTTCGTACACGGCATCCCCCATACCTGGACATGTGCGCAGTCGTGCCCCGTCGTCGAGCGAGAGCTGGCTGCAGCGATGAGTGACGGAGGATATTATTAGAAGCCAGGCCCTTCATCGACATGCAGGCTAATGTGTCGGCTTTGCTGATCTCCTCTTTCGGTTCCAACATGCGCGCAGGCGACCTGAACACGACTGTCCCGATTTGCCCAGCCGGCTGTGCATATCGCATCATGGGAATGCGGAAAGCAGCACGAAGCAGTCGAGCACAGGCACCCTGTACACACACAAGCACACAGACGCAGCCGAACCAAGAGCGGAATGCATTGCTTTCCGGCGGAAAAGAAGGCCCTGAAGAAGACGAACCAGGGGGGCTCCGCGAGAACGGCGCGGGTATGGCGTCAACGTTCCCGGTCCCGGCGGCTCCAGCAGAGTCAACGAAGGGAAATGAGCGTCTCCCGCGGACTGCTCAGCTATAATTGCTCCGCAGCATCTGTATCGTCTCCCTCGTCCTTGATAGTGTAGTCTTCTCTCCCGGCATGTTGAGAATCAACGTGCGCACGAGCAAAATGTGAGACATGGCGTCCTGAACGGCTGGATGTGTGTGGGCACTTGACAAGTTGTGCGCTCTTGGCGACGAATTGCAGGGGCAGAATCTCGTCTAACGACAAGAGACTGCCAGCAACTGTCGGTATGGAGTACTCGACTCCTATGTACAGTACAATATGGCGCAGCAACAAGTCCTGTCAGGTTTTATGGGCTTCGTCTGCTGGATGCCAGCCAGAATCCGACGGTGGTGGGGCAGGCTGGAATTGTCGCCAGACGACCAACAGCCACAGAAAGGTGCGTCTGCCGGTCCTGAGCACTTGGCTGGCGCCGTGAGCATTGCTTGAAAGGGATCCGGCTCTTGAGAAGGAAGCAGCAGAGGGCTCACGGGGACAGCGTCTCTTGTTTGCCACCGGGATCGCAAGTCCGTAGACAGAGTCGGCGACAGCCGGTGTCCCGCGTGTTGACGTAAAGACCAAGCAAGCCGTGTGCCTCAAGTTGACAAGCAGTACGGAGTACCGTCCACTCAAGTGCCGACTCACTGTAGCATGTATGATCAGCAGCTTCCAGGGCTAGGATCTCAAGAAGTACACTTTTTGCACGCGAGAGCTCACTATGGCGCATCGGCGGCTGTAAGCACTCGTACCCTGTACTCTGCACAACGTACGTCTGGGGAGACCAGGGTCAGACGAAGAGGTTTCCCCATATCGTGTCCTTGATGAGCAGAAGCCTGGTGTTCCCAGCCCGCCGGAGCTTGTGCTAGTAGTAGTACGAAGTAAGAGGACACCCATCTCTCCAAACGCTTTGCCTGGAAGGATCTTCAGTAAGACCTTGTTCAGACCATCCCACTCTTCCATGCCTCCTTTCTAGAAAGAATCCTGTGTGAAGTAGTAGCTGCTATCGATGCAATAAGCTGCGGGAGGCCATTAACCTGCAGGCGACGATGTATGAGGCGTCCGTACGGAGTCTGAAGTGCATGATACATACATTCGCACTACTCATGTGCGTTCGCGATGCGAGCGTGTCCTCATGCCCTCCCGTACCGCACAGCCAATTGCTTCTCTGCTCCAAAGAGACGGACAAGCTGAGGGCGGATGGCCTCAGCAGCTGCGGCGGTCACCTCCGCCCAAGGCGAGCAGTGCGCAAGCTGTGCTGCGGAAGAACGGCTCGAAAAGCTCTGAGAAAAGAAAACCCGGTGAAGCTGCCCCCGTCTGCGCATTCTCCCTGCTTTAGACGGCGTTGCAGCGAGCGAATCAGCGCCGGCCTCTGGCTCCAGTCATGAGCACGAGCTCTGCTGGACGACGTAGTGGCGGCCACCTCCTGCTCGCTCAGCTCGCGACCGGCTGCAAACGAAGAACTGGAGGATGGCCCCGAGCTGAAAAAGTTCCCCGTCTTTTGCGTGTCGACGCTCCGCAGAGCTGACGTGCCGGTGGGCCAGGGGTTTGTTTAACGAGCGCACCCCAATCGTCGAGCGTCTCTAGTGCCGTCCAAGGGAGGCATGTCGGCATGTCCTTGTATAATAGCCTCCGCGTCCACGAGGCCATGGCCCGCTCCGTGCAGCCCGAAGGCGCCCGCGCTCGTGCTTCGTACATGCAGGCTACTAGTTCTGCAGTTGGTGGACTTGGGCGAGTGGTCATCACGATGCTGCGCGGATAGGATCTGTATGTCGCAGTGCTTGCAGCTTGCCTGTGCGAGTGCGAGTGCGAGTAGGTGACCGCGGAGCTCATTCCGGCACCGAGCAGACAGACCGTCGTGGCGATAGTTGCGCGAGTCCTTGGAGCTAAGCCGTTTCAATAACAATAATACCATGATCGTTGACGCAAATCCACCTCATCTGATGCATCTGGTCGGTGAGCAAGGGAATCAGAGTCAAACGCTGCGTCGTCTTCTTTGTTTCGCTGTCTCTGGCCGTGCTGTGTGCGACCAGGAGCTTCAAACCACGTTTTGTTAGCACCCCTGTAGATCTGGTCTCGTTGGAATCGCAATCTGATCTCGATTCTCTTGATGATGAAGCATCCTTCTCTCGCTTTCTCTCTCTCACCCTTCCTCTTCCTCTTCTTCCTTGGAGATGTATGCTCCAACATGAGATGAACAGCAAACCGGCTGCTGAAGATTTGGGGGCTAGTGGACGGTTTGGGGGCCAGATTATCTAAGGTATGCAAGGTGGTGGACCGACGGGGAGGTGCGACCCATGGCCTTCCCGCAGCAGGAGCTGGGAATACAAGGTACGAGTACAAGCGTCCAATGTACCGAGTACGAACCTCGAGTCGCAGTACCGGATCGTCGCGAGTGTCACCCCAGTCCAGGGCCATGAGCGACTCTCGGGACCGAACTCATCTCCATGCGGCGCCTGCTCAGGGTTCGCCCATGTAAGTCAAGAGTGATGCCTAAGATAAGTAGGTACTGGATTATCTTGTCTCTCATTTCTCTTATTGACAGTACCTGGGCAATGTGATCGGTCAACGATGTCCCACGGCAACTGCTGCTCAAAGTGATCCCCCACAGTCGAAATCACGCAGGGGCTTCGGCGAAGGATGTGGGATCACCACCACTCGTTTCACTTCCATCGCACATCAAATACAGTAATAATACTAGACACAGCACGGGAGTGATTGCTACCAAAAGTACCAATTACCCGAATCGTATCCTTTTTGCGCCAAGAGGGGAGCAAGTGAGTACCTACTTCGTACCGACCAACATACAGGCATACACATGAATCCCATCACTGGTCTTAGACAGCACGCGCATTCTTTGATGCAAGGCTACGCCTGGGCATGGCAGGGTAAAACACCACGACGACGGAAAGGTACTGTCCCTTTTCCCTCTCATGTACTCGATACTCGACACAAGCACCCGTTCAAGCCCACAGTTGCGGCGTGTTCCAAGACCTCAGAACGTTGCCCGCTGGCGCTTATCTCACTGCCAGCAAGCGAGATCCATTGCATAGTCGGGATGAGGTGAGGGTAATACCGACCAAGGCACACGCGCATCTGCCGCAGGGCTCTGCTCAGAACGGACGGGCCTACCAGTACGAGGGTGTGGCGATGCTCCAGCGTGCATACAATACATACCTTACACATGTAGGTAGCATCACACCAGACAGACACGATCGACGATGGAGATCATGCCGACTGACAAATTCCGCACAGCCTAACCCGGGGCCAAGCAAGACGAGAAGCTGCATCTGTCCTCTTTCGCTTCCCGAGCAGACAAACACCCTTGCTTCGTCCCTGTTGCTGCGCACGACTAATGCAGAGTCTTTGTCATTCTCGGCGCTTATTCTTCTACCAGGGGCACGAGTTTTCTTTGGCGACCCCAGGCAAGACAGACGGACCAACCAACCGGCAGCCAACAAATGCTGTCGCGCACGAGGACCCAAAGACACACCCATGTTATTTTTAGACTCCCATGGATTTCCATCCCACACCAATGACAGATACGACTTACCTCTTTCACGCCTTGGAACCCCGTACGAGAACAGCACGCACTCTATGCATCGTGACGAGAACAGAACAGACATCAGACGAAAAGAAGATGACCCTAGCCAGACGGGCAGAGAACCGCTGCACCTTGCATACATACCCACCGTCGGTAGATGTCTGTAAGGCAGTGATGAGGGTTACCAGCCATCCGGACACATGGCACACACACACACACACAGGCGCGCTTATCGTCAGGCGAAGCTCTCTTCTCTTCCAGGTTCTCCGTAACCTTGCGCAGCAACAAAAGAAGCCGCGAGAGAAAAGCACAGCCATCACCCCCGTGCAACGGCTTCACAAGCGCCACTGCCACATCGCATCGCCAACCAACCCGCCTCTCCCATTCGTCCTCTATGCGCCGCTGCTGCATTGTCACTGCCATCTTCTCCTCCAGCAAGAAAACAAGAAGCCCCGGACGATGGGGGAATCGCGGCAATGGAGGCATCGCCCATTGAATCCAGCTAGCCGCGCTGAAGTGATGCAACGCCGGCTGGTGTTGCATCCCGTCTAGACGCAGCCCTGTCGTCTGCTTCCTCGCTTTCCTCCCTTCTCCCCCAAGTAATAGCTCGTATCGCTGTGTTTGTGTCTCCCCCTGTGATCCCCCGAATGAGACCGGGCTCCCTTCCCCCGGGTGCACTCACGCTCACCTTCACACTCAACACACGCTCATACAGGCCGACAGAGAGACGCACTCAGACGAGCCGTTAGAGAAACACACTTACACAAAGTCTGCCCCCCTGGCTTCACAGCCCTCGTGCCATGTCCTCCTCAATGTAACGCATCCACCTCGCGAGACATTATGCCCAACATCGGCTAATAGCCGCCGTCAAACACACCCTTCTCACACCCAACTTCACATCAGGCTCAACAGCCGCGAGGAACAAAGGAGAAACACAAGTATAATCACACCTAAAACGAAACGAAACAAAACAAAACAAAACAAGATGCCCAGCTCGAGGCTGCCGAGTCGTTCGATCAGGTAGGATCGCCTTGTGGAAACAATGAAAGAATAGATCCCCAGTGTCTGCCTGCCTGTGTGTGTCTGTGTGTGTGTGTGTCACTTGTCCAGCGAAGACAACAACCTAATATTAGCAATCCGCATCGGCAAGACGTTGTAGCAACTGATATGAATCGTCTGATTGAAACACCCTTTGCAAAGAAGACAGAAGCCAGATTCGGGGGCCAGTAAACCATGAACCCTTCCTTTGCAATGGACGAGGCTGCATTTGCGGGTACTGTCAAGAGTAGATAGTGGTATCCTATGAAACCTGTGCCCCAGTGTTTCGTGGACAAGGCTGATATTTCGCTGCGCTTGACGGTATTGGCCGTCACATATGGTTGCAGACAGACCCTTCTCCTCATTGCAGCCTTGTCATGTCCAGTGCGACCTTTCGACCTATCGTCTCTTCATTGTCAGTGGGTGTCCACGGAGACAACCAGAGACCAAGTGTTAGGACGCCGCCAAGGCCTGTCATGCCTTGACATCTTGACGGCATCGAGCATATCTGTAACCCTGGAACAATAGCTCCTTTCCGACCAAAATAACTCACAGGTCGCTTCAGGCAATCACCGAACATGAGATCGATGAAATCGATCCAGAGTAGATAGAAGATGCTAAAATTGGGAGCAAAGCAAGTCATCATTTTTTGAAGCCCTAGAACGAAACCAAACACGCCAATGGCACATCACCAAATTCCCTCTATTACCACACATTAAACGTTCAATTCCTTTTGCCACGTGTGAACATCCGAGCCCTCTCCTGCCGTTGCGAAGCCGCCTCCGCCCAAAAAGCCAATACAGTTGCCCACGATTCCGTTGATACTCGGGGCGGACTACCTTGGCACAACAGGGACATCTACCCTTGGCTGGAGGTCGCCGCCGCCGCCGCCGTGTGGTTGTTCTCTGCCGGCCTCCCATTGCCGTCACTCTCCTCCGAGTCGTCGTCGCTGGCAGGATGGCTGTCTGTTACCGTCCTGCGATTCTTGGTCATCTGCAAAGGGAGAAAAAAAGGTGGTCATGTCAGCTCAGGAAACGGAATGGTTAGGTACGGAAAGATTAACGAACCCATGATCGCACACCACCAACTAGCCCGAGCGCGTAGCCGGTGATGAACTCTTTCGAGTTCCCTGACCCTCCAGGGGCGGTAGGAGACCGCACGTTGTCTGAGCTGTTGAACCGGGCTGGGCTTTGTGGCCGGCTCGTGGGCCAGAACTGCCTCAGCTCCCGGCTGAGCTCCTGGCCGGTCGTGGTCCAGTTGTTGGTGATGTTCTCGCGGAGGTCCTGCACGTGACGCTTCAGGTCGATCTCGTTCTTCTTGAGCCAGCTGACGTTGAGCTCCTGGCGGGAAGTGCCGCGCTTAAACTGGCGACTGATGTACTTTTCATAGTCACGCACGATCCTGTAGTTGAGACGCGGGTCAGAGGCAGTTCGGCAGCAATGCCGTGATAGGTTGGCCAGAATACAAGCTGCGACGTCCGTTTTTGCCACAACTGGGAGAAAACTCACCTCGTAATGATGCCAGTCGTGCTGACGCCCTCGGTGCGCTGGGTCACGAGGAACTTGCCAGCTTGCTTTATGGGTTGATAGATGTCGTCTCCCTCGTCCGCGCCATACGGAATGTCGTCGTGCGCAACATAGTCGAGGCGGTGCTCCTCAAGGAACTCGGGGGTGACGATCCAAGGGCAGTCTTCAATGACCTCATCCACCCACTTGCAGTGTCGCACCGACTCTGCGCGCTCCTTGGCAGACATAACGGTCAGCCCCTTGCGCATGTGGGTTTCTTTGTCGCCGGTGACGCCCACGACGAGGGTCGTGTCGGGGAAGGCCTTTTTCGCCTGCTCAAGCTGGCGCATGTGTCTGTCGATGTGTCGGTTAGCACGCAGTCCCTCTCCACGGAATCTTTTTCAATGGAACCCACCCGAGATGGAACAGGTCAAAGACGCCGTCCGCATACACCCTCACCGGGCGGCCAACTGGCGGGGGGTTCGTCTTGTAGCCCACGGGGTGCGTGAGCTTGCCAATCGGGGGCGGGGGCATGGTGGCCTTCTTCTCCTCCTCGACTTCCTTGGACGCGCTCTTGCGTCCTTTCCGTCCGACTCTCTCAGCAATGTCGACGCTGGCCTCGGTGGTGTCGCTGGGCTCACCTGGGTCGAGGACGTTGTCGCCATTCTCGGGGACCCGGTCTGCACTGGCTCGCTGTCTCTTAGCAGGGTTCAAGCTCGTGCCATTCGAGGTCCTTCTGGTCTGGCGGGTGGACTCTGGTGCGGTGGTGTCGCCCTCCTCGCCCGAGGCGTCTCGCGACGACGTCTGCAGAGCGCCATCGGCGAGGCTTGTGGTGTCGGCAGCGTTGGCAGTGTTTCTCTTGCGTTTGCCGCTGTTGGAGGATCCCGACGGTGATGACATGCTGGCGGAGGGTGTAGATGACGACAGGAATAAGCGTAGATGCTGGTCAGGCCCCGATGCAGCCTGACGTCTGTGTCGCTGATGCTGCGTCTGGAGTCGCCTCGTCTGTTGACCAGCTGCGTTTGATGGCAATCACGGCTTGAGCTGTGGTATCGGCTCAGCTCCCCTCTCTGTGGACGGCTATCGAAGGACTCGAGGAGGTAGAAACAACGCTGCCGGGCTTGGCTCTGGAGCTCGCGTGGGCAATGTGTGGAGAGAGGCTCCGGGGTGGGATTTGATGCTGAAGGTTCTGGATTCTACCGTGCAGGTCCGGGCCTGGGAGCTTGTGATTTTACCCACCTGTGTGGTCGCCAGCAGAAAGCGAGCCAGATCCAATTTCCCTCGAGCCTGCGACTAAAGCAAGCTTACCTGCACCCGAAATGACAGGTGGCGTGACCATGCTGGAAAGGGGCCATATTTTAATGCCTGAGTAGGTATACGCCGTATTCGGGTTGCATTTTATTTCTCTCTTTTTTTTTTTCTCCAGAGTTGTTTGTTCTTTTTTTTTATTTTTTCATCTTTTACCTTGGGATTCTTGTGAAATTGTAGGCATTGGACGTCACAGTCAATGGCAGTGAAACATGGCATTGTATTGCTTTATTGCTCAATTCTTCCTGGGTCTATCTAGATTGAGACCAAATCTCTACTATAGCTCTATCCGTTGCCACAGACCTTGAGCTCCAAGATACAGTCTGCCCAGCAGGCTTCAAGAATTGATTTGCCATTGACAACTCGCCGGAAGAACTGAAGCTCAGGGAGAGAGAGAAAATGGAGGAGGAATCACCTTTTTCGCCATCATACTCACCGCGATCCAGCAGGACGAGCTGTATGACGCCGCCACACACAACATTGATGTGTGCTCCAGTACCTGTATTTCTTGCCAGCTAGCGCCAATGCCTCTCCAACAGCTCCTCCAGTAGCATGAGCTACTAGTAGCAGCGCCGCCAACAATTGAACCTCTGTGATAAGGGGTAGCGGATCATTCGTAGCCCCTTCTCTCTCTCATCGTCGTCCAGCTCCATGATCCGTCGGGCGCGTCATAAGGCTGTGGCGATCAGGCTTATGGATAGGACCTTGCCAGACAACCTAGCCAGAAGCCAACATCGTTCAGGGTGCGACAGGCGTTGAAGAAGCCGGGAAACCCTAAATGCTGGCGATCCAATAGCAGGTGGTGGCCTGTAATGGACCGGCAGCCCTACGTCATCTTATGCTGGAACGTCATTTTGTCTTGGAGGCATGTTGAAGCTGTGCCAATTCATCCGGACATGCACAATATTATTACAGTACCTACAACTGCTGTGCCTTGCTTGGCCGTTCCAGCAAGAAACGCCACAACCTCGAAATCCCCAGCACACGGCGCAATCTTGATGCGTGCCCCTTACTAAGCGGTCGGTTCTTGACTGAGTCCGAATGCCTTCGTTTGCACATGCCCAGACTTCGTATGCGGACTCTGCCTGTCTGCGTCGTACCACCGCTAGCTTACCCAACAGAACAAACGGGATCCGTCGCAGAGGACAAGGGTGCAACGCCGTCTTAGACACTGCAGCTGGCTCACATGTCATGGACTTGCCCCGCATCACCAAGGAGCGGTTTAATTCTTTGATTCTGCTGCGTGTCCTTCCCCTGGGCGGCCGCCTGAAGGAATCCGGCCTCACGTAAAGCTGCGGTGCGTCTCATTATTAGCTGCTGCAGTTGACGGTGGCTGCCTTCTGTGCGAAATAGATTGCGGGCGTGGTGAAACAGGGCGTTCTCGTCCCGTTTGGTTGTGAAGGCGAATGAGTCGGTCTCATTGGCTGGGGCAAGTCATGGCCATCACAGCAGCGACTCAACGCACGGAGAAGCTGCACTATCAGGTTTCGAGGCAGTTACTCGCACAAATCGAGGTTGCTGCGAGGTGGATGAGCTTTCGATGATGAGAAAAGGGTCAGTTTGCCTCGATTCGAGGCACAGGCAGCTGCCAAGAGGTATTGGATCACGTAACGTTTGGATGGCCACAGCTGAGGGATCTCCGACAGTACGATCCAGTTGTCGAGAGACACTGTGGCTTAGAAGATACATGCCCCCAATGACGTCGGCATGAAACGAAGCGCAGAGATTCAATGTGATGGACAGCTGAGGGATTCACATCACGCTGCCACTGCGTCTCATTTGCTGCTCAGCAGCTGGTGTCTGGAATGCCCTCCCAGCCATGGCCGTCTAGGGGTCGCGTCTAGATCCAGGCCTAGCCACAAGCTGCCAGAGTAATACCGACCGAGGCCCGGCCCTTGAGCCGCTTGTTTGATTATCTGCGCTGCGGCCAGGCCCTTTTACTCCATACTTTGACAGCGATTGTTTGGACGCAGCGCTGCATGACCGCCTCGCTTCTTTAGGATAGTGGAGGCAGGTCCCGGGGCGGTATCGAATAGCAAACGGGGGGGACCGTCCGGAGACGCGGTGCATTTAAGTGTAGCCGGGCCTGCATCTCTTGCGACTGCGATTCTGCATCAATCCGCATCTCCAGCTGTCCAAAGGGTCGAGTTCGAGCTGGGTAAATCTTCAAGGTACCTCATAGTCGTCGCCTCAGCCGCTGCACAGTGCGCCACCACTGTCCCCCCCCAGCGCCTCAGCCGTACGTAGCGCCTGCCTCGGGCCCTCCCTCCCCTACGGGCACAAGTACAAGTACGACAGTCGCCAGCCTGCTTCGAGCTCCCGCCCTCCGCCATGCGTATCCTCCCGAACCGCCTGCTGTCTTCCTCTCCAGCACCAGGCGCAAACATGAAGAGCGATAGTTCAATGCGAGCAAAGAACGATGCGGCGGGCGCTGCAGGGCCCGCGGCGAACGGGCTGGCCCTCAGAGTGGCCATTCTGCGGGTATGGCTGCGCTCCTCCGTCCTGACCTCTTCTGGGTTGTTTCTGCGGCTTCGAAGCGAGACGGGCTGGTTTACTAAGACGCGAGGCATATAGGCAAGAAATCTGGCGGCCAAGGATCGCAGTGGAACTTCGGATCCGGTAAGTGGAAGCGGCGGCATTCAGATTCGTGCTTCGCGAGCTCTCCAGCCCCCCCGGGAGAGGCATCGTCTAGCAGTCAAACGCAACCACTACCCCTCCCTTTGCCGTGGAACGTGGCAGCTTACAAGCAAACTTCCATCCTCTAGTACCTCGTCGTAACGCTTGGCGATGCTCGCGTCGTCACCCATTCCGTTCCCAAGACGCTCAACCCCGAGTGGAACGTCATCGAGGAGCTGCCCATAAGCTCCGTACAAAGCCTGGTGGTGGGCGTCATATGCTGGGACAAGGATCGCTTCGGCAAGGATTATCTGGGCGAGTTTGACCTGGCCCTCGAGGAGATCTTCCAGCCGGAAACCGCCGAGCAAGAGCCGCGCTGGTATCCTCTCAAGAGCAAGCGCCCCGGCAAGAAGACTAGCATCGTTTCTGGCGAGGTGCAGCTCCAGTTCACGTTGCTCGACACCACAAACCCCTCCATCTCCAACCAGGAGCTGTTTGAGAAGTTCTACAACCTGATCGGCTCAGTTTCCGTCTCCTCTCGGAACGTTACCCCAACGGAGACGCCATTGTTGACCCCGAGTGCGGCGCGCTCAGGAACCACCTCGTCAGCCGACGGCGTTGGAGACGAAGACGACGATGATGACCTTACCGAGCTCGAGGAAGACATTGCCGATGAAAATGATACCGAGGACCCCTCAAAGCCGGAGACGGCCGAGAAGCGCCGGAGACGGCTCCGCATCAAGAGCCTGAAGAAGAAGAGGCGACAGAATCCCTACGCTTTTACCAATAGCGACTCGGACGTTGTCGGCATCATCTACCTGGAAGTCAGCAGGATTACAGACCTCCCACCCGAATCGAACTTGACGCGGACCGGCTTCGACATGGATCCGTTCGTCGTGGCGTCCCTGGGCAAGAAAACATATCGCACCAGGCGGGTTCGACACAACCTCAACCCGGTCTTCAACGAGAAGATGATCTTCCCGGTGCAGAACCACGAGCAGCAGTACTCGTTTGCCTTTACCGTCATCGACCACGACAAGTACTCCGGCAACGACTTCATCGCGTCTTGCTACCTACCCGTCCAGACGCTTATAGAAAAAGCGCCCAAGGCGAACCCAGAAACGGGGCTGTACGAGGTCCGCGCTCCCGAGCCAGAACCTGTGCCGGCACCCGCCATCCCCAAGACCCGTCTTCAGAAGCTGGGCGTGTCCCGTTCCTCGTCCACGCAGAGTCTGAGCAAGTTGATGCGGTCGCAGACGGCCCCCGTTCGATCCAACTCGACAAACGGCTCTTCCTCACTCACAGTCCAGGGCGACGGGATCGCTGTGCAGCCCGGCACCACGCCGTTGGCACCTCTGGATGCCCTCGCCCCCGGCGTTGACGCTCCGGAGCCGGTCTCGGAGATGGACGATCCCGACCTGGCAGAGTACGCTCTGCCGCTGAAGATGAAGAATCTGGAAAAATGGGAGAGCAAGCATAATCCCGTCATCTATCTCAGGGCCAAGTACGTGCCGTATCCGGCTCTGCGTCAGCAGTTCTGGCGAGCGCTGTTGAAGCAGTACGACACCGACGGCAGCGGTCTCATCAGCAGGATTGAGCTGAGCACCATGCTCGATACTCTTGGTTCCACATTGAAGGACTCGACAATCGACAGCTTTTTCCAGCGCTTCCCTCACAAGGCTGCCGACAACGAGGACTCGTGGGAGCTCACCTTTGACGAAGCTGTTTTGTGTCTTGAAGATCAGCTGCAGGCCAAGAGCAGGTCTGGCAACAAGACCCCCGGCCTTGATGTCAAGAGCCTCAGTCTCTCCGGAAAGTCGTCTGGGGACTCTAGCGGACAGCAGGGCTCCGAGGGCTCAGGCCACTCCACGCCCCAGATCACGGTCGACCCGCCACCGGGGGCGACGATTGGTCCCGACATGACCACGACACCCAACGAAGACGGAGAGGAGGGGTACTTTGACAGAGAGGATTCAAAGGAAGAACACGTGGTGGAGATTCGCGAGTGTCCCATCTGCCACCAGCCTCGCCTGAACAAGCGCAGCGACGGCGACATCATCACGCACATTGCGACGTGCGCCAGCCAGGACTGGCGCCAGGTCAACACGGTCCTCGTGGGAGGCTTCGTGACGGCGAGCCAAGCGCAAAGGAAATGGTACTCCAAAGTCATCACCAAGATCTCCTACGGCGGGTACAAGCTGGGCGCCAACTCGGCCAACATCCTCGTCCAAGACCGTCTCACGGGGCAGATCAACGAGGAGAAGATGAGCGTCTACGTGCGGTTGGGCATTCGGCTGCTCTACAAGGGACTCAAGTCGAGGGACATGGAGAATAAGCGAAGTAAGTACAGCATCGCTGCAAGCTCATGACGATCAATCGCTAACATTGGACTCAGTTCGGAGGATGCTGAAGAACCTGAGCATCAAGCAGGGCAAGAAGTTTGACGACCCTGCCTCAAAAGATGAGATTGAAAAGTTCATCGATTTCCATCGGCTGGACATGTCCGAAGTCTTGCTGCCAATTGAAGAGTTCAAGAACTTTAATGAGTTCTTCTACCGTGCGCTCAAGCCCGGGGCCCGCCCTTGCTCTGCGCCGGACGACCCTCATATCATTGTGTCTCCAGCAGATTGCCGATGCGTCGTCTTCAACCAGATTTCGCAGGCGACCAAGATCTGGGTCAAGGGCCGCGATTTCAACATGAAGAGACTTCTTGGAGATGCGTATCCAGAGGATGTGTCGCGGTACGAGAACGGCGCCCTGGGCATCTTCCGACTGGCTCCCCAGGACTACCACCGATTCCACATCCCCGTCGACGGCGTCCTGGGCAAGCCCAAGACGATTGAGGGCGAGTACTACACGGTCAACCCGATGGCGATTCGCTCGGCGTTGGACGTGTACGGCGAAAACGTGAGAGTGCTCGTGCCCATTGACAGCGAGTGTCACGGGCGGGTCATGGTCATTTGCGTAGGAGCCATGATGGTGGGCAGCACGGTGATTACGCGCAAGGAGGGCGAGCGCGTGCATCGAGCCGAGGAGCTGGGCTACTTTGCCTTTGGCGGTAGCACGGTGCTGTTGCTGTTTGAGCCCGGCAAGATGCGGTTTGACGACGACCTGGTGGACAATTCCAACGGAGCCCTCGAGACCTTGGTGAGTTCCACACGGCATGATCTTTATCCGTGAGGGAACAGTTTTGCTAACGTGATGACAGATTCGTGTTGGCATGTCGATTGGCCACTCGCCGAACACAGGCCAGTGGACTCCTGACATGCGCAAGGATGAGCAGGACATCACGGAAGCCGACAAGCAGGACGCGAAGCGACGAATCCAGGGCAGCGGCGCGCTGGAGGAGGAATCGCCCGGCGACAGCGGTGATGAGGACCGGGGAAAGAAGCGGACGTCGCTTCCGCCCACGGTCAACACGCTGGCAGCCTCAGCTTTGTAGAGAAAGGACGGCCATGGCCGGTTCAGAGCATGAAGCCATTGTACACTGGAGTTGCGAGCCTTGCTGTCATTGGATACACCTTTGCATGGAGATGACGGTCATGAGATGAGCATGTGTAGCAGATGCACGTTGCGCTTGAAAGCATGTTCTTATATGAATTCAAGATTTATTATTCGATGTAACTCCGTTTCCCGAGAGGCCAATTGTAATAGACGCGCAAAATAGAAGAGAAAACATTGACGGTATTGATGAAGGATGTACATGGGTCAAACAGAAGAGAATTAAAGAGTACGCCGAGCAACAAGACAGGCCATCATCTGCACAAAAACGTCCAGTAAAAGAAATTAAACACAAAACGGCAGTCCCATTCCAACTCAGTCACTGTCCTCCCCGGCTGTTGAAAAAGAAAAATAAAAAAGAGCCATTCGTTTAGATAAAGTAGAAAGCAGCCCAAGTCCTGGGCATTTGTCAACGACCAGACGGCGAAGACGACAGCGAGGACGAATGTGACGACGCCGTGCTTCCCCTCCGCTCAGGGATCTTTTGAGGGGAGGACGAGCGCGAGGAGGGGAGAAGAAGCGCCAGAGAAGCTGCTGATGGTGTGGTTGCTGAAGAAGAAGCTGTTGGTGATGATGATGATGGTGAGGAGGAGGAGGTGGTGGTGGTTTGTTGTTGTTGGCCGCGGCGGGATTGGTTCCATGAGGTGTAGAATTGGCGGCAGAGGTGTGCGGACATTGTGTATGTGGGCGACATTTTGGTGTTTTTGTGTTCTGAAGTTGGTTGTCTTCTCTTTTTTTTTTATTTTGTGAGGAGAAAATGTGCTTGTCTAAGTGTAGGTTTTTGTTCCTCTTGCTACTTCGTTGTAAGATTGAGATTTGGTGCTGATTTTGTGTGTTTTGTGTGTGTGGTGATTGGTATTCGGTATTTGGTATGCGCCTCCTATTGTTCTGTCTGGAGAAAGCTGGGGATGGCGTTGATGAAAAGCGTCGTGTGTGAGTGAGTTTGTGTGTAGCTGTCCAGTAGAGAAGAAGCAGGAGAGTCACAGCAACAGCAAGAACATGGAAGGGTAGAAAGAAGAAAAGGATTTAAAAATCAAGAAAGGGTTCCTTTTCTTTGTTGGCAAACGAAACATCAGATCAGATCCAGAGCAGATCAGGCAAGGGGAGAGAGGCAGCGTGCCGCCGTCTCCAATTATTAATGACTTACGGCACTTGTTTGTTACGGAGTACCTTTGCCTTTTGCCTTACCTTATACTGTCAAATGTGTGAGTAAGGTAAGTGCCTAAACTATTATCGAACAAGGCAACAAGGTACTAAGAGGACGGAGTACGCCGTTGCCGGTGTCGTGATCTTTCTTTTTTTGGGGAATTCGTTGGGGTGGTGTTCATCGGACTGATCTGCCCCCTTTTCAGCTTTCCAAGTAGATCTTTTTTCCTGCGATCAATGTTTTGACTGATTCACGGACGGCATTTTACGACAATGTATACAGCAATTCCAGGGTCCCTCTGCAGCTACTGGGTACCTTTACTCTGCCGGGATACATTGTCCATCCCGAATTTTTCCTATCCAAATTCAGCTGCCAACAGATCAAGAAACAAAAGTTTTACTTCGGAGTAAAATGGAAAAGGCACACGACCAGAAGAGCAACATCACATCATGCTTGCGTGCAAAATCGTTCCACCTCTGGGGGCCCGGTAGACACGCTCGGCAGCCAATCAGGCTAAGCTTCGTACCTCCCAAGGTACATAAGGTAGGTAAGGTACCTTACCAACTTGCCAACTTACCTTACCTTAACCTTACAGAGCAGGATTGGCTTGATGCTACCGCATTAGGAGTAAATCTTCTTTTTTTCTCTTTTTTTTTTCTTCCCTTGGGGAGCAAGTCATACGAAGTACTAGCAGCCATAACCAAAAGGAAGTATTTATTGTCTTTCGGGGTGAGGCTTGTTCTCTTTCTTGGGGTGCGTTTTTGTTCTTATGTAATAAGGAGAATATGTTCGCCTAAAGAACGGTGTACGAGTACATACATCGAGTCGGATCTGGTTTAACTGTTCTTTCTCGTTTTCGTACCTGAAAAGGGGGGCCGAACGAATACCGGACCTTAATGAATCTCACTTGTACGATCAGCCGTGATTGACAGACAATCCTGTCCATCCACTCCTCATACATACTCGTACATACAAACACAGTGTTTCGCACTACCAACTCCAACATGATCCAAATAGAAGGGGGGAAAAGGGGGGGACAGGAGTATTCCAATAAATAAGTATAAAAGTCATGCGACCAATTAAGCAGAATAAAAAGGGAAAAAAAGCACAATTCTTCCTCGAAATGATGCAAAACGCCACCCCTCCTCCCCCTGGGTCCAATCACCGTCCGTTTAATTCCGCTGACAGTTCAAGAGAGCTCCTGAACTTTCCTTTTCAGGCCCCCCCCAATAATAGCCGTAGCTGATACCCTCGAGTGGTATGTAGCTGTGGGTAAATGCTTTTCCCTCCAGAATACTGCTACGGAGTATGGAGTTGTGAGTCTTGGCAGTAATATGCCTGTTGGCCTGGTTCTATTTGCTCCTTGGGCTGCTAGGGATTGGCCCATCAGCGTCTTCGATTGCAACATCGTCGCGGGTGTGGCGTGCCATGACAATTTGGTGGACTTGGCCTTTATTCTCATTACAAAGAACACATCTGCTCGACATATTCCAAGTTGCAAATACTACTGAGCATCACCAGACTGGGCACGAATTGGAGTCACGAGCGCAAAGTAAATTAACAGCTTCAGCTCATCTACCTCAAGACTACACACAACGCATTTGGTATATCTTCCTCGAAGCATCACTCACGTACATTCAACTCCTCACTTAAAACCGTCTGCTATGACGCTTGCAATAAAGACCAAAACGATATCAACGAATGTGCCCAATTCAAAGCCGGCAACTGATTGACACCTAGTAGTTATACAAGGTCGTACTATTTAATCAAATCATTCCAACTCCAACATAGAAAGGGGGAAATCCAGCTTTTATAAAACGAGAGGATGAGTCCGCCTCGATAAACGAGCAATGCTATACTTAAAAGAGGGATATCAAGAGAGAAGCTCTCGTCCCGCAATGAACGCCCTCCAAACCTAGTGATGCCCAATAACGATAATCCACTGAACCCTCTGACGGGGATAAAAACGAGCACCGTTGCCATGCTATTCGTCGCTTGTGATGATGTCCAAAAACCCAGAGATCCTCCGTGGGGTAAATCAGAAACGATAGTATAAAAAAACAAGGATCAAGAAGAAATGTAGAAAAGAACGAAATCAGTCAAGAAAGGGGGTAGTCGCAAACAGAGATGAATCATGCGCTCCCGTCAGCTAATCGGCAATGGCGCTCTCATCTTCCGGCACCTGCGGTAGTCCTTCCTCATTCTTCTCAGCGGCCGGCACGGTGATATTGGCTCGTGCCTTGCGCTGCGCTTCGACGAAACGTTCCCAGTACTCGGGGTCGCTCTCTTTCAGGGCCGCGAACAGGATATCCTTGTCCTCTTTGAATGCCTGGACGGCGCCCTTCTTCTTGGCCAGCTCCAAGAACTCTCCACCGACATCCTCGGCGAGCTCGTAAAGAAAATGCGCATGCTTTGGGTCCTTTTCCACGTCGTGCAGGGTCGTGAGCAGGTCAATGTGCTCGGTGAAAGCAAATCGGAATCTGTGACCGGCACGATGAACCCGTCCCTCTTCCTCGTCGAGCTTCTTGCCCAGGATCGAGTTGGAGCGTGACAGCGAGGGCCGCACAAGCTCGCCCTCATCTTCGGGATCCGATCCGCCTGCCACGGCGTCCTCCAGGGTTGGCGGCGATGACGAGAGCACCTCCGCCTCCGGCTGGGATGACGCCTCGGCTTCTTCTGTATCCTCGCGAGTATCGGGATACTCATCCTCGAATCGCTTGATGATGCCCTGCAGCGTCTCATCCAAGAAGTTGAGCTTTCGCAGGTTCTCGTCGCTCGGGTTCGCTCTCGCCTTGTTCAGAGCCGGCTGGAGGCGGAGTCGGATCTTCCGTGCGCCAGCCAGCAAGTGCTTCGACAGGTCCTTGGCCTTGCCGCCGGTCGGAATCTTGGGGCCAACCAGAGGCTCTTCCTCGACGCTGCCCGCCCGGAAGAACTCACCAGAAGCCCGGCGGGATTCGTCACCGCGGTTCTTCAGGCAGCACGCAAGCGCCTTGACCACGCCGGTACCGCCAATGACGTAGTCCTCGTCTGGCCCAGAGTCGTCTTCCTCCAGATCATCCTGATCAAGGACGTCGTGGCCGACGAGGTGCGCCAGCACATCGGGATAGGACGGTGTCTTGCCGTCCATAGACTCTCCTTTAGCCTCGGCTAGCGCTGTGGCCACAGCCTTGTTGATCTCAAAGTCATGGAGGTGCTCAATGTTCTGCAGGCAGTAAGCCACAACCTGTTTTGCCATTGCCTTGACGATTTCGCCGGCGTCTTCGCTGGGAACCTCAATGTCCACACAGATCAAGCTCTTGGACAGCCTAGTCGCAGCCATCAGCGACGCATACAGAGCGCAGGCTTCTTCCTGAGCCTCCTCCGTCTTGGCGCTCGCAAGGGCCACGATCTCTTTGTTTCCCAGCAGACTCAGGTGGCAGAGATGGCGGGCTTCGGGCACGACTTCGACTATGGCAATCGCTTGCTCAGCTGTCATATCGACATCCGATAGATGTAGCCGTTTGAGGCATTGCATCTTGGGAATGTATCTGTATAATGTTAGATCCTTGGTCTCTTTAAACGAGAGAGAGACGTATGCATACCTTCTCAGTAAACCAACAGCGCTCGGCGTTGATTGGAAGAGATCATGGTTGTGTGACAGGTCGATAAAGACAAAATTCTTCAGCTTGGCCAGAACAGGCAGTATGTTGCGCAGAGACGAAGGCGTCAGGTTGCAGTCGGAGATGCTCAGCGCCCACAACGGATCGGTCTCCCTGATGGACCCTGCAATGGTGTCCATGTGCTCCCTGAGATCGATGCCGCCCAGATCCAGCCCTTCGCAATTGCCAGACTCCAGATACCTCACCACGTGCTGAACGCCATCGTTGTCGAGGGGGTTTCGGGCAGTACTGAGACGCTTCACGCCGCACTTGATCACCCCGTCCATAATCTTGCCCAGCTGCTCCATGCTGGGTTCGGTTTCGCCGATGCTGAGCATTTCCAGCGCGGATCCGGCTGGTCGGTCGGCGAGCGCCCTGGCGAAGATCTCGGCAATGGTGAGGGGAATGTGGACGCCATTTCGAAGCGCGCCGTTGGCGTTGGCGGGAGGCTGGCGGGGGAACGGGATGCTGGAGAGATCCAGGTACTTGAGCGACCGGCACTTGTAGATGAAGAGCGCAATGTGCTTCCAGCCGTCCGGCCCCAGCTTGTTTTCCTTCAGCACGACCCTCTCCACCACTCCGCCCGACTCATGCGAAGCATTGGAATTCCTGCGCTTCCACGGCTCTGTGTTCTTCGCTGCCAGGAGACCAGCAAGAATAACTCGGACACCTTCGTCAGTAAGCCCGCTGTTTTGCAGAATGACCTCCTTCACGGACACGATGGCAAGGTAGTCTCCCAGGGTGATGAGATCCTGCAGCTGCATGAAGTAGCCCGTCAAGTCGATCTTGTTCACGCAGCCATTGGGTAGAATGTTGGCCGTGTCGCTCAGCTGCTCCGTAATCTTCTTGAGAATGGGGGTCTCGCGAAGCTGGCAGCATCTTCGGTAGATCCTGACCGGGTTGATTGTGGGTGAAGTCGTCTTGGAAGAAATTCCGCGCAGCTCGGCCGAGTCGCTGCTGTCATAGTGAATCTCTATGGGAATCGCTCCGCTCTCTTCGGCGAGCCGCCGCCTCTTTTCTTTCCTGGCTTTGCGTTCCTCTTCACTCCTCTTCTTCTTCTCCTTCTTTCTCGTCATGTCCTTCGGTTTGGCTTCTTCCGAACCGTCCGCTGGCTTTGTGCCATTCTGTGTCGGAGCGGCCGGCTTGCTCTCGGCCTCGCGCGGTTTGGCCTCTGCGGTACCGGGGCTCACACTTTCGTTCGAGGACGTACAAGCCTCCTTTTGGGCTTCGGCTACCTTGGGGTGTTTCAATGCCTCGCCCTCGCCCTTCTCGCTCAATTTCTTCTTCTGAGTGTGGTCGATGGAATCGGTATCTGCCTCTGTTTCTGCATACTTTGGCATAGGTGCCACCTCGACGTCAACGAAGAAGGACACCCGCCTCAGCTTGTTATCCTTGAGCTCTGCGATTGGACACCTCTCTCGATCCCGGTCGACGTTCAGTATTCGGCGCTCGACCAGTCCGTGATTGAATTTACCGGCAGCGCCCAGAGGACTGCTTCCACCGCCTGAGGAGGAAAGGCGCCGAAAAACGCCGAGAATTCCAGGCTGGCCCGATCTCGGCGGGGCCGGCGTGTATGGCTCGTCACCCTCTGGCTTTAGGCCATGCTGCAGAACGGCATTCTTGGTCGGCGTAATCTTGGGCACAATGGGTTCTGAATTTGTTGGGGCCGACGGCTGCTGCTGTTGTGAAGGCGCATGCTGCTGATTGCCCGTCTGCGGGGCCTGACCGTTCGCCTGAGGGACTGCGCCCGAGAACTTGGCGGAGATGTTGGAGAACCACGAGTTGCGACGGTGAGGTGGTGTCACGCTGTTCTGCTTGTCGAGGGAGCCCGACCTCGAGAGACGGCGGGCGCCGCTTGTGCCATTGACTGGAATTGGCTGTGTCTGGCTGACCGGCTTCCCGCTGGTCTCGCTCTTGGCCTCGGTGCTTTCAGCGGTTGTTTGAGGGCTCAGCTTGAGGGGAGAATCGTTGGGTATGCTTCGCGGCTGTACTGTGGCCACGGGAGAAGACTTGATGGGCGCAAAGGGTGCCTTGTGAAACTTGTCTATTCGCGATTGTCAGCATTCAATTCCAGCATAGTCCAATGCGCCAGCACGCAGCCGTCACAGCGTCGATATGGCCTTTGTAGGCCAATCATCAATCGAGCGCCGTGCCAGATGCAGCGGTGGCAGCAAGTAGTAGTAGGAAGCAGCAAAGTGGCATGCCTTTGGGCGAGCCCTGCGTCATCCAACTGACGTCGACGCCATGGACCTGTTCCATGATGGGAGGAGTTCCGCGACCGCTCGCGCGCAGCTGGAGGAGACAACGGAGGCGTCGAGAGTTGGCTCTGCTGCGGATGTTGGAGAAGAGAGGAGAAGAAAATGGCAGAATGGCCGAATGAGCGAAAGGAGGAATTGTGGTTGATTACATACAGGCTTCCGGCCGCCTTTGACTGGCTCCAGCTGCGAGCGATCGAGGCCATAGGCTGGGGTAAGGCGAAAAACACGGGGAGGGGCGCTGGAGCCGCTGGAGCCACTGGAGCCACTGAAGGGAGACGCCTGACAAGCCACTAGCGGGGTAGATCAAGGCCGCTGTGCTCGACTGGGCTAGGTATTCTTCAGGTGGTGTCTGCTGGACTATCTCGTACGAGCACATACACTAGACGGCCCTTTTTCGTGTACATGTAAGCTGCCCTGCTGCCCTGCTCTCTCCGTCTGACTGCTCGTACTACCTACGCTACTACAACTGCCTTACTCTGCGTCTCTCGCCTCTCGCCCGACTGCCGCCAGTTTAAGATAATCAGCGCCTGTCAACCGTGAACCTAAATCCAAGCCGTACCTGTACTTGCTGAGTCCTACTGCTCACCGGAAACATTTCCGTACGAGTACCTACGTCAGAGCAGCTCGTCCGTCCATGTTCATGGCACCCGTCAACCCCGGCCATGGTCGGTAGCTGTCGGCACGCTTCCTAATCCAATCACTCGAGTCCCCTTGCAAGGTCAAGTGAGTGCTTTTCCCTGTAGCCCAGTCCCAATTGGTCGCCTGGTCTTGGTGTATGGCGAGGGCTTGATGGTGTGTTTTTGCCACAGGGCAACTCGTCGCAGTGCACGAGACGAGGACCGTTCAAGCAAAACAGGGAAAACACCACCCAGAGGCGAACTCCGTTCCTGCGAAATTACGGAAGTTACCGTTATGGCAACTTGTGAGCTCATGTTATCTGGCATTCAACAAACTGGCTGACTGTATTCGCAAGCCACACGCACAACGAGCACCAAAGCATCTCGGGCGTCCACGGCGCACCAAAAGCCAAAATCTTCATTTCCCGCGGTAAATGTCCAATCCTCTACAACAAGGCCCCGGTTTCTAAGCACTTGCCGCCTTAGCCTGCCAGCCCGGCTGCTGACAGGTCCCTGAGTTTCTTCCGTCTTGGGAGCTCTCACGGTCCCGATTCCGGATAGCATCAAATCCAATCCAATGGGTCGGTCCACCATGCTTGTTTGACCCTAGAGGGAACTGCAGGAACTGCTCCATACGTGTACACGTAGAGGAAATGCCTCCCTCCGCGTGGTTTTAGAGTGCTAAGGTAGCTTTGTGGGAATGAACGGTCCGTACAAGTACGCGTTCAGCTGCAACTACTAGTACTACTATTTCGAAGGATATACCGACGAGCCTTTTTTGGCCCTGGGACGGAGTCCCCTGCGGGCTTTGCTTCCGGGCCAGCCGAGCGATCATCGGAACGGCGCCACAGCGTTCTGTAAAATTCAGATTGCTTCTTCAGCCACGACCCAGCACATTACACGTATCTGCGACGTCTCCTGAACTCAGCACGGCCAGCTGAAATTAATGGCTCAATCAGCCCCGTCAGCTTTGTCTGAGCTGATGGGAAATGGGCTTGGCCGGCTATGAACTCCGAAGTAGTACAGACGGCAATATCTAGGTGCATCTTACGGAGTGACCCCTGACGTATTGGGACCGTCCAAAGTCATAAGAGCAGCTCTGCCGGTATTACTCCGTATTTCAGAATTGATTATTGACGGGACGTCGCCGCACTTGGCACGTGAGCATGATATATGCGTCTAACGTAAGGGACAGAAGCAGCGAGAAGGGAGATCGCCTCATCATTCCCCCCTTGTTGACGTATTGGCGGCATGTACGTCATTCTGGTCGCCTGCCATGTGACCCTGCCTTGGTTCCCCAGACATCAGTCCTGTTGAGCCTGTAAAAGGAGCCATACAGTATTTCGTACGTTGTTTGCCTTCAAGAGGAATCTGTAATGGACACAATCGGTGGCAGATGCTGCTCTACAGACACGTCTAGATGTCTAATAATATCAGCATGTACTACTCGGGAGACTACGAAAAACACCCAAATACTCTATACTATCACTCCGTACTCCGTACAATACCTATGGAAAGATGACGGGCATCCTTGAACGTCTCCCATGATGTACCTCATGCAAGCGGAACTCCCGTTCCGCGCCCCGACCTTCACCCAGCGGTACGGGGTACCATGTACGGGGCTGAAGCCCGTAGGTAATTCCGTGATAATGACGGCTGCCAAGTGAACCCCCCCTGACGTGCTGCGCAATGCCGAACAAAACGGAATAGCGTATTGGATGGTATTGGGATCGGAGCTTTTGGTCAATAACCACCGACCTCCGCGACGGAAAGGGGCAGGGCAAACAATAATACCTACTCCGTAGGAATTCATGCCTTGTTGGGGGGGTCTTTGGTCAGGGAATCTCCGATGGAATCATCATGCAAAGAAACCGGTGAGAACGACGGCTTGCGTTGTCCCGTGTATAGGGGATTCAGAGGAATTTCGGAATCGGCATTTCTGCTTCTCATTTTACATTCCTTCTTTACCTTCAATATCCGCGGTCCACGGAATACTACAGTAAGGGAGGTGGGAGTTGCTTCGTTTACCGCACGTCCATGGCATTGGATTTAGGCTGATGTAACCCAGCGCGGGAGCATCGAAACACGGGGGCGATTCCATCTTCTTCGCCGAGATGCCCCATGGAACGAAAGACTGCTTGCTCTTACAGAACCTCTCTGTGCCACACCATGTAGAAAGTCCGAATGTATTTTGGTGATGGTGGGATTCAAGAGCTGAAGAGGTGCGATGTGGGCCCCGTTTAGAGGTGAGGCCATTGAGATGCAACTTACACACACAACGCAGCTTATTGATAGATAGATAATTCACGATATGTGTGGCATGAAAGCATAGCTCTTCATGGAACAAGGACTGAGATCAACATGCCAGTGATAACTGCGCGTTATCATGAAAGATGCAAGCAGTGACCGGTGTTTCTGTTCGGAGCAGAGAAAAGGGGGGAAAGGAGTCGCCTTTAGGGTAGGGCAGACCACAAAGACGCACCTTATTAACGCAACGTACGAACCACCGTTGACCGCATTGCTTGTTGAAGCGACAGCACTGAGGCCTATTGTTTACTTTGGATTGCATCTTGTTCTCACAACAGACATCGACATATCCCGTAGACTGGCAAGGTTGAACGAAAATCACTTGGATATACGCTGGAAAAAAATAATGCACGAAAACTGGATCTATAGATCCGGAGTGGAAGGTATCTTTTCATTCATTTAGACCATGAGGACCGACCCTTTCATTCCTGTAACTCCAGACCCAATATATTCGAGAACCAAATTGCAACCCTGCTCAAGAGCACACCATTTTTTACTCATCAGCCAGGATCTTCTGGATCTTGGCCTGGACGTTGGCGGCCTTCTCGGCCTTGGAGAGTCTGGCGGTCTTGTACTTCTTGGAGATGGCCTTCCACTCCTCCTTGGTCTTCTTCTCGCCCTCACCCTCAACCTTCTTGAAGGGGTCCTCACGGATGGCCTTGTGGGCCTCGGTGTAGAGGTCCTCGAGGCCGTCGGCCTCAACATCGTCCTCGATGTACTTGGCGAACTGGGAGCTGTAGCGCTCCTCATCGTCGTCGGCCAGAGTCTCCATGTACTCGGCGACGTGGCCGCCGTAGATGTACTTGCGGAGGGTCTCGGCGTCCAGCTCCTTGCTCTCAATGTCGTAGCCGGGGAATCGCTTCTCGGAGTGGGGGACGAGGATGCCGCCGTCAGAGGCGCCCTTGAGGGCACCGAAGACGCGGGCACCGGTGGAGGTGCGGGCAAGGCCGACGTCGAGGAAGGCCTTGAAGGGGCGGCGCTCGCCGTTGTCGGTCTCGGCGGCCTCGGTGAGGGTGAACTCACCGTCGGCCTCCTCGACGCCGACGAAGTCCTTGTCGAGGCCGAGCTTGCTGAGGACACGGCGGGCGATCAGGAGACCGGTGGCGTAGGCGGCGGACCAGTTGGTCAGGCCGTGGTTGATGCCGTAGGCCTTCAGCTCGTGGGAGTAGGCGGCGACCAGGACCTTGTCACCAGAGATCTCGGAGGTGACGATCTGCATGATGATGTCCTTGTTGGTGAAGCGGACGACCAGGCGGTACTTGGGCGCATTGTACTTGTTCTTGGCCTGGGTGATGAGGCGCTTACGGGCGTAGTAGTCGGTCTTTCCCTCACGTCTGCGCTTGTACTTGGTCTGGTAGCGGCTGTGAAGAAGGCGTTAGCCCAAGATTCCAGTCCATCAAATCGTGTTTCCCGGAGGAGCGCATCTTGGAAATTATATCTGTCCAACGCAGAGAACAAAATAGGGCAAAAAACATCGAAAAACTCACCTGTAGTACGCGCTGTTCTTGGCGAGCTTTTGGAAAGGCTGTTGACAAAAAATCCCCGAGTCAGCAATTTGCGCTTCAGAATGCTCGTCTTCCTTCCGAAGCAACTTGCGACGACTCTCAATCACGAGCAATTGAGCGGCATTTCTGCCACAACGGTTTTAAAATCCATCCTCATGTTACTGAGCTGGAGTTTCACGATAGGCCACAACTTACCATTTTGACGGTGGCGGCCTGGCGATGGCTGGCTTTGGTCCTCAAACTTTGGGTGGAAAATTTGATGATGAGGATAGAGAGGGCGAAATTCCCGGTGGGCTATTTTGTGAAGCCCTAAAATTTCGTGCGCTATCCGCTTCGCCTAGTTCCCACACCGCGGTAAGCCGGGTTGGTTACGAATCACATGACGCGACCCCTGGATGGAGGCTGCAAATTGACTTAGTAAGCAGGCAAGCAGAATATGGGGTAAAACGAGCCATGCCATTTGTGCTCTTATCTTATCGTCCATCATGGCGCGGGTGAGCCGCGAGCCGAGGCACGGCAACTTGCTTGAAGCTGGGGGACTTGATGAGAGCCGTCTCACTCAATGATTGAGTGAGTCTGCTCTTTTCCCTCTTCTTTACCGCATGGAACCTGACACTTGCTCTGTTGAGCTCATTCTGGAAGCAATAGATGCCGAAATGGAAGGTGCACAGCCAAAGGCCCTCCTGTTCGACATAGGAGGTGTTTGTGTAAGTTCGAGATGCATCACTTTGCATATCGCTGTACTATTTACTGCAAAGAGTCGAAGCATTTATGTTGACTTCCTCATTCTGACTGACATTCACAGGTCAAATCACCCTTTCAAATCATCTTAGACTATGAACTCTCCCTAGGCATCCCGCCCGGCTGGATAAACTACTCCATCTCAAAGTCCGGCCCCACAGGCTTCTGGCAGCGCATCGAACGCGGCGAGATCCCCATGGACGACGCCTTCTTCGAGGGCTTCACGCGAGACCTCCACGTGCAGAAGCTCTGGGAGGACTTTTACGCGGCCCAGCAGGCCAAGGACCCGCGCCTGGCCAAGGAGAAGATCCCTCCGCTGCCGCGCATCGACGGCAAGTGGCTGTTCAACGAGATGATGGCCGGCGCCGACGCGCCCGACCCCTGGATGTATCCCGCCCTGCAGAAGCTCCGGGACAGCGGCAAGTATATCCTGGCTGCCCTGAGCAACACGGTCATTTTCCCGCCGGGGCACAAGTTGCATAGAGAAGACTTTTTCGACGAGCCCGTGCGCCAGATATTCGATGTCTTTATCTCATCGGCGCACGTCGGCATCCGCAAACCCGACCCTGAAATTTACCGGCTCGCCGTTGAGAAACTCAACGCCTTTGCTAAGGAGAATGCGCACGATCCACGGCATCAGGGGAAAGGCTGGGAGAACGGCATCTCGCCAAAGGACATTGTTTTCTTGGATGACATTGGCGAGAACCTGAAGGAGGCGCGCAGACAAGGGTTCAACACGATCAAGGTGCATCTGGGGAGGACGTACGAGGCAGTGGAGGAGCTGGAGAAGATTACGGGACTCTCGCTCGAGGGGCCGCATCCGAAGATACCTATCAAACCGAACTATGGAAAGCCGCGGGCCAAGATATGATAGTGACATTGTTCATGCACTAATAGCGATGGCAGTGGGATGTATAGAAGAGCGAACTGATTTAGACCACATCGTTAAAGTTCTAAGCCAAATTCTCATCGAGCCGCTGAACCAGCCGGCCCTCATCGGCCACGAAAACGCCGGCATCGATCTCTCACTCCAAGTCCATATCTCTCGCCGTCAAGACCCCATCTGCTATCGCTCTCGGCTTTTCATCTTCCCTTAAGAACGCTTAAATAGAGTTAGCTAAGCGATGCCTTCACTTTAACGCTGCCTAGTAGCGCCTTTAGCTCTTCTCAAGATGGCGATGTATGTAAGCCCTCTCCTTACATTGAGTCCTGTCTTCTCTTCCTTGGTCAGCGAGCCGTTGCCAGCTTGCCGCTGACGCGTTTAATATTCGGCCATATCTGTGTTTGAATGTATCTCTTGTTAATTATATTGCCTCTTGTTAACGAACCCAGATAGAAGCCTCTATGCTCGTCGATATATTAGGCGTCCATGTCAAACAGGCGTCTGTATCCATCCATAGCTCCATACCTTTCCAATGGCCATCATGATACGTTGATAGGTAGCGTGAATAACGCACTATTCCATCGCATCGGGAGTTATCTCCTGCGTCTTAACGCGGCTCGGAGGGCTCTGATGGGCACTCTCAGAGTCTGACAATTCTTCGCCTTCACCGCCCTCTTCTATGGCGGTCCAGCTGCCGTCCACAAGCACCTTGATTTTTTTCACGTTCATCTTGCCACTAGCCAAGAGCTTTTTCGCTACATCGAGAAAGAAATCGTCCACTTGGAGGTTGCAAGGCCGCGCATCCAGACCGCATATAGGGCAGGCCCAGCAGTCTACCGTACTCGGCTCGCCTGGGCCCGGCGATGGCTTGCTTGGGCGAGAAACCAACCAATTCCCCAAGTCAAAACACTCGATATGCGGGCAGTTGTGGCCTCGAATCGGCATGTTAAAGAGAGTGGAGCTGAATATGTCCACGACCGAAACATTTAAGACGCCGCTTTCAATGATCATCTCATCCGTATCCAATGCCCTGAGCCGCCTGCAGATCTCCTTCTTGGTCACTTCCGCCCCAATATGGGGGCCAAAAGTCACCATGTCCCAGACAGAATTGTGATCCAGCGTGATAATGCGCTCGACAGCCATCAAGTAGGCAATGTCTTGTATGACGTTTTGAGGATACTGTGGTAGGTTGACTTTGATCTTATTTTTTCCCTTGAACACCGAGTCGGTGAGCTCGAGCGGTAAATCATGATGAAAATGTTGCTTGCGGCGCACATGAATGATCTCCTCATTGACTGAGACGAAGATGTGAGGCGGCCAGTAAGTTTTGCCTCGGGCCCATACAGCTGGATGGATAGTCGTAGGTCTCTCCTTGCGGCTGGTGCACATGCGAAGACGGAATCGAAGAGAGTTATTGAAGTGCCGGCTCACAGGCAACTGAATAATGAGCGGATCCTCAAGAGGCGAGGGAGGTGGTCGGCTCGTAATGGAGAGACGGTCTATCTCTTCTTGAGTTACATCAAATTCGAGGACGGTGACTCCCATCTGCGGAGGAATTTCTGTTGGTTCCACGGCGAACTCTAAGAAGAACTGATAGTAACGAGTCATCTGCTTTTGCGCACCCAGTACCGGACTGGATGGAGTTCTTCGAGGGCTATGCAAACCGATCAAGTGAAGGCTTGCTTGTCCTGAGGTGGATTCATGCGGGCTGAAACGACGTGCATTTACGGGATGAGTAGTATTTGCAGACTGGCTGCTTGTTGGGTCAGAACGCGGTGCTGGCGCTGAAAGGCGATCTCGAGCAGTCTGTTGCAGTTGTACATAATGCAGGCCGGGAGTCTGCAGCATTTCTACTGATACCTGGGGATGGGGGAGAGGCTGATGGGTTGTACTAGGCCGAGGGCCTGCATATACACGAACCTGGCCTTGACGACCTTGGTAGTGCTCAGACCCCTGAGTACTCTGGGACCCTAGACCAGTTTGCAGCATTTCTGGTTGCGGTATACTCTGCTGATGTGGGTGAGACTGGAGCGAAGGCGGACCATCGGATGGCAGAGACGTTGGCTGGTGCTGTTGCCTGCCGTCACCCTGTACCCCACGCTGTTGGGCTTGTCCCGACGGGGGCAGAAAAGGGTTCTGCGGCATGGAAGTTGGATTTTGGATTGGCTGGGGATTTGGGCCTCGGACGTGACTCTGGTTGCTGTGATTGCCATAATATTGCTGTTGCGGAGGATACTGCTGCTGAACAACGCGTTGCTGCCGAGCGTACAGTTGCTGCTGCTGCTGCTGCTGCTGCTGCTGGAGGAGGTTCTGGACTAACTGAAGATACTCATGGTGCCGCGGATGCTGGGGATTCTGCATCTGCTGGAGAAGTAGAGCTTGCTGGGATTGCTGAGAGTGTTGCGGATGCTGAGGGTGCTGGTAAGGCTGAGCAAAGGGAGTTTGTTGCTGGTTTGGATATATTTGTGGGTGCTGAGCATGCTGGGATTGTGGCGGATTCCCAAGAGTGTGGGGATAGGGAGAATAATACTGCTGGGAACGAGGCGCTGATGCAGAAGCATATTGAGGGCGATGAGGCTCCTGCGGCTGCTGGGGAGGAGAAGGATGTGGGATATGAGGAGTAGATGGACGTAGAGGAGGCGGAGGAGGCGGAGGAGGGGGAGAGGGATAATGAGGGATGGGAGGACGCGAAGGAAGAGGAGGGTACTGAGGCTGAGAAGGAGAAGGGAGAGAAGTATTCCGGTCTTGATGCTGCCTCAGCCGTTGATCTGCAGGTGGCAGTGATTCGTCTTGCGATGAAATCATCGGAGACAGAAAATCCTGCTGCTCCAAGACGGGCGGCGCCGGCGGTCCTGACACCCTCGCCGCCTGCGAAGTTTGTGGGCTGTCAGTAGCGTCTGCTGAATATTGGAGGCCATCTGGCCGAGGCCGACCCTCGGAACTAGCTGCTGGTTGAGACGCTGGGCGCGCAGGCAGAGAGCCAGGTCTAGCGCTCTGAGGGGAGCTTTGGGATGAAACATGCGGAAGAGAAGAGTGAGGCTGAGGAGGAGCCATGGTAGCCTGTGCTTCGTGCTGAGGGTCTTGAAGAGGACGAAGAAGCTGCGGCTCTTGCGGTGCCTCCAGGGAGGCCTTCAGGTTGCTGCTCTTGTTGCTATCGTAGCTATTGTTATATTTGTTCGTGTTTGTGTTTGTGTTTATATTTGCGTCTGTGTTTGTGTTGTTTACCTCAATCTTGCTGCCAGGTGCTCCCTGGGAGTTGGCAGCTGGCACGGCTATATATAATGCAAACACCCCATAGATCAGTCAGCCCCAATTCACTATGTCAGAAAAACACGGGGACTTATTAGACAGAGCCTTGACCAACCTGCGAGACTGGCTCGTTGCACCCGAGCCTTCTGCACGACAGCCAGGTAGCTCCTCAGCACGGTGCTGCGAACACGCGCCATTTCATCTGGCGAAACTTTCTGCTCTTCAAAGGCGCGCTCCTGGCAGCTGTCCATGGTGAAGAGTTGGCTGATCTCGACTCCTAGCGGTCCGTTGGGCACCCCGATTACTCTGCGGATGTACGTGAAGAGCGTGATGGCGATGGTTGGCGACGTACAAGAGAAGTAGTCACGAATTTTAAATGCCATAAGGGGCACCTGCTTGGATCTGATGGCTACCAAGACATGTGACCAATTTGAGGCAAAGGCCATGAGGAATGCTTTGATCTGGCAATACACGCGATCGAGACCAACCACATCGTCGCCGAATCCCGGGAATTTCGAGAACCATAGTCGATGGGGAGGAGCCAGTCTCTCACCGTCTTGGAAAAGCTTATACAGCTCACCAAAGGCTACGTCGATGACAGTGGATGGAATGGAAAAGCGGACATGTGCTGCTGTTCTGTTTGTTATCCAGCAACAGTACACCTGGTGAAGGATAAGAAACATCGGGTCCATATTGTGGCAGGCTCCAAGAAGCATGTCATATCGAGCCCTCTCGGGGAGCGTGGCTGCTACATTGCCTTGCTCGAGTTGCCGAATCCTGGTTTTCACCAATTCAATGGCCTGCAACATGGCTCTGTGGAGGGGAAGAGCAGTAGGAGCCGTATCCGGTGTCGGTGTGGACATTCCTTTCTCCAATACCTGCATAGCGATATCGCCATCGTGGTCGCTTCTTCTCTGGTTGGTTGTGTCAAGGCTGGGATCCTCACAGGGGGTATGTAACACCGGTGCTGATTCCGCTGGGGCTGTCGTAGGATGACTGTTTGGTTGACCTAGAGCATGGGTGGATGCCGGACTTGCTTCATTGGTGAGAGATGGGGAGGGTAACGTGCACGTGGATGAAGCGCTATGTAGCACAGGTATGTGTTTGTTAGCAGGCGTGACTGAGTATGGGACTCTTCTTATAACGGGCATGGTATATACCGAGGGGGCGGAAACGAAGCAGAGAACAGGACCAGAGGCTCGCATGAGGTGGCAACCCCCGAGGAAGTACATATGTAGAAGGAGGAGGGAGAAGGCCAGAAGAAAGACATGAAGGAAAACAGAAAGATGAAAGGAAGGTAGGAAGACAAGGGGCAAAATAAAAGGCAAAAATATAGAGAAAGGACGAGAAGGGGACAAAATGACAGGACGAGAGACGTAATGAGAGGACCGCATTACCGTGAAGAGGTCCATGCACATCGGCCTACTTGTGCCTCATGAGCCTTTGAGTCAAGCACCGACACGGAGCCTGAGCCGGAGCCGGACAGACGGGATGATGGAGGAGACGCAGCAATGGCGGGAGAGTCGGCTGTGGTCCCTGCAACAGCAGTATCAGAAGCAGCGGCGGCCGTGCTGAAAGCAGCAGAAGCAGTAGACGCAGCACTCAAATCAAGTGCCAACTGCAGACCCCGACTGCTCAGCTTGAACTTTTGCTGAGGCGGCTTGCTGATCTGCTTGTCTCCAGGCTTTGGAGGCATTGCAGCCGATCCTATTCATGAGAGGCGAATGGTGTTAGCTGAGGCCGTGAACTACGAGTGTTGGGCACGGATGGGGATGTATCTGACTGTAAGTGGATGGATAGATGGACGGACGGATCCTTGTAGCAATGCTCCAAGTAAAGTGATTGCCCTGAGCCTTGCCTGACGCAGAATAAAGCTGCTTCAATACACGGCAGAGGTGGATGATGGCTCCGCTCAAGCCACTCTGATGTGCCGATGAGGAGTTGCCTGAGGATGGAAGAGGACGAGGAGAGAGGGAAGGAGAAGAGACAAACAACACCTGGGATTTAAGGCAAGCTGCATCTGTATCGATACCCATCTGCGTGCGCATCCGCTGCCTGACTCAACGGTACCTCTACTGGTACCTCCGTCGCATAAGGCACTTTCAGGCACCAGCAGTGAAATGCAAATCTCTGTCGCCCGTCCACCACAATTCACCCACTCACGGGCATACCTTATGCCCAAGGTCCATCAGAACGTCTCCCAAGTATGCCTGCGCCGTGCCAGCGTAAATAGCTGTCGGAAAGCGGCTGCAGGGCTCGACTGCACTGGCGAGATCTCAGCCCATGCGCTTCATCGTGCTGGAAGTTGTTTGCCACAACTCCCTCCTTGCTTTTCCCATGCAAACCACAGCACGCCATGCAGCCTGGCAAACAACCACCCGCTCAACGGCTCGTGCAAGGAATGTGAACGATTAACAATTTGGAGTCACCAAAGCCCATGGAGTCTGGGCGGTGAAGATTCTTCTTCTTCTTCTTCTTCTTCTTCTTCTCGATTCTTCTTGGATTCAAGGCGCTTCCACGGAGGGATGCATGGTTCAACTCTGGGCATATCTGTCCGTTTGAAACGCGGTGGCGAGGCGGGAAGCATCGCGACTACCTACATATCACATATCTGTATCTAACCCTCTGGTAGATGCTCTTATCCAGATATTTCCGCACAAACGGCTTCTTGCAAGACATTGCTCATATAACTGTATAGGTCCGTCGCACAAAGTGCAGAGGCGGAGGACGAAGGATGGTGGCGTCAATACATAGCAGGGGGTGCGGCATGCGAGGCGGCTTAGTGTTGCCATTCATTCTCTTTGGTTCTAGTGCTTCTTTTGTTGCTTCTCATTGTTGCTTCTTTGGCAACCAACCGTGAAACAGCAAAGATGGGGGAGAGAAGTGGTCTTAGAATACAGTACTCCGCAAGTCACCTTACCTACCTTATACTGCTCAGTGCCCATCTACCTACAGGAATGTATTTGCCAGGCTTTCTGCGTGTATTAGAAAGAGGCTTCGTGTTAGTTCCTGCGTGAACTTCAACTCCCATCACGAAGTACTGCAAACATCGGGGAATAATTGGCGTCTCAGTAAGGGAGTGTCGGGCACAGATCCTGTTGTCAAACGAGGTTGGGCTAGTCTTCAAGGCGATGGAGTAGTCAGGCACCCGCTCGGCACTTTACGATAGCCTCAAGCCAGCATGGAACTGTTCCACTTGATTCCACTTGGATTTCGCCCTACAACTTGAATGCAACCTCAAGTGGCTTGAGCTAAAGCCTTGCACCGCATGCAGCCAACTTACGGCTGAGGGCGTTTAAAGATGGACTGCATACGGCGTTCTGCCCTTCGAAACGCACTTCAAAGTCTATGGCAACTGGTATTATAGCAAAGTGTGCCTTTGATAAAAAGGATTATAGATTGATTGAGATAGGAGACAATATATCATACCTTATGAAAATGAGTGAACAGAAAACAGGAGTTGAGAGACAGAAGTTGGTAGTACTGTGCGGCAAGAGCTACAGTATGCCTATATCTATTAGACACTGTATTTCAGAGAATTGGTTCTCCGCATATCAGGTCAACCAGCCATGTGACCCCGCTTCTTCTCTGCGTCTGGTCGCTCTTGCACTGTGCTTGGTCATTTCATGGGCCATGACATCGGCCTCATAAAGATGAAGGCGTTATAACCTGCACTTACACACATCGACGTGTGCTAGAAGACAAGACAATCGCAAAGTATCGGCAAGGCTGGGATTATAGGTATTTATATGATATATTGCTTGTCAAGAGATGCTCTAAGCCATCTACCTTGAGCAGTCCTGGGATTTCAGTGACCAAATGCCTCGCCTGATACACATCCAGACACTACAAGGGACTGCCTTCCTGAGGCACGTCCATCGATATCAACTGAGAAACAACAACTGCGTAACTTTGGACAGAACGGCCCTATGAACCCTGGCTACTGCTCAAGATGTTTCCGATTGCACTGCCTTCGTCAGGAACGCCACAGCATGATCCCATAAAGACAGCCTCCGGGTTTATCTCGCGTTTAAGAGAAACACGCACCAAGGCAAACATGCTAGAAAAGCTGCTCGCCGCTTTATTTGAGAACATGGCTATACTACGTCCTTAGCATCTTTCAGACGCCTCATTTGTTGACTCGTCAATGTCGTCAACACCCGGCAGCCAGACGTCTTGGCATCGCTTGCCCACAGAGATTCGGCACCAGATCCTGCAATCCTTGCTAGGGCAAGACGGTTGTCGCCAGGCTCCCTATGCCACCGTATCACGAGAATGGCAGGCAATCGTCGAGACGCACACATTTGCCCGGATTAGGCTGACGCCGTCTCGCATCGACGAGTTTGAATCAATGGTCCACCGCAATAGGGCTCTCGTACGATACATATGGCTGTGCTTGGAACTCATGGAATATGACTGCTTTATGTGCGCGCCTATGGATCCGGTATTACGAGAGTTCCGTAACACGGACAGCTATATGATCATGGTAGCATTGCTCGATGTCTTCTCGGTTCTCAGCACTTGGGAACCACAGGGCAGCCTGCAGCTGGATATCAGCGTTTACTCCCCCAGCGATTCAGAGCACTGGTTCAAGTATCTGACATTCGAACCCGACGAACCTTCCAACGAGTACAATCGGCTTCGACGAAGAGACTTGGAGCGATCAATAACGCATAACTGTGAAGACTGGCAGCACGGTTGGCGTGGTGGTCGGCGACGTTTTGCCCCAGATAGATGGGCCATCCACAAGATTTTCAACAGGTTCATGGGCAATGGGCCTTTCTCGGAAGACGAACAAGAAGAAGAGTATTGGCGGCAGCTACCCTTGGCCCCAGCAGTAAAGAGTGTGCTTCTTCGCCAGCAGAACCGTCGACGATGGAACCCGACGGCGCTGGCAGGCATATTTGCCCGTCTTCCGGGTCTCCTGGATGTTCACTACGAGCCTTGGAGAGAATGGTCTCATGCACAGCAGATCCCGACGGATGAAAGTTTGTGCTACCATGCATCCATTGTTATTATCTTTTGCCGAGCGCTGACATTATATCGAACCTCGTTGTCAACATATAGGCATGCGATCGCTACTCGAATCCCTCGCTTCTAGCCAAGTACGGCGACTCATACTCTTTGAGAACTCCTGTTCGCAGTACTTGCTTGATTTCCCGTTTCTCGATACTGACCGAGGCTCAACCCTCGTTGTCAGCCGGGCCATCGCCAGTGCCAGTCTCGTGCTTGAGCACCTCGCAGCATCGTTCATGGTGGACGCTAGCGATTTCTTTGAAGCCCGCGAGCCTTCCTGGAGGTGGCTCAACTTGACTTGGCTGGCGCTGACTTCACGATTGCTAACTCCCGATCAGGATGCTGAGAAGGTGGATGAGATGCTCTGCGCAGCAGCAGCGGCGGCCATGACTATGCCAAACCTTGAGACAATGGAGTTGTGGAATGGATCAGAAGGGTTGGCCATGGTCTTTAAGTACCAGAGAGCCCGAGAGAGGGAACCGGCTGTGATTACAACAAGGGGAACATGGGACTTCGCCTTGTGTCCTGAGGTCGTCGATGCTTGGGAAGTCGTCGCAAAGAATCATTGTTGCGAAGGATGCACGATTGAGAAGGAGTTGCTGAATGCTGCTGCTGTCACTTCCACCGGTGATGCAATACACTATCTGAGGCTTTCCCACCCGGTGATTCGGCCTATTTCGCTGGAGCAGATTCGGATGGAGAGAGGATTCGTGACGGAGTGCATGCCGTGAATGGGATACATTGATGGGCTCGGCAGGGATTAGGGTATGTAGTCTGTCTAGGTATTCTCTCACGTCAGAGTTCTAAACAGGGCAAGGTAGTAGACTATAACAGAATATTCCTGACATGAGGCATCATGCATGGAGTCAAGTGGCAACCCGTAGTTGAAGCAAGCATCAGACAGACTTGGCCGACGCACTTCAAGTACTTTAGCAATAGTGAACTGGTTTCTCTATCTTTTTTCAACATAACATGACAACTAAATAGTAAGAAAATCTCTGCCACTACCTGTTCTAGTATCCATTGTTATGATCGCATTCTCCATCTGTACTGTATCAATCTGCTATCTGCACATACGAGGCCAAGTATTTATAGCATCAACAGACAGTGCTGGCCGTGTCCCGATCCGGCTCCAGTGGCTTGGGTGGCCCAACTCCCCTAAACGCACACACTGTGCAGCGCCCCTGCGATGCGATTCGCCCGCCCAGCCTCCAGCCGCCCAATCGCCTCGTTGCACCAGTCCAGACCATTTCAACCCTCCCTCAACCATCTGGCGGCGCCGTCCAATCAACCCAACAAACGGCCTCAGAATCCTGTCGGCACAGCCCTTCTCCAGGCCGCTCCAGCTGCAACACACGGCGCAGCAGCTCGCAGCGCACACAGGCGACACCACGGGATTCCCGCCACTGCCAGCGCCCGCCTCCGCTGTGCGCGCTTCTCTCTCCGCTCCCCGGACGCTTTTTCACGAGGCCCAAGCGGCTCCAAAGGGGTCTTTGGGCTGGGGCAAGGACAGACTGACGCCCCCTCGGCTCGCCTCTCCTGCTCTCAACTCTGCTCGACTGCCGCCGCGCGTACACATCGAACTCGGTCTGGTCGAGTCCAGCGGCAAACAGCACGTCTCGCTGGAATCTCGGACGACGCAATCCCAAGTTGCGGCGCGGCGCAGCGCATAAACCAGCCTGACAAGGGCTCGACCGCCCTCCTGCTCCCTCGTGCTCCCCCCCCCGGGATTTGATCCGTCTGGGCAAAGATCACTCATGGCCGTTGTCGCTTCACGGCGTTGATGAAAGCAGCAGTATCTTGGCCTACAGCACATCCGAGACGCATCCGCTCACGGCATCGATATCCCTCCCGCCCGCTTTCCCGCGCCCAGCCGTTGTCGCTCTTCGGGACCAACCGCTCCTAGCCCTGCATCCTGACGGCATCGTCACCCTTTGCTTGGCTTAAACGACAACAACTTGTTTCTAGGGTTGCTCTTTGGTTTGCTTCGTATATAAACACACGGGGCGTCGAGCACAATGGCGTCGCGAGCAGCAAACGACGGGGCTGTCCGGCCCGACGTGGGCGACCTCTTAATGGTGATCCACGACTTTATTGCCCGCAGCTCAGATGAGCTGAGCCTTAAGAAGGGGGACCGCGTGGAATTGCTAGAACGAGACGACGAGTTTGGAGACGGCTGGTTTCTCGGCCGCCACATGACGAACAACAACACCGGTCTCTTCCCTGAAGGTGAGTAGCGCTCAACACCACGATCAATTGCATCGAGCAGTATGCGGTATCCAGCAGACCTCCGCTAATCTCTGCTATTTCGCTCGCTATCATAGTCTATACCCGACCGACCCCAAGAGCCGTCTCGAACCCTGCCTCGACCCCTGCTTTCATGTCTTCACAGCCGCTCTCTCCCCTGGTAGAAGTCACTCAAGAGGCATCCCTCCAGGCCACCCCGATTGCTCATCCTGCCGCCAGCTCATCTGCCATGCCCCTCTCCTCAATCGCATCGCCTTCTGCTATGCCAGCGCATTTGATGGGCGCCGAGTCAGCTCCCGTGTCTGGCCTGGGTGGCACAGGATCCCCCGTTTCCGCTCTGGACAACAGCGGACAGGACGAGTTTCTTAGCGAAACCCTCAACGTCATCAACGAGCACATCACCCACCTGCAGTCACCACCCGGCACCAGTGCTGGCAACACAGCCGCTACAGACTCTGGCAGCGAGTACAGCGTTGCGATTGACCACCGAATGTCGTACATCCAGGGCGAAGAAACGGACGAAGAGGAGGAGGCCGAACACAGTCGCGCCGAGGTGGAGGCTTGGTCCCCAGACGACGTGGCCGAGTATCTCTTTACCGAAGGCGTGGAGAAGCACCATTGCGAAGTGTTCAGGGACCAGGAAATTTCGGGTGAGGTGTTGCTAAGCATGGACCAGAGCTCCCTGTTCATTAAGGATTTCGATCTGGGGTCCGTGGGCCGGCGCTTGAAAACGTGGCAGAAGATTAAGGCCCTTCAAGACATGGTTGCCGGTGATGAGCCAGATACCCGGCGCGCCACGCACACGCGCGGCAGCGATGGCGGATCCGAAGATGCGAAACGGACGAGAAGCCGAACGAGCACCCTGACAGGGAACTCAATATCATCACGACCCACCTCTGTGCAGGCTAGGCGCCTGTCCCTGGCTCAGTCATCTAACAAGGCCTCTCCAGCCGCACATATAACCCCAACAAACGGCTCTCAGGAGAGCCCGTCGCGTACACACGTCAAGCGCCCTTCTGCGGCGTCCATCCGAGACCTCAACCACTCACGACGCCACTCCTCGACCGAATTCCGCCTCCCAGGCTCCAATGCAACGGTGCCCAAGGTATCGGCCAACGCAAACCTGTCCGTGGGTGATGGCGTGCATAAGAAACAGCCCTCTTTTGATCGAAACTGGACCCTGGGCGGCGCTGTCTCGCAGACCTCTCAACGGCCGCTCTCCTCCACGGGACTGCAGGAAATGCTAGGCACCTCCGACCCCGAGCTGCAGGACTCCGCCGTCGAGCTGGACCGGGGCTACTTCTCCGGCACCGAGGTATATAGAAAGGGGCGCAATGTTCTGCGGAAACGTGAGAGCGCTAACCACGGGACCGAGCAGAGCTACGCCGACGAGCAGAGAGTGCGCAGCGCAACGGCCCTCTCCCGGCATTCGAGATACGGTAGCGTCGACTCTTTCCGGGACGGAGCGCCGTCGGCCGCCCAGAAGTACTACGGCATCCAGGCGAGCCCCCACAGGCGGAACGCCTCCACCAACACGACCGACTCTGTCCGCCCGCCGCCCCCGGCCAAGGATGGACCGGCGCCGGCCGTGACCAACCTGGATACCATGATGAACCCTGCCCAATCGGAGGCGTCGCCAGTCGTCGCCAAAGGCCAGGGCCTCAGCGCCGACTGGCTCTCGTCGGTGACTAAACCTGTTGGCAAAGCCACGCGGCCCGCTATGCGAGCCATCTCCGACAAGCTTACCTTTGAGAGATCCAAGGGCAGCGGATCGGCCGACCTCTCGACGACTGAGCCGCCCATGCCCTCACCGGTGCGAACGGGATCCAGCACCGCTTCGGCAGGGCAAAGCCTGGAACTTGATTCACACGAAGCCCTCAAGAGCCCCGTCACGGCGACGGCTCCCGCCAACAAGAAGGGTGGGAAGAAGGGCAAGAAGGAAACGAGTGCCTATACGCAAGGCTTGTTGAAGATCCCGCCGCAGGTGGCCATGAAGGATGCGGATTACTACGGCTGGATGAAGAAGAAGAGCTCCAACCTGATGACCACCTGGAAGCCTCGATTCTTTGTTCTCAAGGGACGCCGACTTGCTTACTACTACTCGGAGGAAGACGATCAGGAAAAGGGCCTGATTGACATTTCATTCCACCGCGTTCTGCCGGCCGATAACGAGAGGCTGACCGGACTGCACGCGACCCTGACTGGCGCAGCTGGCGGTTCCATCATGCCAGGCGGCCACACGCCTGCAGGCGACGACGGCTTGACCAAGGGCGACGACTCCATGTTCATCTTCAAGCTCGTGCCGCCGCGAGCAGGCCTTTCCAAGGGCGTCAGCTTCACCAAGCCGACGGTGCACTACTTTGCCGTGCCCAACCTGAAGCAGGGCCGCCTCTGGATGGCAGCCCTGATGAAGTCGACCATCGAGCGAGACGACACCCAGCCCATCACAACGACGTACCAGCAGAAGACGATATCCCTCGCCAAGGCGAAGCAGATGCGCCACCGGCCCCCGGGCTTTGAGGACGCGGGTGCTACCGCGGGCGGAGTAGACGGCGAAGCGGACAGCGGCGTGTCCGGCGTGGACAAGCTGGCGGCGCTCAAGATTGACGGGGCTCGGCTGGACGTGAACTTTGGCGACAAGGATTCTTCTTTTTCGCCGTTGAGCGCGTAGAATGCGCTCCGGTGGAGGAAGACTCTGCTTTGATTTGACATTGTGGGGGGGCTGGAGTCTGGACGTTATCATGAACAGGGGGGATGCTTTTACTCGCGGGATGCTTTATTCGCCAAAGGAGACACCCATTATTGCTTTTCAGAAGAAGAATGAGGAGTGGACAAAAAAAAACGATAACCGAAAAAGAGAAACTGTCGCAGAAATGTTTTTTAACGTGAGAAATGGCTGGCTGGCTCTTTTTTGATAGGTAGGGAGAGAGGACGCCTTATGAGAAAGAAGAAAGCAAGAAAGAAAGATCGGATTATGAAGAAATTCTTATGCAGCTCGAAAACCCCCTTTCCGTTACCACTTTTCTTCTTAATCTTTGGGGGGAGTTTCGTCATTATTAAGACTATTTCTAATAATTGGTTTCTGTTTTTCCCCTTTCCAATTCCTCTCTTTATCTCTATGTGTGTGTGTGTGTGTGTGTCATGGTATGCTTTACGTTTTCCTGGTGTTTTTCAAGTTTTCGTTCGGTAGAGGAACACGGCCTATTTTTTTTATCATGATCTCAAATTTCCTTCTTTTTCCTTTTATTTCATCAAGTTTCCAGGTGCGTTTTCTTACTTGGGACAATTTGATTTCGCTCGAAATATCTTGCGGGGAGGTAGAGAAGTGAGAGAAGGAGGTGGGACAAGAAACAGAGAAGAGAAGAAGAGGAGGAGGAGTTAACTCAATGCCCTGGCCGAATAGACCTTACTTTTATCCCACCTTGAGAGGCAAATTATCTTACCTACCTTACGCTACAGGTAGATTGTGCAAATACCTATGCTCTATTACTTCCGAGTGTCTCCGATCGAGTTGACATGTTCATCTCTGAGAGCTGTGGATGCTCTACTACTACCTACCTAGCGGGAGGCAGACATCACCAAAGGTAGGTACCAAGAAGAATCGACGTGACTGGCAAAAGCAACCTTCCCAAAGTCTGGAAACTTCACATTCCAGTCATACAAGGCAACATGATCAAGTCATTAAAGAAACGCTACCATAGTATATCCGGCCCGCATCAAGCCGTAGCCGTAGACAAAGACGTCAAAACATGTGTTACACCTGTGGCAGTCCTTCCATCGAGTGGCCCAAACGCCCCGGTAGTTCTGATACTCCAGCCCTCTTTGCAACGGATTACAAAACCGTGATACAAATGCTCAGTTCATGAAATCTGGCAACCCTTCTGGCCGTCATTGCCATCGCCATACCACACCTAAGGTCCAATCAGTCGCCCTGTAGCTTCTGATTCATGCCCTGGAGGAGCTGCCGGATCGACTTCATGAGATGCTGCTCCACCCCCTCAAAGTTGCTCGCCGGCTCGCCCTCGGCCGCCTTGGGCATGATGCTTGCATCGGCGAGGCCAATCACCCGGTCAATGGCGGACAGGGTCACAGCCTCAGCCTTGGCCTCTCCCAGACCTCCCTTGATGGCATTGACAGAGGCGTCCTTGAGCCCGTTCAGCGCAGCCAGTACCTTGGGCTCGAAGACAGGCGGCGTATCTGTAGGCAGCGAGGTGGAGCTTCCGGGCGTGGGACTCTTGCCCTTGGTGAAGCCATCGATGACCTGCCGGATTCCCTTGATGCAGATCGCCTCCATCTTGTCGTTTTCAGTCGCTTCCTTCTTGAGCCCAATGCACCTATTCAGGGCCGACATGACAATGGCCTCGGCCTTGGGATTGCCAGCCTTTTTGAGATTGTCCACGAGGCCGTTTTTGAGGCCGACGACTGCGCTAAGAAGACGAGGCTCGATGATCGGCCGAGCAGGCGCCGCCTGTGGTCGAGGCTGCGGCGGGTGAGCGGCGGCTTGCACCGTCGTCTTTTGCGCTGCCGGTGCGGCCCCTGGAGCAGCCGCCTTTGGCTCCGTAGCGGTAGCGGCGGGCGAAATGGTTGGTCGGGGTGACTGCTGGACAGGGCCAACAGCAGCCGCAGCCGGTACGCCGGCGCCGCTGTCCTCGGCCTTGACGGCTGGGGTTGCCATGGGAGGCGGCCTCGAAGCGTAGGGCGAGCTGTAGGATGCGGGCTGGGGTACCCCGAGCTGGGGGCGAGCCGGGGCTGCCGGGGGACCGTATCCTGGCAGCTGGATCGGGGCTGGAGCCGGAGGCGGAGCGCCCACGGCTGGCTGAACCGGTTGATGGACAGGGGGTGATTGTGATGGGCCATACGGCGTTGGACGCGCTGCGTGGCTAGGCGGCTGCGCCGCATATGCGGGAGCTTGATACGCGGGAGCTTGTGCCTGGCCTGGGGGGTAACCAGGATGCGCTCCAGGGGCCATGTGCTGAGCGGCGTAGGGATACGAGTAGTGTCCATAGGCCTGCGCAGCCGCCAGTCCTCGGTCCGGGGAGGATGCTTTGCGCTTCTTACCAGCATCCAGCTCAACACCGGGCACCCGAGACCACAGGTTCGTCGTTTCATCCTTCCTAAACGCCTCGTTCCCAATCAGATTATGGCGTACGCTACTCTCCCAGCCCTTTGTCTCGGTGTGGAAATAAAACCACGGGTATCTTTGGCAGATTCTCTTGTAAATCTGCTTCAACGTGAGACCGTCAGGGCCAGCCGCCGTCAATGTTTCGTCAATAAGCACACCGTAGTTCTTATTCGGCTTCTGGAGCTGCTCCTCGGTGTAGTCCTCAATCTTGAGTTCCAGAGGAGGCGACTTGGGCCGTGCCTTCTTCTCCTTCTTCTCCCTCGCTCGTCTCTCGGCATCGGAGCCTTCGGCGCCGTCTTCATTCTTGGGCTTCCTAGGCTTGTATTTGCGCTTCTCGGGCCGATCCACCCCGTCTTCCGGCAGTGGGTGTTTCCTCGGCCGGCCGACTTTGCGCTTGATAGGCGGCTCGACCGGCGGCGCTTGAGGCAGTGTCTTCTTTGCCATTTCTTGCTGCTGCTTCTTCAGCAAACGCTGCTCTCTCTTCGACATGATGCCGTTCTTGGGTGGTCTGCCGGGTCCCCTCTTCCTCGGTATCTCGGGCATCGAGAGGTCGTGATTCGCTTCTCCTTCGTCCTTGATTTCAGAGTCGCCCTCGATGGATGCTTCTGGCACGTCGGCATCTCCTTCCTCTTCGTCTTCCTCGTCGCCTTCTTCTTCCTCTTCTTCCTCCTCCTCCTCCTCCTCGCCCTCTCGTTCAGCCTCGGCCTTTTCTTCTTCTTCGCCTTCGCCCTCATCGTCCCCGCCAAAGTCGGACAACTCCGCTGGGCTGATGTCCACATCTGACAGCTCATCGCTTGTGTCTTGAATCTGGCCGTTGCCATGTGACTGTGTAAAGTCGAAACTCATGCTCTTTCCGCCCTGAGCGTGGCGTTTCTTCGTGGCATCCTCTTCTTGATATTCTTCTGCGCCAGTCCGCCCCCTCTCTACGCCGTTGATGATGAATCTGAAACCAACGTCCTTGATCTGAAGGCGATCGCCGCACCTAAGAACGACCTTTTCGCTCTTGTAGTGCACGTCCTCGCAGAAGAAGCCATTCTTGTGCAAGGGTATAGCCTCGAATACGCCCTCCTCCGGGTTATAGGCGATCTTGAGATGCTCTCGCGATATAGCCTTTGTTTTGCTCGCAATGTTGGGGCCGGGAGAGTGGATACCGATGAAAGGAACATGCCAGGGAGACGGCCTGAGTGATGCCAGGTCAACCGCAGCAGCGCCAGGAGTATGAGCGACGTATTGGCGGTTTGATATAATGTTATCTTGGGCGTTCTCGTTTTCATTCTGCTGGGACGATCCTGTGGTGCTGGTCTTGCGCCGCTTCGCCGGACGCCCGTTGTCTTCGCTATCTGATTCCGGGCCAAGCATGCCGCCCTCCTCACTGACGTACGATTTACTAAATTTGTGACGGTCTTGAGGCAAAGGAATGGGGGATGGCGGAGGAAGGCCTTTACTCGCGTTCTCCTCGACACGCCGCTGGTACTCCTCGGCACGTTTCCCATCGCGCCTGGCCTGTTCCAAAGCTCGCTGGTCACGGCCGATGATGACGGCATAAGTGGTCATCTGAAAGACACTGTCGGCGAACTCTACACGAGCAAACGACTCCAGGCCCATGTCGGGGTCAGACTGGCGCAGGTTATTGTTCGAGCCCAGGCCAAAGTACCCTTCTTCTGCGAGGTTGGGTAGAGTCATCTGAGAGGGAGTGACGGTGGGCGGCGGCGACATGGCGGGCGGTGCGGCAGACATGGAGGCCAGAGCCATCATCATGTATGCGTGACGGTGGTCGATGCCAGCAGGCTGTGATGTGAATGGCGTTGATGATGGGAATTGGCCTGCCGAAGTCACTTGGGCAGTGTTCACGACAGACGCCGGTAGAGATGGTCCCGTCGCAGCAGCCGCAGCAGTCGTGGTAGTTCCGGGAGCGTCCGCCATGATAACGTCCTGGCCCCCGTGTTCCCCAGTCTCGATTGTGGCTTTCGGCGCCTCAGAGTCACCGATTCCAGAAGTGTGTGCGTTTGATGTAACGGACTGCTCCAAGCCACTGTCGGCCTTGGCTCCACCGTTGAAGGTTGGAGGCGGCGGCGGCGGCGGCGTCGTTGTTGTCGTCGTGGTGGTGGATGCGGCAGCGATTGAAGCTTTTGGGTTCTCTTCTAAAGCATGCGCCTGCAGTGGGGGCGCAGCAGAATCTGCTGGCAGCGACGATGACGGCGCCGATGTGGATGATGATGCGGCGGTTGTTGCGGCTGCAGGAGGCGCCGTGTCGCCGACAGAGGCAGGCTGAGGACCGGATGATGTCGCTTTGTCGCTAATTGGCACGGATGCTTCTTCTGCCCAGATTCCAGGCTGGGATTGCTCGAGCTCGAGCTGCGGCTGCCGTGGAGGCTCTTGCGCCGGCTGGTGCTGGGCCTCGGGCAGCATCGATGCAGCTGCGGGCATGGGGTCGTCGGGCAGTCGTTGCGCAGCGGCAGAGGCAGCAGCATCCGCGTCTGCAGCAGCTGCAACTACCGAAGCCGCCGACGTCGCGGAAGTCGAAGCTGCAGCTGCAGGGTCGGGCTGGGCGTCGGGCTTGGGCATGGGTGCGGCATCGTCGAGACGGCCGTCGAGCTGGTCGTGGGCGCCGGTCGAAGTCATCGCTGCTCGCTCGCTCGCTCGGGCAACAGCTCGTTCGCCAGGGCTGCGGGGAGTCGCTGCGCTGCTTGTCGACCGGAGACAGGAGAAAGGCCCTTTCTTCTCCCTCTCTCTGGGCGAGGCTGGCGGTTCGTCGTTCTGGCAGCCTCGTCGCTCTTCCAGTCGGGTTTGGCGGCCGAGAAAACGGTGTCGAGGGCCCGTCACAAGAGAAAGCTGCGATCCTTCTTTGCTTTGAACTTTCTGGCGCGATTGCCCGGGGGGGTCACAGGCGCGATCCGGGCCGCTGATTGGCTGGGCGGCGGGCCTTCTGGAGCCTCCTCACCAGTTCCGGGTTCGCTCTAGCCGTTAAGAGCAACCGGTACGAAAAAATTATTGGAAAAACAGACGGCAAGGAAACCAAAGAGGCTCCTTCTGCTCGGACTTGGTCTAAGCGGTGATTGATTGTCGCTTCCCCGCGTTGCCTGATGCCGTACCTTGGCAGTTGCTGTCGGCGCTGCCTCTTGCTGCATTACTTTGACCGATGATGATGCTGTATCTGCCTGATGACTCATGCTGAAGATGATGATGCATCACTGTCTCTAGAGGTATGAGTGAATGAATTGAATCACCTTCATTGCGATCTCTCCGAGATACCGAGGCTTCACAATTCCCATCTACCCTGTCACCTACGTATGCATCACGATATCAAATCCTGTCATCTCATTGAAGCAGAGACACCGTGATAGGAGAGAAAATGAAGGCCTTCAAGTCCAATTCGGCTCAGTCCTCCCTTGTTTTAGCATCCTGCACTCTACACTACTGCTGCCCCCTCCTCTTCATGCAAAGGGAATGACGAGACCTCCGATCTAATGCAAGGCGAAAATCAGGTACTTGCCGCCAGAGTACATGCCTGACGGCTTTTCTCCGAGTTCTCCGTTTTCCAGGTTGCTGCGTGTACCAGCTTTGGCGGTACCTACAAGTAACGATGGACTTTCTTGAATGAACACTTCCAGCAATCTTTATCCTCTTGTAGGGCTTCAATCACTGCAATTAGCATCGTTATCTCTCCGTGACTACTTTTCTTCTCTCCTTCTTTTTTGTTCCTTTACTCCTCGCGTTCAAAAACAGCTGTCCTGTACCGTGTAGACCTATTTTTATCCCTCTGCCGCCCATCTGATTCGCTGTCTCACCCTCATAGCCTGCCCAGAACTCCCCAGCGGCTACTGTAACAAGCAACGACATCACCACATCCACTCAACGACCATCGTGTCACGCACCCAAACAGTAACACAAGACAAAGGAGAACAAAAAAAATAATTCAATAGAATAGAACAGCGTCTCCCAAGCATGAAGATGGCGCTACGATGCAAGGAGGATCGGACAAAGCCCGCGACAATGGGCCACAAGAGCCCACAAATTGCTCCCTTGAGAACAATGGCAGAACACAAAAAGGTGAACGAAAAGCGCGGAAAGGCCTCCGACTGTTAGGTTCAAGGCTGTCAGCTTGAACTAATAAAGTCGTGGGACTGGTGGCTTTGGTGCTGCTCTGATTTCTTCTTTTCTTCTCTGGTTATTCTTTCTTCGCTTTGCTCCGGTAGCAGTAATTGTGCCGACATTCTTTTGCCCACATCGCCTTCGTTTCTATATATCCGACACCATCAAGAACATTCCATATTTACAGTCCATTTACAAGTAATCATCAAAGGACATTGGAGAAGAGGTGGCAAAGACGAAAAGATGCCGACAATCCACGTCGAGATTCGCCGTCCCGGCCAGCACCACCGGCATCTCCACTTCGAGCCCTCCTCCTCCATCAAGCCCAAAGCAAACAACAACAAGGACCCCAACCAGGTCCAGAACCCCAGCTCAGAGCACTCCCGCTACGTCCAGATGCTCCTCCAGCAAGACGACATCCCCCTCCTGCACAACATCCTCGCCGCCGTCTTCGTCTGGCTCCTGCTCGCCGGCTTCCTCGTCTTCCCCGGCACCTTCACCAGCCTGCAGGCCTCCGTCGACAAGCAAGGCGACGATGACCACACCTTCTCCAAGGAGGCGGCCAAGCTCATCGTCAAGAGCATCAAGAACATCCCGCTGCTCGTCATCGCCATCGTCATGTGCGCCATCTCCGCCATCGGGATGCTCGTGCTCACCATCCTGCACGCCAAGAACTACGTCTGGATCGTCAACAAGCTCTTCTTGCCCGGCATGACCAACTCCTTGGCTGGCTTGGTGTCGACGCTCATTGGCGTGTACTCGCAGCAGCACGGGACGTGGAGCATCACGGCCAGGACCACGGCCATCACGGAGGGGGCTTCGCTGGCGGTGTGTGGCGGGCTGTTTCTCTTTTGCAGGATGTTGCTCTTGCGCAAGGTCAAGGAGACGCATGAAGAGCACTACAAGGGCTGGCCGGGACACAGATTCTCGAAGCAACTGTTTCCGGATAGTCCAGCATGATTTTGGCGGTATCTAATGGAGAAAATACTTCGCTGGCGAAGAATGAGATATGAAATCTGGCATAGGATTGGGCTAGACGCAACAGGTTGGTATAATCTAGGTTGATAGACATCAGTCATCATAAACTGCTTTTTTTAAAAATTGCCTCCTTTGTTCTTCCGTTTGCACAAGCTCATCGTAGTAACGGCGCCCGCTCGCTGGAAAGAATAGACCGGCGGCTTTTCCAGCCCAGAAACCTCTCGGAGAGCCTATACGAGCTGTGACAAAGCATGCCGGCCAAGAAGCCAACTGCGTCATTCCTGAACGCGAGCAGACCAGCCGTCGTCACCAACATGACCGTCCATCGCTCGAGACGCTCTTCGTCTGACAGGTGCCGATGCTCTCTCAAGCCTTCGGCATGGCTCTGGCCAACAGACACATGCCACAGATCAGGCGCACCCTGGTTCAGCGTGTGGCCGACCTTGGCCAGCTCCAGTCCAGCAGCCACCACCATGACGCCGAGCAAGCCCTTTGGGTACTGCTTCAGCAAGTTGACGAGCGTCTCCCCAAACAGCAGCCCCAGAGCAATCTTCAAGAGGCCCAAGAAGATGACGCTGGCTCCGCTGCGTGCGCCGAAGCGGAACTGGGCGGCCAGTCCTCCGGCGCCGTGGCAGACTGGCATGGCTCCGAACCACGTTCCGGTCAGGTTCATGAGCGCCACGCTCAGACCTATCGAGGTGACGGAGGGCGCGGGCAGATCGGGCAGCAGATCGGCGGCCAGCGCGCTCACGGCGATGATGGAGTTGAGAGTCGTCAGTGGAAGCTGTCCTATTGCCATCCACAAGGCCGGGGCGTCTCCATGGCCAATCCACGAGGGCAGTACAAAGTGTGGCTGCCAGACGTGGAACCAAGGCAAGCTCTGGTGGGAGAGCGACACCTGGATGAGAGCCAGCACCAGCGCCAGGAGGAAGAAGCTCAGGGCGTAGGGGAAGCGAGGCATGTTCTGCGTCAAGATGAGAACAAGGAAGGCCGCCAGGGCCCAGACGCGGTTGTCCAGCGCGGGATGGATCCAACCGAGAGGCTGCAGCAGCGACGAGCCAGCGCCGATGATGAGGGAGAGGCCCGCCCCGAGCTGGATGCCCTTGACCACGGGGATGGGCACAAAGGCCACGGCGCCGCGCAGCAGGCCGGTGATGCTCATGACGAGAACTGCTGCGCCGACCCATTGCCCGGCAGCGACGACGACGCCCATGGAGGGATTCTCGCGCGCCGAGATGGCAGCTGCGGCAATGGCCTAGTTGCCGGAGATGATCAGCATGAATGTAAGGCTATGAGTTGGGTGGCCGCGACGGGAGTATAGTTGAGCTCTAGAAGAGGAGCCCGCTCCACCCCGCATATGTGTCATTCATACCTTCATGGGCTGCACCGGCAAGGGAATGCCAAAGACGACTCCGGTGAGAACATTGAAGAAACCCGAAAAGACCAGCGTCGAGCCCAGGTCGATGTACCCCTTGGCCGCGAGGGCAATCATCAGGGGCAGCAGCGTGCCCAAATCGCCAAGAGATCCGGATATCTCGGCCAGGGGTGCATCTCGGAATGTTGTCAGGTTGTGGGCGTTGAGGCGCCGCACTCGGGCCAGCCAGGCGGTGGCCATTTTGATGCCTCCCTTGGGTTTCCTTGCTCAACACGAGGATGGTGAGGATAGAGGGGGCAGAACGGCTTCAGTGCAGGGAATGAGAGGACAAGAGAAGGCCAGGGTGGGATCACTAGGGGAGAACAAAACCACGGCGTCTCTGGTTACCGATTAAAGAATATCCAGGTAGGCATCATTTGTAGCTCTAGTCCTGGCCATCGCAGGATCTCGAGCTGCGAGCGTTGGGCAAATCGTGGGCGATCAAAGAGCGCACATGGACTCACGTGGATACATTACGTCGGCGGAGGGACAGCTGTCTCACGTGGTGCCAGCTTTTGGAGCAGCGACTGAGCTTCTCCGCGGTCTCTATTGGAGAGGTCTTGGATATCGGTTGTACAGGAAAGTAATGGAAAAAAGACGGGCCAAGTACAGAAATTCACTGGTTCTCCTTTGTGGTCGAGAGAACAATGGGAAGAATGCGCTGGGTCGGGCTAGGCGATGAAGAGCTGGTGCTGAGCTTCTTCTGGGCATCATGTTGTGTCGACATGCTGCGATTTCTCCTCGGCCTCAGCCTCTTTAGCGTCGGTAGCCCGTTGTACTACTTGTCTGTGCAAAGCACGGAGAAGCGGTAGCTGGAATCTAGATATCCCAAGATATCAAAGCAGCCTGTCATCACCCCCTGAGCTACTATCTTCGTACGTCCTCACCCTGCCATCGTTGTAGTGTCGCTCGCCTTATTGCGACGCGGTGTATCATGAGGCCTGCCAGCTGCGTCTCATCATGCCGATTCCGCGGCAGATGCGTCTGTCTGCAAGGTTCGTCTCGTATCGCCGCATCAACTGGCCAGGGCAATGCGGCCAGCGCATCGTCACGTGACCCGTAAGACGGACCGTTCGGTTCGTTCAACAGCGGCTTACACGCGCCCTTTCGATGCGGCTGTCTGCCGGAGCGGGAATGTCGCAGCGATATCGTCCCAGATTCGGCGTCCCCAGACCCTTATGACAACGTCGCAAAGAAGGGGAGAATCAAGAAAGAGGGTCAGAGTTCCAGATAGATGCTTCTTGTCAGCTTTTTAGTATCATTCTCCAGAAAGCAAAACCGATAAACCTGAAGAAAGATGCCCTTCATTCCTACTGGTCAGGCCAACGGGAGTTCCACCGAGGCATTTGCTTGCTCCCGGCTAAGAATAAGCCGACCAGAAAATCGCTCTGGGCCGCCCAATTAGTATTAGAACATCGGCCCCGTTTGCCTTCTGCACAGGGAGCTCATTACCGGAGGGACCGACTCGCGCCGGATTCTGTCTGGTAGGGTCCGTGGAGAAAAGGCAACAAAAGTGTGCCTGCACCCTATCACTAGTACTGTAGTAGGTACATAGAGCCGCGGCGGTACGGTAGAGGCCCGGAGCGTAGAGGTGATACCGGTGCAGGTAGCATCACCTTAGTACTCTGTACCTGCATTTCACAAGTTTTCTCCGATGCGCGGATGTCGATATCCGGCCATGATTCTCCACGATGGTAGCACGTCGTACCCGCCCGCGGTGAGGCGAAAGGAGAGTCTAGACGACGTCGTGGAGAAAGGGCCTCTGACCGCCCGGGGGATTTGCGGTTCTTCTCCGAGGGGAGCATGGCTTTACTCGTACCTGTCTCTCCGTGATCCGCTGTGATGTTGTTGATACTCGATGGATTTGGATTTAGGGTTGCCTTCTAGTAGTTGCCTGTCCTACTGGGTCTATTGTGGAATATGGAGGGCCCAATGGACATATTGAGATCTTCAAGAGACTGACGGTTCGACGTTGAGAAAGCCAAAACGATGGAGACCATCTCGAAATGAAGTAAACACCACGGCCTCTCGTACCGATACCATCACCGCACTGCAATGCAGAAAGCTGCAGCTCGTACATGTACCAACCTGATCATCTTCAAGTCGGCTAGGTACTAGTCGGTACTTTTCGCTCCTGCAGCGCCGGTGCCAAGGCCGGGGTACCAGAAGCAGAATGAGGTCATTGGCCGATACAGCGCAAAGTCCCATTTGAACGCGAAAAGCGCGAAGGTCCAGAAAAACAGTCTAGAAGCACACGAGAAGATCAAGAAGAGTCCAATCAGTGCAGAGCCATAATCATTCATGCGGCAATAAGGGGAACTCAATGTGGAGATGGTCTCGCTGGAATCGGTCGGCGGAATCGCCTCTCGCGCTTCTACCGGGCTGCTTTGCCTTGTCCTGTCAGCTTTCTGTCTTGTCTCACCCACACCCGTCCATGAGTCGAGTCCAGCAGGGCGGCGGGCGTTCGATTGCCGAGCTTTTGCCAGAGCGAGCTTTGTCCGGAGTCCACGGAGCGGCTTTTATTTTGCAGCCAGCCGCCTCATTCTTTTCTTCCTCCCATGTCGGGCTTGCCGGGTAATGGTGGTACTAAATAGCGATGATTACTAGGGTGGAGCAATGCCGGAAACAGCAAAGGGCCTGGATTTTCTGTTCAAGAGCAGGATTTGCGGCTTGCGTCTTGCTTCTGCCGTTTGCCGCCGTTGGCGGAGTGGGGTGTGCGTTGGTGTTCGCTGTTGACCGTACGAGTATGTACTTCGCTTTGCTTCTTTTCACGTGAGCGGCGACGGCGAGGACGAAGGCATGATGCTCGTTGAGATGGATGGATGGATGACTGGCTGGGTTGCGGCGTCTTGCTGCGGCTACTGCACAATGGCAATTACTCGTTCGCATCGCGCTGTGCTGTCAAACGGCACGCGATTGGGCGGCAGGGCCCGAGGATCTGCTTCATCCATGCCCAAGTGATGATATCACGGCCTACTGGTACATGTTGTTGTGAAGCTCTGATGCTTGCTATCTGCCCTTCACCGGTCGGTGCGACAGTCGGACCGCTCCATGCTGCGATTGTCTGTCCAACGGCGGCCGGCTCCATGTACGGAGTGCCGTTACAGGCAGCTGACAGTGCCGGTAAGAGAAGTACGGGAGTACAACGAAGCACGCATCTCTATTTCAGTCTCGGTCGTTTGTACGAGGTAGGGTAATGATGAGAGGGCTGACCTGGGGATTATGTAGTACATACATAGCACAGCAGGTGATGGTAGCCTGCCACAGTACACAGAGGTCCTGCACGACGCTTCCATGGTGCGATGGGCCTTATCAGCTCTGCGTTTGGTGCTCCGTTACTCAGCTGCTACCATTTAGCTGCTGGGTTAGTAGTCTAGATGGCGTCTAAGAGAAAAATTGAAAGGAGAGAAAAAAAGAAAAGAAAAATTTGGTAGCGGCATGTTTCGGTCAAGCCAGCCGTCGCCGGACGACAGGTCAAGAACGGCACTACGACGATAGCAAAAGGCAATTGCCGCCTCCTGATTGAACGGCCTGAGTGCGATATCCGTTGCAGCCGAGGCCAGTCGATGGACTTTGTGGGTAGAAAGCGACGAAGTACTCCATACCTACATGTAATATCGCAGCCTGGAGATTACTGTTAGATGAGCTTTGCCGCACCGAGCTAATCCCTCTTTGGCGGCATTCCAGAATATCACTCAAAAGGCAAGCCACTGGGCACGCTTCTTTCGTGATGCGCGCGAAAAGGCCGGCGTCTGAGGAAAATGAAGGTCGAGCTGGAAACTAAGGCGTGGTGCAGTGCCGTGACTTGAGGCGTGGCCCCCGGTTCATGCTGATGGCTGGGATGGGGGTTGAAGTACGGGGTACTTTGCAGCTTGGGCCAGTGATGAGGAAAAGGCAGCAGCCCGATTGTTCTCCTGGCTGGTGCGTCATACGGGGCAATGGCATGGATATCACAGCAAAAAGCGTCAATGCAGCGCTGAAGATTGCCAGGGCGTGGCCCGCGCTGCCGCCTCGCGCTCCGTGATGATGGGTGGCCAGGGCGACGGGACTCTCTCCCCGTCGGCCGTCGACAAATGGCTCTTACGGAGATGTTCGATTCCAACGATGAAGAGGTGCACGGCCAGCGCAGGTGGTTGCAGTACCTATACCTGGTACCTTCGGCTTCACCAAGTATCGCTACGGTTGCAGGGACGGGCGAAATTCGCGCAGGCAAAAGCGAAGAAAAAGGAAAGGGAAAAAATGGGATGGACGCAGAATCCACTTGCCATGGCCGCCGTCGAGGCTTCCCCACATGGGGCGCCCGGGCTAGTCTGGGAATCGAGGCCGGAAGAGGCAATAATGGATCCAGATGGAGGACGCCGAAGAATTGGCGAGAAAATGGAGAGCTGCGCAATTGTACAACAGGGCCAGACGAGGCAAAAAGAAGAAGATGACATTGCAAGTAGATAAAATAGTAAAAAAGGAAAAAAGGAAAAAAATAAAGCCAGGAAGAAAGGGACTGGCAAAGCGTCGAGAGAATCGCCCGTGGCATAAGGCCCGCCGCACGTAGTACCGGCCGAGGAACGAGAGCGCTAAAGCGGCCAGGGTCCAGCGCATGCCGTGTTCCGATCAAGTGGAAGACGGGCGATACCAGGCCGATGTACACGATACCTTGCCGGTGCGTCGTTTCCAGGCTTCAGGCAGGCTCAGGCGGTTCCGTTCCTGTCGGTACGAAGGACGGTACTGTACCAGGCAATTTCCAGCTCGCCGCCAGCAGGAATGGCCGTGACACGCCTCTTTTTGCTGTCGCGATGGCCATGTCATTGACATCCATTGCAAGGCACACACACACACACACTCACTCACACACCCCCGGCCCAGCCCGGAATCCAGTCAGTCAGGACTTGTTTTCGGCTTCGTTTTTAATTCCTCGTCTCCCTCCGTCGCTTCTTTCCATTCTTTCCCTCTTCTCTTCTTCTTCTTCTTCTTCCTCTCCCAACCCTCTTCGTCGTCGCCTCGGTTCGTCCTCGTCCGTCCGTCTGTCCGTCTCAGCAGTCTGTTTCCGCGCCGCTCGCCAATCGCCAATCGACAGTCCGGCTATCACACCCCCGTCTTTTGCTCTCTCTCCATTCCTCGCCAATCCATAAACAGCATCAAAAGGTCAGAGCGCGTCAATTCCCAGTTTCGATCCCTGGACTGGCTTCTCCTCGTCCTCGCCTCGCCATCTCTTTTTTTTCCCTCCTCCAAAATCGCCCAGCACAGCAGAGTGGCCCGTGACGTGCTCCCCCACTCTTTTGCCCCTGCCGGTCCTCCGCTTGTACCCTGTACTTGTTCGCTTTTTTTCTTTTTTTCCTCTGCCCTTATAATTCCCAGAGCTGCCGTGGAAACAAAACCTCAGCGCATTCCACTTACGCGACCTTTCTTCCAGACCTTCCATCCTTCTCCCTCTCTTCCCAACGCCCTTCAGCCAAAGAGGTAATGACCATCACGCTCTCCCAATTCGCCTCTCACCTTTCCCATCACCGAGAAAGATGCAACTGCACACTCCTTCAACTCTCGAATGCCTCTCGAACGCCCTGCTTTCATAGGGCCTGCACGCGGTCATTCCACAAGTCTCTTGCCCTGAGCCGAGCCGTCGCAAAAATTTTGAGCTTCATCCGAGGCTACCGCAGCCTTTTGGAACGCGCACCGGGAAGAAGTTTGAAATCATCGCAAACGTATCGGCCTTGCAAAGACTCTTGGATTTCTGCAGCAGGCGTCAATTGAAAAGCTCGCGTGTTTTTTTCCCGAGGCATTTGATGAGGGTTTCCACCATCTCCATCTTTCCCAACCCCTGGCTCTCTTTCACTTACCGCTTTCTGTCTTACACCGACCCCCTGACACCGCGCGCCTGGATTCAGCTCGTTGCCCATCAATTGAGACATATAAAGACCTTGAGACATCCTGAGACATTGCGAGACTAACTCAGCTCCTCTTCAGACATTCCATCTCCGCTCTCACACAGACACAATGGCCGCCATTGAGAAGAACCTCATTGCCGCTCGCGCCGTCAGCGAGCTGGTCAAGCGCAAGAACTGGGCCGCCCGGGAGCCCGGTGTCATTGTCGTCTTCTGCATCGTCTTTGTCGGTAAGTCATCGTCATCGTCGACAACAAGCCCCTCGCTTGTTAGCCCCCCGTTGTCGGCAGCGTGATGTTTCTAACCTAGTCTTCTTTTAGTTGCCGTTGGTCTCATTGGTCTGTTCATCGCCAAGCAGTGCGCCAAGAGGCGGGCATCCAAGTCTCAGATCTAAGCGACGACCTGAGGCCTGGGGAAGAGGGGCGGGTTGAGACTAGGGGGTGCGGAAAGGAGGAGTTGACGAGGGTGAGAGAGGGGAGTCACGCACGCAACGCAGTAATGAGACCGTGATCCATACAGACAACGGCGAAATCGGGGGGTGTGTGTTGGCGCGACAAAGGAAAAAAAAAATCAACAACAACCTCGGCGAACCGAAACGTTCCGCGTTCACGGCATAATGTCTTCGACCTCTTGGCCACGAGGGTCTCGGCACCCAAGCATGTTTCCCGTCTTCGTCGCCCATCTTCTCCTTCATCAAAAGAGAGATGCGCGATGTTTATCGGTGCTTGCATGACCATGTACATACACCCTCATGCATTTGGCCTGCTTCTTGTTCGCGTCGCACAGACACAGCGCCTTTCGCTCACGGGCCGCTCGGGGGCTCGTGAGGCGACTCTGGGTGTCGGGGAAGGGCTCGTGGCCACAGGGATGCTATATTCTCTATATTCTAATACTCCTGATACCTCATATACAACAATCTAGTGCTTAAACCTGTTATAAACTACAGCCTGTTTCCTCTTATTCAACAATTGACGCCGTCCTCTTCTGTGCTCCCTTCTAGTGAACGTCTATCCATCTACAGTCGGTAATGATACAGGTCACTCATGTTACAGAAATCCATCCCGTCACTCACAGCCCTTCCTTGGCCAGCATATCAGCAACATCCAGATAAAACGCAACGGCATTGAAGTTCCTCCTCATCCCCATCCACTCGCGCACCGCCCACCGCGCCCTGTTGGACCAGTTGATCAGATCCAAATGGCTCACCCCGACCAGTGTCCCCTTGTACACTCCCCAACGACTGCTCGCCACGCTCACCAAGCCGTCGTTCTCCCCCTCGGCCGCCTTGACGACGCCGTACGGCACGCGAAACGCCCCCAGCAGCGACGGCTCGTCAATCATGGCGCCGTACGAAAAGTAGCGCACCGCCGGGTCGTCGGGCACGCGCGGGTTGAACTCGTCGCGCATGTACCGCGTCGTGAGCTGCCCGAACGCGGAGGTGCCGAGGCCGGCGCGGCGGATCACCGAGTACAGCCGCGGGAGGTGCACGGGGCTGGAGTCGCTCTCGACGAGGTAGTCCGCAAAGGGGCTGCCGCGGTGCGGCGTGGCGATGGTGACTAGGGAGGCGACTTTGATGCCCGCGGGCTGCAGGCGGGAGATCATGTACCGGGCGTCGAGGCCGCCCATGCTGTGCGCGATGATGTTGACCATGGGGGTCTGGTTCTGACTCTCTTCTGGTCCACCATCCTGTGTAGTATTCCTATGATTGTTGATGGAGGTGGTGGTGCTGGTTTGCGCGAGAATGTCGGCGGCGAGCTTCTCCGCGCGCTCCTCGATGGAGCCCGACGGCGGGACGGAGGTGGTCACCACGGAGCACTTGTTCGCCACGAGGGCCTGCTTGATGCCGTGCCAGTATTCGATCGCGGGGAGGTACGGCGCGACTTTGAGCTCGGAGAAGCCGAGGAGGCCGTGGGCGAGGACGATGGGGTGTTTTGGGGTTGCTGTTGTTCCGCTTTTCATTCAGCCTTGTTGATCTCCCTTCTTGCATTCGTTTGATTTGATGGATTGACAGTGTCAGGGTGGATGTGTGAACGCGGAATAGGCGTACCATAGTTCTCACGGATGACGGCGTAGTCGTCTAGGATCCGTCTCCCGAGGTCGCGGATGCGAGGATCGTGACTGGACTCTTCTTCAAGGAACGGTCTCCCGGCGCTGAAGGCTCGTCGCGGGCGGGAGGGTCGTAGGTTTAGCAGGGAGCGCGAGAGGCGAGGGCCGTGATGGCGAGGCCATTGTTTCATGGCTTATCTTCTTTGATATTCTCTTCGGGATTTTTGTTAGGGCATGCTTCGTTTATAGGGGACCAGGTTTGTCGGAGGATTTGCGACATGTGTGAAAGAGAGAAATCGGCCAAAGTGCGGTTTCGGTGTTGGACGCTTGCTGACGTCATTGCCGCGAACGAGCCTCTTGGTCTCGAAATCGCATTCGCGCCTTCGCACAGCTGGGCACCAGCACGGGAATTGAACGCTGCTTGGGAACACATTGACAGTATCATAATATATGGTTCGTGTTCATAATACACCAGAGTCTACAGATATACATAGGGAGACCGTGTTTTGTGCTAACCAAAGACCCATCTATTTGCAACTCCATTATGCGCCATGTTGTTTTGACTCGCTCCCGATTCCTGGCCCATCAACCCAAACTTATTTCGCATGCAATGAGTTAGCTCTTCTCCGGCATCTCACTGGGCGCATTCTCGTTCGTCACGCCGCTGTACGCTGGCCGAGGCCTCAAGCCGTCAAACGGCCCTGACAAGTTCTCTGCCATGGCCTCGTCGTAGCTCGGCGGCGGTACGTCTTCGTAAGCCGGAATGTCGCCTGGCTGCAGTTGCGGGGGATATAGCGGATCTTGAGGAGGTCTTTCTGGCATCGCTGGGCCAGCCTGGCCAGGCCGTTGCTGAGGTGGTCTGCCAGAGGGACCGGGGCCACTGGCCTCGGAGACGGAGGTTCGGGGAGGTAGACGAGGAGGGGGCCGAACAATGACGATGCCCTCTGGTCGCGTGTTGCGAGCAGCCTTCAACAGCTCGACAGGTGGCGCGATGCCTGAATAGACCTCGACGCTCGCGAAGTGAAGAGGCAGAAAGATGTTTTGAGGTTGTGAGAAGGGATCTCTCGTCATGGCGCCCATCTTCGGATCGCCCCGGCTCACGCCCAGCTTCAGCTCTATTTCGTACTTTCGAGAAAGGTTGCAAGTGTTGAAAGAAGGCGCAACGGTGTTGGGCAGCGGCCGGTTCCTCCAGAGGTCATCAGGGATGACCATTTCTTTACCCACTTCGTCCCCTGGAGCACACAGAGGGATGTTGATGTCTGTGTAGGAGGCGACGACCCAGCGGTTCACTTTATGGTGGAACAGCCCGTGCGAGCGAATTTCGGTCACGCCAATCAGGTCCATCTGGAATGATATCAGATGGATTTGTTCACTGCTGTCTACGAGCTTCTTCGCAAGGAGTCGGAGGGGAACGGGCTGGTTGCACGTCAGGATTGATGGATGCGGCAGTCGAGCTGAAATCTCTATTGAAGGCGGCGTTGGGGAGTCTCCTTCTGCTTCTAAAGCTTCGTTGACCTTTTTGCTGCTGAACAGTGAGCTTCGCTTCTTTGACGATCCTCCCTTTGCTCGTGGCGTAAAGGAGAACGGCCGCCGAGCAAAGGCCTCCTGGCCAGTAATGGGAGGTCGCGGCGGCTCAATGGGCAAGAATTTGAAGCCAATCTGATAGCGCCAGTTCTCTTTGAGGAGCCCGGGCCGCTGGACTGTGACTTTGATGTAGTAGCGAATCTCGGCCTGCATAGGGAAGCCCGTCAGGGATGGAGGAAGCGTCGCGGTAACGTGCCGGAGGAACAACTGCTTCGAACCGTCCATGACGCGAACTCCGCCAAGGCCAAAGAGGCCGCCGCCCGATCCATAGCCTCCAACGCCGCCCAAGCCGCCAAACCGAGCCATGGCCTCAGGATTGCTGCAGGCATTGTTGATAGGCAGCTTGAATGCGAAGGGAAACTGGTGCTGCCCGGCATCGAGGGGATGCGATCCATATGGGTTGTTTGAGCTTTCGTAGTAATCGTCCGGAAAGACCTTCACCAGCTTGTACAGAATCTTGTGATTCTCACCCACGATGCTGCCCGGAGGCCCCGGTGGCGGGGCAACTCGAGTGATGCCTGGCTCATATCCGTAGTTCCTGGGCACCTGTAGCGCTGTGGCAGACTCTCCCTCGAGCTTGACGACAATGCTGCCAATCTGCTCGCTCTTGGGCAGGGTCAAGAAGACCTTGCCGGAGATGGCGTCGAGGTTGGTGTAGAACTCGGGCTGATTGTCCAGCAAGATCTTGATGGACATGATCAGCGACTGAGCGATTGCGCTGTGACGAGCACGATGGCGAGCAAGGAAAGAGGAAGGAGGACAGATATCAACAAGGGAGGGACTTGAGAATGGGACTTGGTAGGATGGGGAACAAAGGTAGAAAAGTAAATAAAAAGCTTGAAGTTAGGTCCCCGCAGTTAGGTACGGCGGCGATAAACAGAACTTTTGCTCTCTTCGCAGGAAGCTCGGCAACTGATGAGGATGAGGCCGAATCCAACGCGCTGTCATTGCCCGCGATGGCTGGCGGAATCACGTAGGACGGAGACGAGGTCGAATAGGTGACGAGTTTCGAGTCTGAGAGCTGAAACGATGCACGCGCGTCAAGTCATTTGGCGATGGGGGCGCAGCCTCGAGTCCAGGCCGAGAGAAGCTCATGGGTGGGAAATGCTGGATTGATGTCATCAGTTTTGCTTCTGGGTGCATGAATTCTGCCAGCTGCACCGCCTGCGAGTGTGGCTTGCCGCGAGGCGCTGACGAGGCCGCTGAGGCGCAAACGCCCGTTGGATCCGGTGGTGGTTCTAGCGCCAAGGTGCGCTGAAGATGCTGAGGAGCCCTACTAGGGCTCCTCCAGCTATCGTCTCCAGCTATCGTCTACTGCTAGACGAGAGCTTCAACCTGACAAAATCAACAACGTGACCGCCTCGTTGACCTTGCTGATGTCTCGCCATGCGTCCCGTCTCTCCCCGACCTGGACTACTTCATGGTTACTGACCCCATTTCTCAAAGCGGACATGCGTCGCCAACTGCATCGACTGCCGAGCCGTAAAGGGCTGGACGTCTTGCCGTCGTTGCTGTTGCATTGAGGCTGGACTCGCTGCGACATCAACCCACTACAGCCGGGCTTTGTCGCCTCGCGCTCCCCGTCTTTGCTTATTTCCAGTCGAGCCTGATGGACGGATGGCAGTCGACACGGCTATCGTCCACAGCAGGTCGATGTGAAATAATCACATGGATGGCAACGGACATGGCCTGCTGCTATCTATGAGAGTCTCTCGTCGCTCGCTCTGCTCCGGGGCCCTACCTTAGGGATGAAGAACGACCAGGATCGACGACGTTGCAGCTGTTGGTTCCAACCGTTTGAGCTGCATGCTTCCCCCCTCGGCCATGGCGCCATTTTCAGAGCCCAGATCTCCAGCAGCCTGCCTTGGCGCAAAGTCACGGGCCGTCAAACCCCTCCGAGTCCTTCGTCTTGCCGCTGTTGGTTCTCGCTTTTATCGCGTCTTGTTGCAACGTCCTGCAAATGGCAGCTCAGGCATCGGACCGTCACAATCACGTTCCTCAGATACGGTGGTGGCGACTGGGCATTCATGCTTCCACTCTTGCCGAACTGCTAGGCAGTGGCAGCTTTTGGTGTTAACCCAGCTTCCAGAGCTGGCTCGGGGTTGTTCGAGATGCTTCCTCCTGGAGCTAGATCTCGCATGCAGGGCGTCCAAGGCGTGAAACATGATCGCTCATCTGAGATACATTCTGAGATCTCGATAGTCGCCTAAATCACATGATTGACAAATCATTTACAGGCCATAGCACGACAGCTGCATCCCCAGTCGCAATCGGGAAGCTGTATGCCAACAAGCCATGGCCAACGTAACGCTTTGCGAGATGGTGTGTATTCCTCGCGGCTTTTGACCGGCCATGGACCGCTGGCCGCCAGATTTGGCCCCCCATGACTGGACGGAAGCCAGTTTCTCAGGCCTTGGGGGCCGCGGCAGAACCAGACTGCCGGATCTACTGCCCTCGTCTCTCTGCTACCGCACGGTACATGGGTTCGTCGCTTGACCTGCCAACGAGCTCATCCGTACAGGCCGGCTAGTGATTGAACATGGGTGTCGCCCAATGGCAGATGGCCTCCCTGGCATCTCAGGGTCGGCATTATACCCGAAAAGGCTCTTCATCCCACAAGGCGCTGGCCTCCAACCTGTTATCGAGATGCTCTCCCGCCCCCGAAGAAGGCTTAGACAGTGGAGAGACGTCCATCGTCCCCTGTGTGAGTGACATGCCAGACGAAATCGTGCTTGTTGCTTTCTGAGTGGGATGGCATGGGGGCCACTCCATCAGGCTGCAGTCCCTGGTCCACATCCCGTCTTCAAAGCCTATGCTGCCAACATGCCTCTCTATTAAATGCACAAAGGCTCCCCAGTCCTCCTCCCTCGACGGGTTTGATCCATGGTCATAGAGTATTCGACGTGATCAAGCCGTATCATTCTTCATCATGGCGAGTACCTGTGGCCCAACATGTCCCACCGAACACGGTTTCTTCGCCAATGGCCTCAATGTCGGAGGTAGCGCAGTCTTCCTCGCTGCCTTTGCCTCCTTGACGCCCGCCACTTTCTACCTGGGATACCGTTTCCGTACTCCAGGCTTCTCTGCCCTCCTTGCAACTGGCATATCCTTTGAGGTCTTTGGCTTCCTGGGGAGGATACTCTTGCACCAAGCCCGGGATCGCCAAGGCTACTTTGCTCTCATGCTCTTGGGGAGTGTTTTAGGGCCAACGTTTGTCTCGGGTGCTATGTCAATGGTGTTGCCGCATCTGTTGGCCATTTATGGGCAAGGACATGGCGCACGGCAATCCATTCTTGCCACATTCTTCCTCTGGGCTCTGCTCATCGTGAGCTTTATACTCAATGTCATTGGCATTGTCTTTGTTGCATACGGATATGGAAACGTGAGTATATCGAAACCTCCTTTCTCCAATCAGACTGTTTACTAACGACGTGAAAAGCGTGATCGAAGTGCCGACATAGTTGTTGGCGGACTCGGAGCCCAAGCTCTTGTGCTGCTTGCCGTCATGGGCGCGTATGTCTGCTCCAGTACCGGCTTGTGTCTCAGGGGTGAAGCCCTAGATCCGGCCCATGCAGACATCTACCATTCTACTCGGTTTTCCAGATTCCTTCGCTGTAAGTCCTCTCCTCTCCCAACGACCTGAGCGTTCATTGACGTGAGACAGGCATGGAGGTCGCAGCCCTTCTGCTCTTCGCGCACACGATATATCGGATCTTCGAGATGGTTGGTGGCTTGAGCGGCACTCTCTTCCAGAGCGAGTCCGCTTTCATGGTCATGGATGGATTGGTCCCATTCTTTGCCTGTCTGCTGTTGACAACTGCACAGCCGGGCGCTGCTTTTGGGCCGTCATGGGCCTCTACGTCTCCTCGACACCTAAAGCGCCGGGGTCTGTCTCTACCACCCCTACAAACAACATTTGGCGTTGGACATGCCGTTCATCACCGCTACGACCCCAACATCCGGCAGCAGTTTTCTCCTTCCACGCAAAGGCCGCTGCGAGAGGCTAAGCCCCCACCCACATACGGCTCCTACGGCTTACCGTCATCTCCAAGGCCGGTGAACAGGCCACAAAGCCCGATGATCCTGTCACCCATATCGGTCCGAGCTGTGAGCATAGGGAGACTGAGTGACCGAACGGAGGGATGGGCAGCTCAGGCAGACTTGGTAGACAGGGACGTGCTATGGTAGCAAGGATCAGAAGAGTACAGAGTGACCTATTAGACAATAAACGAGCTGCAAGTTGCCCGAGCAAGCAAGCAGTAATAAGAATGATACCTTGAAAGCAAACTTTTCTCATGCATGGTGACAGAAGAGCTACATACACGTTGAACATGATATATCGGAGCACGGTCCCGGGGTCTAAGCGACTGCAGACGCCGCAGATACGAAGAACGAGGAGGTGCTCCATTGCTATTGGGTCGTTTTACGCATCGCACCCTGTAGCACGAAGGGCGCGTCTAGTTCGCTTATTGCCGCAGCGCAAGTTCTTTTTCAACAGCAGGGGTGATTCCGCGGATCAGAAGCCGCTGTCCGGAGTTGCGCTTCTCGCGGAAATTGCGGCCCTGGCTTCTTTGTCCGTCCCACATATGCGCGGTATTTGTTTCTGCTCTTCTTCCTCTCCTGCTTGAACGGGGCGCATGCTGCGTGTGTGCGTTTGCGGCTGTGATATGTGATTGATGTGCATCCCGTCACAGCGCGGCTACGGTGGTGATTCGTTGATTAACCGCCGCTTAGAACACAAGAGCACAGACAGGGATCCCTGTCGAGAAGCACGGAGATGAGAAGTTCGCTACTAGTAGGAGGATGAGCCGCGGCTTCTCGGATAAAGACGAGCACGGGGATGATGGGGTTTGGGGGATATACGAGCGGCTAATTTGGCTGTCTAGGTTGGGATGTATTGGTGCGGTTGTGGGTTGAGGTTATAAGATGACTGCGTGAGAGTTGACTGGGGTGGACTAACGTGAGGTGGAAAGAGGCAACGTTTTGATAGCTGCTGGCATTGGCTGATGATTCGGCGTGCTTGTATCTCGCTGAAGGGAATTTCATGGTGATCTTCTCGAATGGTAAGGTGATCGAGCTATATGCTAGGTATGAGGTTGGGGAGCCTGGTGAAGCCTGGACAGAGTTGCCATATATTTGGACCAAAGTTGAAACGAGCCCGCCCCGAGCATCCAGCCGCAACATTGGAATCTAGCACGAGTATAACGGCTTACTTTAGATCTCACATACTTGTGAACGATTACCAGTCCACGTGGTTGATATGCCATGGGAAGAATTGTGATGTGATATCAATGCTCGGCGCTAGATAAGTAAAGGATTATGCTGTTATTGCTGGACGCCCCGAATCTAGGTGACTTCTTGGTCTAGGAATATCTATTCAGCGGGATGCTGGAAGCATACACTTGCACACGTAATAGTTTCTGAAATCTAGAAGTTGCCAGTGAATTATAATAGTTTATTGAAGCTACCGGAGACTGTTGATCCCTTCCCAAAAGTTGTGGTTCTTATATGCCAGTTCCCAGTAGGGTCTCGTGTTGGGATTTATGTTCCGCCGTAAACCCTTGACTCACGGCTGATATCAACCGTCGCCTGCCGAGATTCTGACAAATCGCCAAATTGTCCCAGCATGCTGCCTCCTTACAATTTGTGTTTGATTGGGCAGAAGAACCGCTAGTTGCTTGAGAGTATTGGGACCCTCTGGCGACAACAATTGATATCCTCCCTTCGGATGCTTTCTCGGTATGAAGTATTGATCAGGCCCGAAGGTCTTTGATAGGTTTATCCCCGTTCCGTGGGCGCTTAGATAGAGATTGCTGCGGGGATGGAAGAATCCGAAGTAGCCATTGGTCTCAACACAAAGCCAGCTGAGATTTGGTTCCCAAGCGTTTCCAAAATCAAGGAGCCGAAGGCTTGCATAGTGGACGGCAAGTGAAGCTCCGGTGCTTTCTTCTATGATTTTGTACGTATCGCCGGGCCAAGGAACGGCATCGTCTGGATCCTCCTGGCGACGGAGATTTGCGGCGGGAGTACAATGGTCAGACGTTGGGGTGAAGATCGGAGTACTAGAGCTGGCTTCACTTGGACAGTAGCTCATGATGAGGATGGTAAAAGTCAAGATGGAGTATGAATTGCTCTTTTGAAGGTGATCATTGAGCACCGGTAGCCTCTACGAAGCGTACGAGGACGGAGGATCAAGACTGATAAATATGCCGAGAGACAAATTAAGCTGTAGGTAGGAGTGAAGATGAGGGGCTACCTTATTGTAGGCCTCCCGAGGTATGTGACGTCAAACCCCGTCCAGAAGATGATGGACTGAACACAGCTGCAAATTGCTGGACCAATGAAGGAGAGTTCATATCGAGGAGTGCAAGATCGGTCTAACAATGAATGAGCTTTATGTTGGAGCACCTACAGAAAACAATAACCGGGTCGTTTTCGTAAATTGAGCCTCGCCTGTTTGAACATGCCCAATTCCAAGACATACTGCTTCCGCTAGGCGCTGTTTCCGCATTGGGAATTATCTCTGTTTTGCTCTCTATAAAAGGTCTTGTGACTAATGAGACGTCTCGATGGAAACGGCCAAGGCTGTAGAGAAAGCGTGGCATGTGAGACATATGCCATACTATAACATACTGCCTAGGCACATGTAAGTGTATGCCCGAGGCCTCGAGTATTTCTCATTCTCGCCTAAGCAACGCGAGAGGAACCCATCTTTGCAATCCATGGATTGCAAACGCCAATGGGCCCATTGCTCTATAGCGTAGCTCTATGGGGGTTGAGTTTCGATTGGTCTAACTCGAAGTGCTAAGGCCGCTCTCCTTAGGCCGATCGCGATGTGGCCCTGGGAGTTTTGGATCACGGGCTCGGATGGAGCCGAAAAGCACCGGCATAGATACCCGGGCCTAACCACACCAAAACAAGCGGCATTATACATTGACTCGAGCTCTACGGCCAAGGGTCAAGAAACAGAATGCCTGCCGTGTCTGTACTTGCACCTTGTTTTTCGACAAGTCCCGCATCCTGTCAAGCATTTCGAGGAACCATTTGTGTACAGCTTCAGCAGATAGCAGTTGATATGCAGGAGGCTCAGCGTGCATTTACAGACACGTCAGCAATGCACGATCCATATCCTAGCCATAACAAGATGTATAAAATGCTGTAGGCTTTCATAGCAGCTTTGTTCATCCGCCAGTGCTATATTGCAGAGGCTAAGCATGCTAATCATCGCTTCATTCTCTGCTTTATGCAGTCGAGTCGCCGTCATACCTACCACAACTCCGCACGCCAAATGCATGTATAAAAGGGCATTATGCTGGTGTTTATACGACTCCATGTTTGCGGGGGACCCTGTCTGTCAGATAGGCAGCCATTGGCTGAAGCTGCATACATGCAGCATGAGGAAAGCGAGGACATGAAGAAGCCATCGCGTGGCGGTCTAACAATGATCGTGCAACAATCAGTCGTTCCATCTGTCTGGACAGCATGCCTCGGTCGAGAAGGAGGCCAGCAAAGCTGCAGCCTAGTAGCTCGTTACAGCGTCATTTTGATCATGTAAATGATGAAGTCCCGCGGGATGCGAGTCCGGAACGAAATCCAGTGACGGAAACCGAGGTTCACGCTCAAAGTGTCGAGGAGTCGACCCAGCTCGCTACAGCCGTACTCGCTCAGAATTTGGCAGAGAATTTGCCTGAGGCAGCATCAATGCGACCTGCCCAGGACACGGGGGAATCGACCCAATTGAATACAAATACCCCCAAGCAAACTGTCGAAGAATCAACGCAGCTGGCTTCATGTCGATCGCAGGAGAGTCTCAAGAAATCGACCCAGCAGCCCACCAATTCCGCGTTGCGGTTTCTCGCGTCTCCTGACGTAGTAGATGAGAGACACCTTACAAAACCCGAGAAGTCGCGGACAAAGAAAAGCCATGCCCATGATTTGGAGGGAGTGACACGACGGCTTCTCAACAATGCCGCGCTGTCTTTGCCAGACGCGCGTCTTGTCATCGCTTACACGCGCTATTCGATCCCTGACGACGAAGAAAAGGACTCGGCCATGATTTGTCTGCAGAAGATTCCGGGCCGCGGCGACATGTTTGGCGTTGTCCAAACCTCCAGGCACGCCGATTTTACAATCAGCTTACCATATTGCCGCCGCCCAGTTGACGAGAGGTCTATGGACTCTGAAAAGTCTCGACTTGATTGCACAATCCTGTATGATCCGATGAGTGACAATTGTCTGCTGCTCAATAAGACAAATAAGGAGATTTATCTGGTGGACACCCATCTTCAGACTGTGCGGATATGTCTCGGGGAGAGAAAGGGTTGTGTTATTCGCCCTGGCATATGGACAATTTCAGTGGATACTGGCGAGAGAGACAGGTTCACTGAAAACCGACTCGTTGAGTTTTTACTTCTTCGGAGGCGGTTTAGTGTCTCGATTCATGGAGTCATGAAACAATCCGCTGATGACCGATCTGCCGAGGATGAGAGAGGAGCTAAGCGACAAAAGCTTGATGGCGGCAGGATGAAAAGTCGGATGGTCCAGATCAAAGACTCGTCTCCGAAGCAATCGGAACATCTATCTGTTGCTGGCAGCCACCAGCTACTTCCGGCGCCTCGAGAAGTCGTCAACAGAGCTGTCGTTCCTATTCTAGATCTGACAGACGGGGAGACGGCTCTCATACGGGCCCCAGAAGTCAATCTCGCTGATACAATGGGAACATATCGATTACAGCGAATCGAGAAGATGGGTAACACAGGAGGTGCAGGCGTCTTTTCTTGCCAGCGTTCTGGTATTCCAGAGATATTGGTTGCCAAAGTCCTCTTCTGCCCAGACCATCGGGCGATGTCAGATGTGAGGAGAGTTACAGACATGTGGATGCAAGAGAAGACAATGCTGGAAGGTTTAGAACATGTAAGCCGTATGTTTTGCGTCTGGATCATTTACTGACCACGTCCAGAAAAATATCGTGTCGCTCAAGGGTGTTGATGCCCGGTTTCTAGCAATTTACCTAGAGTATCTGCCGTCTTCGCTTCGCCGGGGACCTGGATCAACGCCGATTGGACCATCCGATGCTAGGAAGATACTCTGCGATATGTCGTCTGCTCTTGCCTACTTGTCCAGACGAGGCATTGTCCATCACGATATCAAACCACAAAACATCACATACTCTGCCGAACGAGGTGCTGTGCTGATCGATTTTGGTATGGCTGCTTCGGTCACCGACCCTGATGAGCAGGGCGGAAGCCCTCACTTCTATCCCCCTGAGTACGTGGATGAGAAACTGGGAACCCGTGGTCTTCCTGGAGACATATGGGCACTTGGTGTTACGATGCTCTATATATTGCGAAAACTTTCTGCAAACTTCTTCCGGAGAGACATCTATTTACGCGACTTACGCGATCTAGGGAGCCGATCCTGGACCGCGTTCCAAGATCTGCTGCAGGAAATTGCGAGAGTAAGAAAACAGTTGAATGTCGAGGACGTGGTTGAGAATTTGATCTTCCAGATGCTGGAGCCAAACGTCAAACGAAGAGTCTCGGCTGCGGATATAGAGGTAGCGTTAAGGAGGAGCCATGCTCCGACTGAGGTTGATGATGATGCAGACGGGAATGATTAGAGTACATGTTGGTAGTTATCAGACTGTACTCAAGTAGGTAGGTGGTTTCAACTGCATGGAGGATTTCTTACTACTAGTAGTACTCGCGAGCTGAAAACGAGCACCTGTCTTGACGTATGTATCTCTGGGCTCATAGTCCTCATCGCCAGATCAACATTTTACACGCACCCCACTCCCTCTTTCTCGGGGGGCACCTCACTATAACAACTGAGGGTATCCCAAATGCTTTTCCAGTCCAGGCTTCGAACTACTAGGTACGTGTACGTGGGCACACGGACGGATTGCTTCCTTCAGTATACTCCAACCAAACTGTTCATGCATTGTAATAATATTGAAGGCTCGCATACAAGGAATCATGCAATACCGTACTCGAACTCAAGGACACACCATTCGCGCTGATGTCAAGGTATACTCAGATGTTAGACTAGCAGCCGGCCAGGCGACTTAGTCTCGAGCTTAAGCTGCCGACTTGTCCACCTTTCGGTCTAAGTCGGACTTCAATCAGAGCTAAAACCCACCGCACCTCTCACTTCCTTCAGAGTCTCTATCAACAGCTGAAATCGGATCGTCGTCTCCTCGTACATTGGTGTAGAAACCTGACTGAGGCCAATGGGGGAATTTTTGCGGACAAACATAAGATAGACTAAGTGCAAGTTGCAGACCGATGCATGTCCCGCACGTGACGCTCTGCCTAAACCACTGCACCTGAGCACACGCGATTGCCCCTCCTACCGACAGTGCCCTGATCATCGTTCACCACGCAATCTGAGTGAGCAGCTCTTCGGTTTACTCATACTACTTCACGTCTCAAACCATCTTGATTGCATTTCCAGCCTTTCAGACTCGTGTGTACCTCTTTAGCAGTTCAATATCAGCGCCTGTATCCGACTGGGCTCGTACCGCGCGCAAGTCGCAACGCGTCAGTAGCCCTCCACCGTCACGATCCGACCGCGACCGCAAATCGACCGATACGCAGTCCAGCATGCCTGTCTGGGGACCTGCAGACTACGTGCCCGAAATTAGACCGTTCGAGCCTCCCTACTTTTTTCGCATCAGTCAGTGTCAGAAATGGGGTGCCGCCGTTACCGACGAAATGCGTGGCGACGAGCTTCTCTGGAGGACATATTGGAAGCGATTCAATACCGTTGAAATTCCAATCTTGCCACAGGACGAGTTCTTTGACACTGCACTATCAATTGCCAAGCTTGCGGGCGGCCGTCGGGCTGAATTCGAGAGGATATTCGAAGAGAAGAACAAACAAAGGTGGGGGGAGGTTAAGAGACAGTTGGGCAAGACGGAATATCACGCTAAACGTCATAAAGAAGCATTCCCATGTGAAGATGCTCGGAAAAAGATGATCAGAGCATGCCAAACTGGCTGTTTAACACATTTCCTAGACATTCTAAAAGGCAATACCTATGGATATGAAGCGGATGTTGTACGCGAGGAACCTCCGGACAAGGCGCCCAACAGCCTTGACGAGATGCAGACACCTAATGAAGAATATTTCGACGAGGACGGCCTCCCCCGCTCGCAGATGTTCAACTATGACCCCGACATCTGCTTCTACGAGGAGCCTTCGACCAAGGATTGGAGAGAACCCCTAATGGCAGATAATGTTTTTTACATAGGCTCGTACGCCGTCGACTATGCGCCCCCTGAGTTGAACGATGGTGACGAAGGAGCTCTCAATCCTGAGACTGGGAGAACCTCTTCCAAGTCGCCGCGTTTGTCGCGCAGCACATCTACCCCGAGAAAGGGAGACGAAGAAAAGACAACACAACCAATGACGCAAAAGAAGCGGAAGCGGTTAGTGCTTCATCCCCTACATGAGCTCTTGCTCAGTAATTGACAAAATATGCTGAAGCTCGACTAGAAAGAGTGTTCGCTTTGATGATGTTGTCGATGTTGAACGTCATCAGCACCAACAGGAACTTGACCCTGAGGAAAATGATGATGATAATGTTCGTGCGCATAAGCGCGCAAGACTGGAGGCTCCACCACCACACACTTCCTCTCTTGCCCAACCAGCTGCGGACGAAAATGTAACGAAGAAGAGAATGAGGCACGATGATGATCACAATGATAGGCAAAAGCGCCAAAAGCTTGAGACCCCTACTGCGCCTGTACCAGCACCTCATATATCCTCCCCTATCCTGACAGCTGCAGATACCGGGGAACCCAGGAGGACAACGAGACATAGCAGAGGCCACAACCGCGGAGTCAAACGCCAAAGTTTAGAAGATCCTGCGTCGTGCCCACTGACACCGTCCGCTTCCTCGTCTACAACGGCTACAGGCTCAACAGCATCTCGAAAGAGGTCAAGAGAGGGCGACGACTACGACAATGGCTTCAAAAGGCAAAAAATAGAAGATACCAGTGCCTCTGTTCCGCCATTCTACGCCTCATCTTCCACACAGCAAACTCCGGACAAGAGCATTGATGACCAAAAAGAAGATGCACGCGAAAATCAAAAGCGGAGGACATCTAGCACACGACAACCACGCAAAAGACCACCTCCACCTACGAAGTCTCTCAATACTAGGTCTAGAAGGAGAGGCGGACCATCTACCTTGTTGGAACTGGATCAATCTGGCAAGCCTCGGTTAGTATGAGGCTACTCATCGTTAATATACAGCTCGAAAGGGGTGGCAAGAGGTGGTTGGATTCTGTGACCGTCGATGTCTCCGAGAGCATGGTCGCTATCCTGGCAGGGCCGGGTGCAGCGGCGCAGTTCCAACGAGGCATTGGCCGGAACCCGAGCAGTTGGACGTTTCTGACGATCATGGTCGCTATCCCGGCAGGGCTGGGTGCAGCGGCGTAGACTGTCGGAATGCAACTGCCGGAGTATGGGTAAGTCGAGTCCTCTCTCGAAGTCATGGTCGTTATCCTGGCAGGGCCGGGTGCAGCGGCGTAGACCAGAGAGAGGACTCGACTTTGGCTTCTATGCCACAGGGTACTTCCGAAGCATGGCCGTAATCCTGGCAGGGCTGGGTGCAGCGGCGAAGCTAGAAGGGAAGAACTGAGCACCCCCTGGCCTTGCGACGGTCACAGCAGTCGTGGCCCTTTTTGGTGATCCTGGTAGAGGGATAATGAGACGTGACGTCCTTTGCTGGCTTGCATCATCCAGTCCACTATTGAAAGCATAGGCCAGTGATCCCAACCGTGAACCATGTGAATTACTTCGTGAGCAACCTTGGGGGTTACCCTGCATCCAGAGGCTACTGATGAGTTCCTCTAATACCATGCATTAGGATGATGTTCATGCTATAAACTCCGCGAAACAGTCTGGTATTTCTTCTCTTCTGCCTCTTGTTTTCCGGAAGAAGTCATTCTCAGGACGCCTTGAACAGCAAAGTTCGCCTCGATGCTGAATTATTGAACTCAGAGTTCCTCAGTTGTAGCACATCTCCGTCAAGACTGCCTATTCAGGTTGGGCATATAACACACAGTGCCACCATATAACAATCGAAGCCAATCGAGGAGATTGCCAATCAAAAGCGGCAAATGTAATGAGCCATGACAGGGATCCACGAAGTTTTGGCTAGGCAGCTTTTGCCAAGGAAAAGTTGAGCTACTCTGCAGGAATAGGGGTAGTTTGATCGTTGTTCGCGATTTTCTCTTTGCCATCGAAAATGTGCTACAACCATATGACTTCGATTTGCACCTGGCCAGTTTTCAGGGACGGCATATCTACGAGATGAAGATGCTCTCTTTTTCGGATACGGCATATATACACTGCCAGGTCGGAAGACGCTGGAATATTGTCCGTGAGAACTAGGCCAGTATTTCCATACGATCGGTGAAGAAGATCCCCATATCCAGTTACAAATTTTAGAGATAAGAGAGAGTTAGATGGAGGAGGTCTACTCAAAGAAAGAGAGAAGAAAGCGTCTACTCTTTCAGTGTTCTCGTGAGGATTTGTGTGAAGGGTTTCAGCTGGCTCGGGTTGATGTCGTTTACAGGGCTGGTCCCTTCGAAATCATCGGGACCGTGAGTTGACCGTGGACGCCCGCTCTATCTTGCTCTTTTGCCCCTCTCTCTGACTTTTTATTCTCTTATTTTTCTTCTTGTGCATATTGGGTGATGGGCGTAGATCGAGACGAGGCATGCATGTGTGTAGAGGGGTCGAGGCGACATTGGGCTGGTCGACAAATCGATGGGCTTTTTGGATTTTGTTCCAAGAGATTGAAGCTTGGAGATGTCTTGCGTTGGACATTCACTCAACAAGTTGTTCGACGGTATTGTTCGTCACTCGGCGATGGCTTGGCAATGCTGTATTGGACTCGAGCAGCTTCTGATCAATAAGTGCTTTGACATGCCTTGCAGGATCTAGAGAGTTATTTTCCAAGCGAATGAGGAGAAACCTTGGCTCTTCGACTCGTTTCGATATCCACGTGGCCTATGATAGGGGCAAGACGCCGATAGGAGATGTCGTACCGAACGGATCTGGGTCAGAATGGAAGGGATCTGTATCAGTTGAAGAGATGACGAGATAACTGGTCGACGACATTTGGAAGAAGATACACTCGTCCATTCGGCGCTTTCCATACAATGGCCATTGATTCCATCAACTCCCTCAGGCTCTACGCCGTACCGGAGTTGGAGGGCCACGCATTCCTTATATCGGCTCTGGACATGATTTGACGTGGTACTCTTTGTGTGATACTGCAGCTCGGCATAATCTACAAGGTAGCTTTCCACTTGACAAAGCAACGGATGAATGCATGTACGACTACATACGAGTACGTGTACGTGTATTGCCACTCCGTATCTCTGGTCTCAAAGGCACCACGGTTGGAGTTGGAGATAGAGAGGCTCCACGATCCTCCAATTGGGCAGGGATACCCTGGCTGTCGGGCTATCAATTCGGAGCGAAGTGGATTGATCCCGCCTCTCATTGACAGCAGATCCCTGCAATGGCAGTGGGCCGGCGAAAAGTTTATCGGGAAATATCTTGTAGTAAATACAAGACGATTACAGACTAATTAGCATGATTACCTTACATTCGAAATATCTTGTGGTGTCTAGTAGTTGAGGCAGTATCACTTCTCATACTCGGTAAGATGGGTAATCGCCAATTGAATAGGTATTGCATATGAAAGCTGTGAGGAAAGAGAGCTGTGGAAGTGCCAATTGCTTATCAGAAACAGCAGGGTCTCTTCTCGAGCAAAGCGGCAGTCGCGAGTTGCCACCTCACTTCTGCTGTATGTAATACTCGCTTGTTGTAGCGACGAATAGAACCAGCCGTAAGCCTGAATGGGTCAGGGAAAAAGGCAGATAGAGCCAGGCAAGTGCGTTCGAGAGCCAATGAACGAGCCTGCCATTGCAGAAACTCCGTGGTTGATCTGCCAGGCAAGTCCGATTTACGAGCCGCTCCTGCCACCGCGCTCCGAACAGGAACAGGCAAGGAGGGATCGGAGTTGAACGACCGCCCCACTTTTGGATCTCAAAAGATGAAACTACAGGGCTTTTTTTGTCAGCCGTGCGTTAGTCATCGCCAGATCGGCCTGCTTACATGGCGGGCCAGCAAAGGAGATGAGATGCGCTGGGATTTGCTCCGCGATGGCACCCGGTCGGTACGCAGTACGCACGAGGTACGGCCGCTGTCCTGGCACGAACAGCGCACGGGGATGCTCAGCAGCACGCAGGCAGCCTTACGGCCTGTCCCCGGCATGGATCGGAGTTGGTCCTGGGCGCCTGGAGGTCGCTTCTGGCAGACCCAGCCTGCGTGAGATGCCCGAGATGGATCCCAGATCGCTTTTCCTATTAGAAGCCTCGTGTCTTCCCATCGACGGCTTCAGACTGTTTACTACGCATCAGGTCAGACTCAACCACAGCATCTTTCATATAAGCTGGTGCTGTCTATCCTGACATCCCGTGGTGTCAGATAGCCCAAGGGTCGCGCAGTTTCCCCGTCAATCCCCTCTGCAAACGCCCAACATGTCGGAAAAGCAAGAGGACACTCAGCTCCACGAGCTGAGTAGCCCTTCTGATGAGACGGCCTCCTCACGCCCCGAGTCAATCGAGGCGGAAGCCCTCGAGTCGATCAGGATCCTCCTCAACAGCCAAGCCCCCAAGGGCCAGGAGACCCCCAAGCAGATCGGCCTCTCCTTCAAGGATCTCACCGTGACGGCCCAGGCCGGAACCGAGATTGACGCAAAGACTCTGCCGCGCGCCATTCTCAACACCTTCGGACCCGACCAGTTCCGCTTCATCAAGCAAAACATTCTCTCACGCATCTTCCCCAGCTCCTTCAATGCCACCGGAAGGCCCATCCTGTCCAACTTCACGGGCATTGTCAAGCCCGGTGAGATGTTGCTTGTTCTCGGCCGACCGGGGAGTGGTTGCTCGACTTTCCTTCGAACGGTTGCCAATCAGTCCACCCTCGCCGTGACAGGTGACTTGGAATATGCCAACGTCGCCGCCGCAGACTTCAAGAAGAACCACGCTCGAGAAACTATTTACCTCCCGGAAGAGGACAGGCACATTGCGTCTCTGTCTGTGAGGCAAACTATCCGCTTTGCTCTTCGAAACTCGCTTCCGGCCGAGGCCCGAGACAGCAAGTCAGTCTCCAACTTGACGGAGGCCATCGCGAAGCTTTTTGGTCTCACTCATGCCCTCGACACTCCCGTCGGTGGAGCTTTCTTCCCTGGTGTTTCTGGTGGTGAAAGGAAACGGTTAGTTTCACACCTATCTTTTGAGAGATGACCGGCACTAACATTGAGGAAAACAGAGTATCGATCGCCGAAGTTCTCGCTGCCGGAGCGTCCGTTCAATGCTTTGACAACTCGACCCGTGGTCTCGACTCTTCTACCGCGCTGGATTTCGCCAAGGCTTTGCGAGCTGTCACGGATGTTGGCCACAAGACTAGCATGGCCACCCTGTACCAGGCAGGCGAGGATCTCTACAGGAACTTCGACAAGGTCATCGTCCTGGATGATGGCCAGATGGCCTTCTTCGGAAGGACATCCGAGGCCTGGAAGTATTTTGAAGATCTCGGATTCATCCCTGTCCCTGGACAGACAACTGCCGAGTTCCTCACTACCGCTACGGACCCCGAAGAGCGTAGAGTGCGACCTGGATCTGCGGCGGCCAACTTCAAGACCGCAGCAGATCTGGCGGCTGCATTCCGCCGCTCGGATAACTACCAGCGTCTCTTGACTGAGATTGATGAGTACCGCCAGAAGCAAGCTCAGGCTGATGCTTTGCTCCCCGCTTACAACTACCGCCTTTCGTACCCTGCCCAGGTCTGGGAGTGTCTCACTCGAGAAGTCCAGCTGGTCAGCGCTCAGCGCCGTGTCTACTACATCAAATGGGTTACTACTCTTATTCTGTGTCTGGTTTGTGGCAGTGTTTATTTCGACATCGACATCACCGCTCAAGGTGCCTTCACAAGAGGTGGTATCCTGTACTTTGCCCTCATCGTCAACGGTTGGTTCCAGTTCCCCGAACTGTTCGATGCGCACACCAATAGGCCTGTGATTGAGCGACATGGTAAGAATTGCCCTGATATCACACATACTGCTCATTATACTGACTCGAGTCTCTAGCTGGACTGCATCTCAACCGCCCGTCCGCTGTTGCATTGGCCCGTTTCATCATCGACTTGCCTCTCATTGCCGCTCAGCACGCCTTGTTCATCATCATCTTCTACTTCCTGTCGCGGTTACAGATTGAAGCAGGCAAATTCTTCTTCTTCTACTTCACGCTCTTCATCTCCACGGTGTGCTTTAGCAATCTGCTGCGCATGTTCGCCTACTACGTCGGAACCTTGGACGATTGTAAGATCAAGTCCCTTTTGCTCCAAAAGTCACGACTAACACGTGTTTAGGCTTCCGTTACGGTGGTTTCTCCTGCACGGTGCTCCTTCTCTTCGCCGGATTCTTGATCCCGCCGAATGAGATGGGTGCCGCCTTTGGATGGCTGCATCATCTGAACCCCATGTTCTACGGCTTCGAGAACGTAAGTATCCAGCATATACCTCGACGTTGGCTTTCGTCAACTAACCAGCCATGGCTGTAGCTTTTCTCGAACGAGTTCAGTGGTTTGAACCTTGCCTGCGACGATAATCTCATTCCGGCGGACGGAGTTGCTGGACACCAGACCTGCGCTATCCGTGGTGCGCTTCCCGGCCAGACCAGCGTCCCTGGCACCGAGTACATCGAGGCTTACGGCTTTTCCCTGTCCCACAAGTGGCGAAACATTGGCATCATGATTTCCATTGCGTTCATCTACCTCTTCATTAGCATGTTCGGCAGTGAGGTCATGAGGTTTGCCCCTCAGGGAGGCGCTCCCCTTGTTTTCGCCAAGCGCCGTGGCCAGAAGGAAAAGGCAGTCGTCACTGATGTCGAGAAGTCCGCTCCTACAAACGCCCTGTCAGGTAGACTCGGAGAACTCGCCCTCACCTGGAAGGATGTCAACGTGCACATTGGAGAGAAGCACATTCTCAAGAACATCTCTGGATACGTCAAGCGTGGAGAGCTGACTGCTTTGTGTGGTGCTTCCGGTGCTGGCAAGACTACCCTGCTCACGGCTCTCAGTCAGACCAACTTTGCTGGTACTCTCTCAGGTGAAGTTCTTGTGGGAAGCAAGCCTCCAACTGCGAGCTACAGGAAGACTGTCGGTTTCGCGCAGCAGATGGATCTCCACGACGGCACTGCTACGGTTCGGGAAGCCATTGAGTTCTCTGCCCTGCTGAGACAGCCCCTGCATTACTCTCGCGAGGAGAGACTGGCTTACGTCGACACGGTTCTTGAATTGCTCGATTTGGTTGATGTCCAGCACGTGCTCATTGGCGAAGAGGGTGGCGGCCTGGGCGTTGAAAGGCTCAAGCGAGTGACGGTATGTTTTGCACATGTTATCCGACCCTCCCTTCGAATCACCTTGCTAACTCATAATGCGTACAGATTGGTGTTGAGCTTGCCGCACGGCCTGAAATCCTCTTTGCTGACGAACCTACATCTGGACTGGACTCCCAAGGCGCTGCCCGTATCGTTCGCTACCTGAAGCAGCTTGCTCGTCATGGCCAGGCTACTGTCGTCACCATCCACCAGCCTTCAGCTCTCCTGTTCTCTCAGTTCGATAACCTCCTGGCTCTCTCGTCTGAAGGCCGACAGCTCTAGTAAGTCACTGGCCCTTCCTAGTTTCTCTTCAACCAGTATGACTGACCATTTCTCTAGCTTTGGCAAGGTCACTGAAGCTCTCCCGTATTTCGCTCGTCACGGTGCAGTCTGCCCCGAGGGTGCCAACCCCAGTGCCTTCATTCTCGAGACCGTCGGCGCCGGTGTCAACGCCCGCACAAATGACAAGGGATCCAACTGGTCGACCAACTGGGCAGAGTCTCCGGAAGCTGCGGCCCTCGCACAAGAGATTGAGGAGAGCAAGAAGAACCCCCATGGCAGCACTACCCACGACGAGGAGAAGGTCCCCGAGTATAACGCGTCTACCATTGCGCAGACTTATCTTCTGACGAAGCGAATGCTGTTGAACCAGTGGCGCAACACGCCATACATCTACTCCAAGATTTGGGTTCATATTCTCAGCGCGTTCTTTGTCGGATTTACCTTCTACCAGCTCGGAACCAGCCCCACTGACCTGCAGAACCGCATGTTCAGCGTCTACTTCATGCTGTTCCTCTGCAACGCCATCGTCAACGTCATTCTCGCCCGGTACTTCTTCGCTAGTCTTTACTGGATGTACCGCGAGGGTCCCTCTCACGCATATGGCTGGGTTGCTTTCGTGAACTCCGTCATTCTTGCTGAGATCCCTGGTGCTCTCTTTGTCACGGTTATCTACTACGTTGTCTGGTACTTCCCTAGCGGACTGCCTCACAATGAAGCTGGATACATCTTCCTCTTCTTCCTGACCTACGAGATCTTCCAGGTTCTCCTTGGATTGTTCATGATGGCTCTCAGCCCCGATCTCGGTGCGGCTGGAAACGTCCTCGTCTTCATTGTGTGCACCTGCAACTGGTTCAACGGTATCATCATTCCCTATGACCAGATCCAGGTCTTCTGGCGCTACTGGCTCTACTACCTGTCGCCATTCACATACCTCCTCGGTGGCATGGTCACGGCCGTCACCGGTGGTGTTCATGTGGTCTGTGACACCGCGGACCTGACGCTGTTCACCCCGCCCGAGAACCAGACCTGCGGTGACTATGCGGCCAAGTGGGCTCTCTCTGCATCCGCTCAGCTCCTCAACCCTGATGCTGTGTACCCGTCCGACTGTCAAGTATGCCGCTGGGACTCTGGTGACCAGTTCCTGGCGCAGTTCAACCTTGGCGATGGACAGCTGGGAGGCAAGTGGGGATGCTGGGGCATCTTCCTGGCCTTCACCTTTGGCAACCTGGCCCTGGTGTACTTTTTCACCTGGGCCACCAAGGTGAAGTACTGGAAGCTGTTTTACTTTTTCTAAATGACTCGAAGAGATTTGCGCATAGGGACGCATAGGGAGGAGCGCATGAGACATACTGTTACGCTTTCCCGCATATATGGTTGCATGATGGAGGGGATGGAAAGATTTGATTCGCAGTGGAGGAAAATACCTGATCCCTGGATACCTTAGAATGTCCTGATGTTTTCAAGGCTTATACGCCTTTGGCCAGTCCATTAGACTTAGACTCAGTCGAACTTAATAATATCGTTACGAGTAACTTTTGTATCTAAAGAACAATCTTGTCTAATATTTCCGCCACCACTCTCTGTGCCTGACCCTTGCCATTATGCATATAATGGAATTTCTCATGCGTACCTGTAACAGGAGCACCATCTGAGTAGATAGTCGTACGTCTCACATATGTGCCTATATTTATTGTCTTATGTGTTGATACTTGTCGGATTTCCTGTTTTTCTGGTCATCACTTGCCATTTGTGGGGGTCTATCATGAGTGGCTGACTGAAAACTACCTATCTAGGGAAGATCCTTGTCGGCTTCTGAGAGGTATTGACCGGGTGTGCCACATGACGGAACTACCGCGGAGACATGCCGTCCAGGTTTCCTTGACTGCTTCCTCGCCGCGGATGCTGGCGAGTTGTTGCAGGCAGGTTGTAAGTGGGAAGGCGCATGTATAGATAGCATGTATAGATAGTAACCTTGGCGGAAATGTTGCTGATCCCCATGGACTCCCCGGCGTCCAGGTCGAAATAGGTGATATCTTGGGGATGAGGGGAGAATGCTGGGGGTTGACTGGTGTTGCTTGGAGCGGGTGATTGTTTTCACAGTCTTTGTTACAGGTTCTGCATGGCGTGGGCCTATAGCATAGCAATGCTCGTCATCGTGGCCGGGATACTTGGGTCAAACGTCTGAGGTATCCGGGGTGTGGGCACGTTTGGGGTCGGGGTGCCTGGGGTATAGATAGGATAGAAGTGGTAGTTCTTAGTCTTCTATGGCGTGATGACCTGCCATGTCAGAGTTGCTGGTTTCTGGTGATTCGGAAAGTAGCATTTACGATAGTTTTACGTCGGTTACCTTTCTCGTTCTTGGGCTTTCACGGTCTGGCCACTTTCCCTACGAGGAATTATGTTTCTTTGTTGCTTCTTTATAGATAGACATGCTTTATATTAGTACTTATGTGGCATGCTACTCATGTAACCTCTAATCCTTGTCTTCTCACAAGTTATCAAGTCAGATTACCTACCAACTGGCTGCATGTAGAGAGTGACCACCGGTCACTTTCTAGGTTAAGGTAGCCATCACCTTAACTGGGAAACTGAGCAGCAGCCACCTTCTGCCGTGGCCACTTGGTAAAGTAATTCGGCTTGTATATTTCACACCGGGATAGGGTTTTACACGCTCGAAAACTAGGTCTCTGAGATCATAGGTGTAGCATATGGAACTCAGCATTTAATTGTCCAAGTATAGCAAGTGTTGGACTTCATCATCTCATTCTGGAGCAGTGTCGTTTGATACTCTACTGCTGTACAGTTTTCTTTCGTGCTGCAAGGTGCATGTCTGCGTCTATCCGCAGCACCAAATACATGACACTCTGTCTGCCTTTCAGCGCTTTTCTCACTTTTATACCTACGCACAGATAGGCAATATTCGTCCTAGGGTCAGCTGAAGTTCTATGCTTCATAGTAGTGGTCATGAAGAAATTATTCAACTACTGTCGTACGACACAGCTGTTTCTGGTCATGGCATAGGCCAATGTAACATAGAGTTTAGATGCGTTAAAAGGCGCTGGTAATTTTTTTTTGGCCTCTATGGTCGTGATATAGCAGGTAAAAGGCTCGTGGGGCCTCCAACGACAAAAGTCAACTATCATGTATAAACAGAAACCCCTCTGGCGCACGTTAATATTGGCAGTCACCCAAATACTGGCTTGACTACGGTATATGCTCACAATGTTGTCTAGTCTAGTTCTCTCGAACTCATCTCGCATGTTCAGTTTATAGAATTGACTTAGAATAAAGATATCATTGGCTTCATAACAATCTGGAAAAAGACTAGCTGCATATTTACATATTCCTTTACAATAGACCCATCAACCGACGACATTGACCCAGCGGTTGGAGCGATCAACAGACGCTCCAACGTTGACCAGCTCCTTCAACTTCCTCTTGTGGATCTTGAATCCAACATGAGGATACTTCTCCACAAAGTACACACCGCCAGAGATGCGGGTGAACTTGCCCAGCTTGCTCTCGACGTAGGCCTCGAGCTCGCTGGCCAGCTTCGCCAGCGAGTCGCGGTCCTTGCGCACCTCGGGCTGCAGGACGACAAAGGCAGTAGGGTGCTCCTGCTGCGCCTCTTCGTCGCGGATGCCGACGACGACGGCCGCGTTCACGGCGGGGTGGTCGAAGAGGATGGCCTCGAACTCGCTGGCCGAGGCGTGCGTGCCGTAGCCGTCGCCGACACGCAGCATCTCCTTGATGCGGTCGACGATGAAGACGTTTGAGTTCTCGTCAACGTAGCCAACGTCGCCGGTGTGGAACCAGCCCTCGGAGTCAAACTCCTTGTTGGCAACGGCATTGTCCTTGTATCCGGCGAACCGGGCCAGCGAGCTGCGCACGAGCAGCTCTCCGCGCTCGTTGTGGCCCAGGTCCTCGCCCGTCTCGGTGTCGATGACGCGGATCTGCATGCCGTGGACGAGCGTGCCGCTGGATCCCCGCACGGAGGACGCGTCGTCGACCTGCAGGGCGATGAGCAGCGTCTCGGTCGTGCCGTACTCGAGGCTGAGGCGCACGCCGTTGAACTTTTCCTGGACGGCCTCGCGCATCTTGGGGTGGATGGGCGCGCCGGCGGAGAGCATCCACTTGATGCTCTTGTACGTTTGGCCGTCCTTCTTGTCCGACTTTGCGATTTCCGCGGCGAGCGGCGGGGTGACAAACAAGAAGGTGATCTTGTACTGGTCGATGAGGTGGAAGGAGGCCTGGTTGAGGGGCTTCTGCAGGATGACGACGGGGATGCCGAGCAGGATGTTCAGGCCGAGGTACAGCTTGGCGGTGATGCCGTACGCCAGGGGAAGGGAGGCGATCCAGACGTCTTCTTCTGGGTTTGTGTCCTCGGGAACAGTCAGGCGGGTGGTCAACAGGTTGGCTGTCCAGTGGGCGTGGGTCATGAGATATGACTTGACGTTGCCGGAGGATCCCGTTGTGCGGTTGATGAATGCGTAGTTGGTGTCTGTTTCCTCCTTGGTGGTGAGACGGAAGCCATCATAGAGCTCCGTCTCGTTCTCTAGCAGGTTGTGGACGTTGGCAATGCCATGGGGGGTTCCCGTGAGGCTGATGAGGGGAATGTCACGGTAGGCGTCTGCGGCGCCTCTGGACATGATGGCGTATTCCTCATCGGTAATGATGAGCTTGGCGCCGGCTTGCTGCACTCTTGAGATGACTGCAATCACATCAAGACCCTGCTGGATAGGAATGGGGTAGATAGTTGCTCCAGCAGCCAAGACACCGAAGAAGGCTACGGGGTAGTGTATCTAATATCAAATACAAATGGTCAGCAAGCAGATTCATAACCTCGCCCAGCATGCAAGTATCGTCTGATGTGTTTGATTCTTGTACGACGTAGGGTATACTTACAGAGTTGTTTGCCAAGAAGGCAATCACATCATGGGGCTTGATGTCGTACTTCTTGACGAGGACCGAAGCCAAACGCCGGCTGCGGTTCTCAAGCTCATCGAGGGTCAAGGTCTCACCGGTCTCATGGACACGATACAGCACCTTATCACGAGAATACTTCTCACGAGCGGCGTTGAAGATGAAGTTGAAGACGTCGGCGGCCGGCACCTCGGGCTTGGGGAACTTGGACTCGAAGATCATCTTGAAGAAAGTTGTTGTACTTTTTTCTTTCAAAGGTTCAGTTGATGAACTATAGTTGAAGTTGAATGCAGATGATCTTCTTTGGTCTTTGCAGAAGAACACAGCAGAAGGTTGTTGTGGCAAATCTATTTGATTAAATACTCGATTGCCATGATACCTTCTTTATCTTTTCACTTGAGCTGCCTCAATACGAGCTAGCATAATCTATTTCGATCCTTGACGCTTCCTGTCCTACTCTCACGCTCGCTGTCATGACTTCGCCTCACCCCAACGGACACGGAGCCGGGTTTAGCCGTCCAGGACATACTAGGCATCTCGCGATTCCTTATCCCGAAGCCAAAATTCACTATCAAACAGACTAGGGGGGGTCTGAGAAAAAAAAACTTGCAGTCAAAGCTTTCCATAGATGTCCGAAGTATTCGTCACAAGTAGAAGCAAGCAAAACTTTTTGCTAGTTTCATCTCGCAACGCTGGCTGCAAAAGGATTTGCCATAGCCTTGATTCCTCTCCTCCCCCCCCTGCCCATCCGGATACTCAGCTCGGCAACCCATGTTTCTGTTCCCCCGAAGGAATTGCTTCATGCGTTTACTTGCATCTTCTTCGATTTTCTGTTGGATGGGCTTGGCTTGGCAAGGGTATCCCGCGTGCCGCCCGAGGGTGTGATGGATCAGGACATGTGTTGCTGCTGCATGCGGCTGGCCCTGAAGGATTTCGGCCTGGGTGCATGAGAAGTCGTCGTCACCTTTACTCATCGGCTACGAAATGGAGACCAGGGGTCCCGTCCACCTTCGATGTGACGAAGTGGTTGCGACGGGGATGTAAGCTTCGGAGATGGAGATGGGGTGACGATACGTGCAGATGCAGTCTGATAAGATGGAAGGACACTAGAAGAGGCTACGGTAACACCGGAAGAGTAGATGGGATCTGGATTGCCCCATAATGTGCGACAGACAGACAGTCAGCTCCGATCACACCCCCACATCGTGAGGGAGGGAGGGGGGGCGCGGCGTCAGCAATATATGATGACAACATAAGCGGGCGACAGGGGTTCAAGGGGTAGGGGAGCCCCCCTGGTCGAGTTGTCCAGACTTTGTGGGATGAGTGTGGGTAGCAGGATAGACGACGCTCGAAGAACCAGATCGAACGATGGCATTCGACAATCAGGCAAGTCCAAAGGATTGTCTTGGTTGTGCTAGTTGTTCCATCCCATCCGATTCATTAACCGATTCATTATCAATCTCCTTCGAGGGCCGATGATTGATCAGTAGATTATGCATCCGTGTGCATATTGTCACCTCGGATCAGACCATAGAGTCCCGAGTTTCGTACCATACCAGTCGAGACAAGAAGTCCCAAAGGCATACAGCATACACGCCCATTGCGGTTATAAATGCCGGACCTATTTCCTGTATACCCCCTACTGCACTCTGCTACTCTTATCCTTCTCAACAAAGGACAACAACAACAAGCATCGTTATCAATCAGTTGTTATCAACAACTGCAAGCTCCCACATAAGCACCTTTTATACATACACACACAGACATACATACGGTTGCAATCATGGCCGCCAACGACACGACCAGCCTGCCCATCATTGACTTTGCCAAAATCGTCGGCCCTTCCATCTCGCACTCCGCCGAGGTGATTGCGGAGAGCGAGAAGGAGAAGAAGAAGCTGTTTGACGCCTTTGTCAACGTGGGCTTCGTGTACCTGGCCAACCACTCGATCCCCGACTTTGCGCGGGACAACCTCTTCTCGCACGCAAAGAAGTTCTTCGCGCTGCCCGAGTCGGAAAAGGCAAAGGTCGAGACGGGCGAGAGCAAGGCCTTCCACGGCTGGTTCTCGCCCACGCGCACCTCGGGCGACAAGCGCCACGCGGATCTCAAGGAGGCCTTTGACGTGGGCAAGGACGACGACCCGACGAGGCCCAACCAGTGGCCGGCGGACTGGCCCGAGTTCCGCGACGACATGAACTTCTTCTTCGAGAAGTGCCACGAGGTCCACCTGGTGCTGCTGCAGGCCCTGGCGCAGCAGGTCGGCATCGACGAGCACTTCTTCGATCCGCACGTCGCCGCCAGGGACCACTTCTTCCGCGTCATCTACTATCCCGAGACCAGCAGGGCTGCCTTCAAGGACCGGCTGCGGGCCTCGGCGCACACCGACTACGGCACGCTGACGCTGCTCTTCAACGACAACAGCGGCGGTCTGCAGGTCCGCAAGTCTGACGGCACCTACATTGACGCGCCCCCGATTCCCGGCTGCGCCATCATCAACGGTAAGTTGTAGATACTACACTCATGGCTTACACCTCCCCATCCCCTGTTACACTTACACCCATTGGACCCCTTCTATCCTGCCTCCACCCCCGGCCCTTGTAGCCACGCCGCTCCGGTAATCTTGCACAAAGTAAACCCCCCTGCTAACCACCCCTGGTCTTCTTTTTTCGTCTCATGCAGTGGGCGATCTCCTTTCTCGCTGGTTCAACGACAAGCTCATCTCCACGGAACATCGCGTCGTCGAGCCAGAGCCCAAGCCGGACGCCAACGGCAACATCCCGGACATTGTTCCCGCCCGCTACGCCATCGCCTGGTTCGGCCACCCGAACCGGGACGCCCTGGTCGACCCCATCGACGCCTGCTGCACGCCCGAGAACCCCAAGAAGTACGCCCCGGTCTATGCCGGCCAGCACGTGGTTGAGCGGCTGGCTTATCTGCACAAGAAGGGCCAGAACACCACGGAATGGTCGGATGGGATGCAACGTGACAAGAGCGAGCCCACCGCGGCTGCAACTCCTATCGCCGTGGCTAGCTCATAAAGTCTTGGAGAGGAGGAGGGGGGGTTGTGTTTTTGCGCGTGGCTTGTGGTGATGGTTGGTTGGAGAACGAGAGGGAGGCGTATAAGGCTGAGTGGAGGGTGAAGAAACTCGCCTCCTCCCCCACCCCTGAGGGTGGTGTAAATCCGCGTTCCTGGATAGATACATAGTAGGAATGAAAAATGACAACATGAAGATCAATGCTTGCGTATTCAACTAGTAGTCCCATGCAATGTGGATTTCGTCAGACAATCTGGAGCAGGCCCCGATAGCTTCATCTGCCTACCCGAAACAGCATTATGGAACCTGCTCAGCCCTGGCAGGGCAGCTGCAGATGACATGAGCCTAAGTCTTCAAGAGCAAGATATACGAGGATGATACCCTGCCGGCCCGAAACGGCCACCCTTGCATGAAGACCCCTGTAAACCCCAAGGTAAGACTAGCCCAGGACCACAGGGCCCAGTCAATAGAGTAATCCTGCATGGGTAAGATCACCACCGGCGGGGAGAATCATAACTTGGATGCCGAGCATAGCTGACGGAGACGGAAGATATTCAGGCAACAAGCGAGGTCTTGGCTCACAGCTTGCTGCAGCCAGGTTAGAGGATTAGGTTACGGGTGCACAGATCGCGCATAACTAAAGTTGACCAACTCTTTACTACCAGAGATTTCTAGATTCTTCGACGCAGTTGCGAAGGATTCAAACTAGAGAAATTCGCCGACGTAGTTCACTAAATAGGCTGTATAAGGAAATATGAACGACCGGCAACTCAAGCATAGCACAACTAGCCCGGCCTTGTCGTCTTATCAACGTGAAAACGTGAAGAGTCATTCTCAACACTCGTTGCAGAGGTTGGCAATCCCCGAAGCTCGGCAACACTATAGAACTGACGAGAACTGACGAGAAACTAGCCACAATTGCCGAAGGCCCGGTATCTAGGAGCCAGAAATGTCCGAAGCCATCGAGCTCCGATTCTTCTCTTATAATCTTGTTTCTTCGGGGGAGGGGAGGCTCCCTCCTCGGAGGGTCTTGGGAGAGATCGGACTTTGCCTAGCCCCGGAGCCGGAAAGAAAAAGAATCCCAATTATAACTCATATCAAAGCAGGCGGTGCCGCAGTTCCAAGGATGTCCCTCCTGCACATCGTCGAAGGATCTTTTTCTCCGACAACCCTTGGCATCGGCCATACTTAACCCATTCATAGGGCCCCAGTCCCGCGCATATTGGCGCCCCTAAAATCTGACTTGAGTTCTTTATTCCTCAAGCCATGGGCAACCAGGGCCCCGAACCAGCAAGGACTCACACACACACACACTCACACACTCACTAACGCACATACACGCCCCCCCGTCGATTACCTTACCTCTCGATGACATCCTCGATAACGCCCAAAGGGAAGTGATTGCCTTGCCACTGCACCGAAGCGACGAAGCGAAGAAGATACGAGAGAGCTGGGAAGAACGGGATTAGGACCGCGGATACCGAAAAGAGACAAATGGCTTCAATGTGACTCTGGATGATGCAGTTTATGTGGCTATCGAGGCTGTGTCCCCCGGAAACTGGGATTCCATTCCTTATCCTGGCCCCTTCGCGGAACGGCACACAGATTGTGAGACGCCAGACGAGACGGGAGTTACCAAACATGGAAGGCTGGGCATTACGCAGGATCTGTGATATCTCGGGAGATGTGATAGGCCGCACGTGGCGAGAGAGGACAAGATTACCCAACAGAGAGAGAGAGAGAAAAGTCATCATCCGTTCAGCTTATATTTGAGTGATTGCCTTTGCCGTTGAGCCCCCTTTTGCTGTGACACAACGACAAGACACGGACAATTCAACTCGTTCTTCCTTGAAGCATTTTTCCCAGCTACCCAGACGGGAATATTCAACATAGCTTTCAGAGAACACTCGAAAGCAAAAATCAAACAAGTCAACATGGTCCAGACTCAGATCCAGGTGAGTAACGTCTCTCCTCCTTCGCGTTTCCCCATTTCCCCCCTTTCCCCCATGCCTTCTCTTAGTCTATCTGGTAGTAAAGGTATCTAACAAGAAGACTATCAGATTCCCGAGCTGGGACTCCTGCCCACGACCTTTTCCAAGGTCAAGCCCGCAGTTACAGAGACCATCCGGGAGATCACACCACCCACAGATCACCTCGGCACATGGTCTCCAGACTCGTGGCGCACCAAGCGCGCAGCTCAAGCTGTTGAATATGCCGACAAGGACGCTCTGGAGGAGACGTGCGCCTATCTGCGCCAGCTGCCTCCCCTGGTGAACCCGTCCGAGATTGAGCAGGCCCGCGCGCAGCTGTACCACGTTGCCCTTGGCCGCGCCTTTGTGATCCAGGGCGGCGACTGCGCCGAGAGCTTCCACGACATCAAGTACGACATCATCAAGAAGAAGGTCGAGCTCCTCCGCCAGCAGGCCGAGATCCTCGAGGAAGCCCTCGGCATGACCGTGATCCCGCTGGGCCGCATCGCCGGCCAGTACGCGAAGCCGCGCTCCAACCCCTTTGAGACGCTGCCGTCCGGCGAGAAGATCCACGCGTTCAGGGGCCACAACGTCAACTCGGAGGACCCGACCCGCCGCCAGCCCGACCCCAACCGGCTGCTGCTGGGCTACTTTTACGCGGCGGCGTCGCAGAACACGATCCGCCACGTGTCGACGCACCGGGACGCGCCGGCGGCCGGCAAGACGCCCGGCAAGTCGTTCCTGTACACGTCGCACGAGGCACTGCACCTCCCGTACGAGTCGGCCCTGACGCGCGACCGCTACAACCTGTCGGCGACGACCATCTGGCTGGGCGAGCGCACGCGGCAGCTGGACGGCGCGCACGTCGAGTACGCCCGGGGCCTGCGCAACCCCATCGGCGTCAAGGTCGGCCCCACGGCGACGGCGGAGGAGGTGGTGGCCATCCTCGACGCGCTCAGCCCCGACCGCACCCAGTGCGGCAAGATCACCATCATCACGCGCATGGGCTGCGGCCGCGTGCGCTCCGTGCTGCCGCCTATCATCCGCGCCGTCCAGCTGAGCGGCCACGTGCCCATCTGGATGAGCGACCCGTGCCACGGCAACACGTTCGCCACGTCTACGGGCGTCAAGACGCGCAAGGCCGAGGACCTGCTGCAGGAGCTCAAGGAGACGTACATTGCGCACCGCAGCCTCGGCAGCCGCCTGGGTGGCATCCACCTCGAGCAGACGGGCGAGGACGTGACCGAGTGCATGGACGAGGCCATCAACACGTGCGAGGACGACCTCGGCCAGTGCTACCAGTCGCTGTGCGACCCGCGGCTGTCCAACGAGCAGGCGCTGTCGCTGGTGAAGCAGTTTGGAGAGTTTGTCAAGAACTACCAGCATGAGGCATGAGGCGTTGTTTTTGTATTGATATTGATGGCTTTTGTATGTACAATGATGGCAAGTTTTTATGGGTTCAAAGGGTAAATAAATCAATCGACCAGGAAGGACAAACGCAGATTGGGACGTGTTTTTCGGCCAGAGTGTACCTAGTTTTTTTTTTCTATCTTCTACTCAAATTTCAATGATTTTCAGTTACATCCCATCTCCCAATTTCACAAGATGAGATAAACGAGTGGCGTGCCACGTGTTGATGTTGGTTGGTGTTGGTGGTATCGGTGGCGGTGATCGATCATGATAGTGGTGGTGGTGCGTGAGAACCTTCAGCGTTACGCCCATCTCCCTCTCGATAATCTTGCCGTCTTTGTGCCACACACACCCCTGTCCAGCTGCTGTTGTATGGGCTCCCACGTGGCGGCCGTGGACGTGCATGAGGCTTGCATGCTTCTGGAAGGACGGGCTCTGCGTTACATTTCTGGAGCCTTGCTGTGGGCTCGAGGAGGCGGGACTTGGTGTGTCTCACGGATATGCATCTGACACAAGGTGATCTGCCCTACTTTATCTGGCTTGAAGTATTTTTGTAACGCTGCAGTGGTAGCATCTTATCTATCGTGAGTGCAGATCTAGATACTAGATGCTGTGCCAACGCCTGGTTGCATTGAGGGTTCTGGCGGGTGCCTGAATCTCCATAGAGAGGCGTTTCTGATGGAGATGTTCCACCAATGATGGTCGCCTACCTCATGTTGCCTGTAACACACACACACACACACTTGGGAATCTGGCATTCGCGAAATCGTGTCTTGGTAGTTGTTGCGCATTCAAAGCATTCTATATACAAAAAAGCATTTGCTACCGAGGGAGCCTAGAGATCATTTGCCTTGGCTCAACCTAGTCATAATCAAAAACTCCTGATGCTTATGCCGACAGGGGCTTCCTGCCGTAGACAAAGTTCAGCTTGGGCTGGTAGCCATACGTCTTGATCTCCACCTCGAGGGCATCCAGGAACTTGTGGAACTCCTTGGCATCAGCCGCCACTCCAGGGATTCCAGTCGCTGCATCAGCCCAATATTAGCATCTGCGCGAAGCAACACAAAGGGTCTACTCAGGGGGGAAAGAATCAAACGTACCAGGAATCTTCTCGTCCAGGGTCCGGAAGCACTCCACCCACAGCTCCGCCGAGGCATTCTTCTGGTCCTCGGCCTTGGCCAGCGCGCCGTAGCCGTGGTCAAACTGCACCGTCGTCACGTCCTCGAGCCCCGCGTCCCTGAGGTAGCCCTCGAGCTTGTAGGCGACGTGGATGTCCATGCCGAAGCCGGCCGTGGACCACTCCTGCATGAGGGCCTGCTTGTGCAGCTGCGGCCGCGTGGCCGGGTCCGCCGGCGCGTCGTGGCTGATCCACTCGGCCTCGACCAGTTGGATGTAGCCGCCGGGCTTGAGGCCCTCGACCAGGTTCTTGATCACGACGGGCCACTCCACGGACTTGATGCCCCAGATGAGCAGCCGCTGGTGGATCACGTCGAAGGACGACTGCCAGCCCCACGAGGCGGGGAAGGGCGTGCGGATGTCGTGCTCGCGGAGGTCTTCGCCAGCAGACGGAGGGGGGAAGAGGGTCGAGCCAATGTCGACGCCGTGGAGGTCCAGCTTGTGGTCTGGGAGCTGGCGAGGCAGGTCGCGCAGCCAGGTGCCTGAGTCTCAAATTAGCATCACATGTCTATACTCGTGAATTGTGAGGAGATGTTCAGGGCATACCATCTGCAGCACCGCAGTCGAGGACGCGCAGCTCCTTCTTCTCCTTGATGTTGGGCGTGACGAGCAGCTGGCCGCCCGTGGTCGAGTTCATGAAGCGGTGCTGGCGCGTCAGGCGGTCAATCTCCTGCTCGTGGTGAGGCAGCATGTAGGCGCCCTCGGTGCCCCGGAAGGGGACGATGGGCGCGGAGCCGGTGACGGCCACGGGGGCAGTGGCGGTAGCAGCTGAAGCCATGATTTTTGCGGGAGACTTGGGTATCAAAGAGTTTGAAAAGAAAAAGAATTGATGTAAAGCTTGTCTTGTCTGGCTTCTGTTGTTGATGCTGCTGCTGTCTTGTCCTTTTTCTATCAATTGGACGTGGTGCTGGGCACTTATAAGCACCTGCAGCTGGATGAGCCTCGTCTCTTTATCATCACCACTAACAAATCCCACCAGCTCCAACCGCCCATCCCACCCCAAACCGCGCACCATCCCCAAGCCAAGCCAAGCAAGAAGGATCCAAAGCGGCGTCTCAACAGATCTCCAGCCCAAGGCACCAAAACATGCCCTGTCTAAGGCAAGGGAATCAAAGACTCCCCAGAAATGTCAGATACGAGATGCAGAATCTAGATGGCTGAAGCCAAGGGTCCCAGCACACACACACACACATACACCCACGCGGCCGTAAGCTGCATCCGGGGCCCTGCAGCAGCGGCTACGCCGGCATGGGTCTAAAATCCATGGGTCTATCTCTACTTTGCTGCTTGATAGTAAAAAAGTACATGTGAGGTTGAAGTAGCGATAATTGCATGCATCGGGCTGACATGGTTTCGGGGCAACTATAACCAAATACCTGGTAATTCCTGGAGCTTGCACAATAGGCAGGACAAATTGCACAAAAACCTGCCTAAAAACTTGCCACTGCATTCCGGTCCGCGGATTGGTAAGTGAGCCGGCAGTAGAAGAGAAAAGAAAAGAGAGGAAAAGGCGATCCGGAAGCCATCGACTGCCGCGCCAACTCCGAACCGATCCACCAACCCGGCCGTCCAACTCCGAGATCTCTCAAACAGCCCGATATAACGCCAAGCAGCCACCCAACTCCGATCAGTAAACCAACGCCCCCTCCCTCGCAGAGAGCAAGACGGCACTGGGAAATAATAAAACCACACACAAGCCACGCCAGATCGTCCCGTAGATTAGTATCGATCCATGCATGTCCGAGCCGGGGATCGTGTTCCTGTAAGCTAAAGCAAGCCCAGTCCGCCAGCCCTTCCTAGGGTCTAAAAGGATTCCGCAAGCCGGCGCTTTTACATTTCCAGTTAAAGTTGCATCTTCAAAACATCAACCTCCCAAATCCTTACACATCCCTGGTCATCACGACAAACGAAGTGAGAGACGAGACTGAGCTGCTGCCCTTTCGTATTCCATTCCGCCGGGGACACGTTTCGTCACATTTTGCTCCAAGGGTCGATCAATCGTTGTCGACAGAAGCTCGGGTTTACCTCAGAATTCAGTCTATCCGATTTCTGACATTCCCTCTTTTCAGACCTTTCCTCTCTCCCCGCCCCCCCTTTCCTCTCTCCTTCTTTCTTCCCCCTTCTTTCAACCTTCCTTCGAGCCTCAAAGCCGCTTTTGAATGCTTCGAGCTCGAACCATGGTCTCCGCCATCGCCTCCCCTCCTATTGGAGGCTCGCCCTACCGCCTAGCCAACCTCGCCAACCTTCAGATCGGATACAGCGTCGTTCCCTCTTGGATGAACCAAGTCCCCATGGCCAACGTCTCTCCCCCGTCATCACATAAGCAGGGCGGCGCTCGTTCCTCCGTCTCCGTCACCCTCACGGAGGCCCTCCAGACCCCGCCCGGCGTCTACAACGTCCAGCAGCTCGTCGCCAACTCGGGGCCGCTCCTGGATGTCGTCATCTCGCGCCTCGGGCAGGACCCCCCCGGCCAGCCCAGCGCCTCGTCCATCCTCATCGACGGCCTGGCGGCGTCGCTGTCCACCCGCGGCCGCGAGTCCACGTTCCCCCTGGAGAAGGCGAGCAACGACGTGGCGCGCAGCGAAATCGTCCACCAGGCCAACCGCGTCGCCTCGACCATTGTCAAGCACGTCAAGAAGAGCGTCAAGCCGGCGCCCAAGAGCCTCGACTTCCGCATCCGCAGCCCCTGCGAGGGCCACCTCTGGACGCACTCGGTCGCGGCGCTGCTCTTTGGCCCGCGCAGCGACTCGCAGCTCATGGAGCTCTACAACGAGTGGCTGCACCGCATGGTCCTCCTCCGGGACAGCCTGATTCCCTTTGAGAACTTTGAGGAAGTGCCTCTGGTCATCCCCCCGGGCTCGACCCGCGGCATCCGCGACCTCGAGGAGCCCCGGCGGGCTTTCTTGGTCCACTGCCTCACCGGCAACATCCAGCAGATGGCCATTGTCGACCTCGCAAAGGTCTTCACGGCCAGGGGCCTCCCCCGCGGCGGCTACGGCTTCCAGTACTCCCAGGGCCTCATCCTGCCCGCCTTCCTGTCCGGCTCCCGCTCCCTGCACCTGCTGCGCTACCACCCGGCCCACCTCAACAGCTCCGAGACGGACCTGCTCTTTGACTACGAGCACGCGCAGTACATTGCCGCGCCCCGCACGGAGATCAAGGCCGAGGACGCCCTCACCACCAAGACCAACTGGAACGCGGCGTCCCTGCTCGACGCCGACACCACCGTCACCGAGTCCTCCCTCGTCGTCGAGCAGCCCAGCGGCGACGCCCTCCGCCGCGCCGTCAAGCTCGGCCTGACGCTCGACTCGGGCGCCTGCGTCTCCGTCGACCTCGGCCAGATTGCCCGCGGCCGCCGCTACGCCTATGAGATCCGCTCGGACAAGAAAACGTCTGATGACGAGGCCTCGGACAGCACCGCCTACGTCCACAGCGCCGCCAGCATCCTCTCCAAGCCGGGCCTCGTCATCTCGCCCCGCGTCACGGCCGGCAGCCCGCCCGCCGTTCACGTCATCCCCACCGCGGACCCCATCCTCCGGCTCGCCCTCCTGGGCAAGCTGTACCCCGAGAACGTCATCCTCGTCAAGGAGCAGGACAGCCTCGCCGCGCTGAGCAGGGCGGGCAAGAACTTTGCCGAGAAGATTGTGATTTTCGAGAAGAATGGTGCTGCTTCTGCGAGCGCGTAAGCATATGATTTGATGTTTGCTGTTTCCTTTTTTTTTTTACTCTTTTTTGTGTTGTGTGCGTGTGTAGGTAGTTAAGTACTAGCCTGGTAGCCAAGAGACATCATGAACGAAACCTCATAGGGAGGATAACTGGTGGCACATCCGGGAAACCAAACAAAGGGAAATGTGCTTCAACTACCCTTTAAGGGATATAAATTGAATTTTCGTTTCTCTTACAGCGTAGCTTTTGCCTTGTTTGATTTTCCTGTTGAGTCCGTCAAGGGTCACACTCCGTCCCCCGTCGCATCACATCGCCATCACATCGTGATATCTCGTGATGATGCGTACAACTTGTCATCATTCAAGGGATGTTGTCAACGTGAAGTTTTCTTGTTTTTTTCTGCCCCGCGGAGTTTATATCTCCAGTTAAATAAAAGTCAGCAACCTCAACCCCTCCATCCCGCATCTTCCGCCCCTCAATCTCACTTCTTCCGCTCCCTTGTGCCCCTCCATCCAGCCCCCTCCTTCCCTAGCACATCATATACTAGAACAGAGCAAAGAGTCTCGATTTGCTGTACCTGTCAGATGAAATGGATATTCCTTCCCCCGCCGTGTCAAACTAACCCCCATTGGCATAGTACACGTATTTCCAGAGCCCCGTTTGCCGCCGCGATCGACCGGGTATCCATCGGGCAACTCCTTACATACAGTAGTAGAGAACTTTCCTGACTCGATCTTCTTCTTCCCCCTGCCATTGATGCTCGCTCTATGTAAAGTAAGGTATGTGATATAGTGGGGGGATCAATGTACGAGTAAGTAGCCCAGCCCAGCCCAGCCCAGCCCAGCCGAGCTAGATACCCAGTAGCTCAATTACCGCGCGGGAGGGCACTTTTTACAACCCAGCCCAGCGAGTTGTCAACGCAAAAAGTCAGGGGGGAACCTGCAGACGAAGAGCCGCAAAACGGCCGGGTATTCAAATGCCGAAGAATCGAACCAAACACCTACATATCTCCGATACAAAGTCGACACGTAGATGGATAGCCTAACCACGGCCAAACTTCAAGAACGCTCCCGAGGTCAAACAACCACATCAAGCCTATGTACCTCTGTGCCTACATACCTACGTAGATGTAAGGTAGCAATCGTTCAACCCCTGCCACCCCATTGATTACATATGTAACCCCAAGATAAACCGTGGGCAGCGCCCGACTCGGCAGCACAAACATCTTCAGTATGTAAGCCGGGGAGCAACGTCCCGACTTCCGACGCCCTCTGGCAGGCTGATTACCAAGACTACAAGCGGAGGGCGGTATGTATTTTGTCCATTTGCCGACGCGATCGGAGGTCACGGACAAAGCTGATCATGGTGACTAAGGCAGTAAGCGTGATCGACAAAGATCCGCAGGGTTCAAAGTCTTTTTCAACGCTCGTATCTACCTAGGTACCGACTTCTACTAATGGAAGGAGTACCAGTACCCATGTTGGAATAGCTTCACGAGCCGTATAAGCTTCGCAAGGGGCGTCGATGACTGGATGCAACAATCTAAACGTCAGCGTCAATACAGCTGGAATCATGCTGGAATCATGCATACTCGTACGCTAACCAACTGCAACATGGCGCTGACACGTTCCGGAAGAGTCCAATTGGGGCACGAAGAACAGGCAGCCATCAAGCTTGGGGGGACAAGAAAAGTGTGCACACGTAGAATCTATTCTCTACTGTATCTCGCTCTAAAGATTGGGTATTTGGCAACATGTTCATTTTTTTCCCCCTCAGCTGTTGCTCGCTGTGGCAAGGATAAGTCTCGTAAAGGCATCAAACTGTTCGTACTTGACGCGGCAAATGTCGTGGTTCTGGTGGTCGTTGGGGTCGTTTTCCGACATGAACTGGTCCACTACCTGTTGGACCGTGAGGTTACTGCGCGCGGCTTCCTCTGGCCCCAGCTGCGCCTTGGCAGCCATCCACTCCTCGGCTGACGAGGCTTTCCAAAGAGAGTCCGGAGCAGGGAGTGTTGTGTTTCGGATCAGATTGTCGTCCAGGGGCTCAAAGTAGTATGGGTTCTGCTTCTGAATCCTGCAGGAGAGGGTGTTGATGGTGTTGACGAGGAAGACGGTTCGTCGAATCGTCTCCTTCATGATCCATCGTCGCCAGCTCACCTCGTCGGTGACCTCGTCAGTGGAGGGCGGGAGAAGGTGTTGCTGGATAAGTCGTCGTGTCATCTGTTACCATTAGTCATGAGTCATCTCGTAAGCAAGATATGCATGCAACGTACCTTGAGAAAATACAAGTGGAGCATCTCAGACAGCTGCGCCTGGGCAGGACTGCTGCTCGCGAAGAAGCCCAGGATCTGGTAGATGCACATGGCGTGAATGACCGCCAACATGTCGCTATCTGAGCCTGACCATTTGTGCTACAAGAAGTCAGAAGAGTCCAAAGGATAAGGCAGGCACAAAACTTACAAACAAGTCGACAAGCTTTCTGCTCTCCTCGTTAATCATGGAGTATACAAAGGTCTCGCTTGTCGGAACAGAGGCATAAAAGGCGCCAACACAGCAGAATGCCCTGGCAAGCGGCTCCGAAACCTCTCCCGTAGCACATCGATATACCTTGTGATGCACAAATGGGGGGTACTCGCCACCGGGCCGGACCATGAGTCTCGGGTAGTTGCAGATGGTGCGGACGAGCTCATCGGCCGTGTTGAGCTTGTGGAACGGGCAGCGCTGCCAGCCGTGGTCTTCAAACTTGCCGCTCAGCGATGAGCCTCCACCCGTTGCCATCTTTACGGCGTCGTGCAAAGACTCCTTTGCAGTCGACTCCTCGTCCGTGCTGGCGGGGCTGTGACTATGGGAGGGCATGTTGCGCACTGGTGGCGGCATACCCTGGCCGGCTGTGGTGGCTGCGGTTGGGGGGCGCAGCAGGGCTGAGAGCGGCGATGGCTGCGCATTGGGCGTCGAGACATGGTTCTGGGTTAGTATGCCCAAGGAACCAAGGAGGTCAAAGTTGAGGTCATCGTTGGAGATGCCAGTCATGGCGCTGTCGTTGACATATTCCATCTCGGCCGATAGGTTGCTATCCGACGGCATGAACGGATTGCCTCTTGAGGGCGACAGTCGGCTGCGCTGCCATTGGGAGACGGATTCGCCGCTCTCGCTCCCGGCGGCACTGAAGGGATAGATGTTCTGCCTGAACCAGTCCAGGCTCATGCCCGCATCTCTCAGCGACCCGCCTGAGAGCTGGTCGGAGAGACTCTCCGATCTGGTAATTGGTGGTGATTCGACATGCCAGCTGCCGATGCCCATGTTAGAAGCAGGAGCGGACGGGTGGTGATGACCCTGAGGTGGTGAAGGCGTTGACATTGCCATGACGTTTCCTGTTGTGCCGCCGTGGGCCACGCCGTTGGCGACCCTCATAGGGTCCAGCTCGGGAGACGTTCCCGTCGAGCGGATGTCCCGACTAGCAATGTTGTCCTCGAGACTTGGGTGCGGTTCGCCGCTCAGATACAGAAACTGGGCGGGGCTTCCGTCTGACGACTGCACCTGTTGTTGTTCCCGCTGCTGGCTCAGTCGGCGGTTGCCATTCTTTTGCGCTGCCTGCTGGTCCTGCTGCCGTTTCTGGTTGTCGGCGGCGAGGGCCGAGACGTACTGGCAGTGTATGTTTCTATGTATGCAGCGGGAGCATGACGGCGTGGCCTGATCACAGCCAAGCTTGGAGGAAGCGCATGCGACGCACGACTTTTGCTTGGACAGCTTCTGCCTACTTGAAGCCTGGATGCAGCGGCGCTGATGCTTGTCTCGGTATTCTTCTGCAATGATGGACGGGGAACGAAACCGCAGCCCCAAACGTCAGTCAACGGCTCTTACGAGGGGATCAGTCAACCCGCCAGCAAGCCTCCGGCAGCCAGAGACAAGCTGAACTCCGGACCAACAGCGGCGGCCCGGAGTTGGAGTTGCGTGCGCCAAAGCATGTGAAACGGCGAGTGACTTACTCTGAGCAAAGTTCTTGGGGCAATTTCCACATCTCCAGGTACCCTGTCGAGAGGCCTCGCGGTCCCGGCGAGAGGTGGTCGTCGTCGTACTGGTGCCAGTGGCAGCGTGGGAGCCGATGGTGACAACGGACGTCTGCATTGTTGAGTGTGCGGGAGCGGGCAGAGAGGAGTCTTGAGAGAACGAGGGGACGCGGACAAAAGAGGAGGACAGACGGAGACGAGCTACAGGACAGGCACTATCTGGAGCACGTCCGAGGCATTGAAGAATGCAGCTTGTCCAGCGATGTCCGAGAGAGAGTGAATGAGTTTGCGAGAGTGAGTGGACAGAAGGATTGGATGGACAAGGTCGGCAAGGTGGACAAAGTGGGCGCGCGTGGGTGGGCAGACCAGGGACGAGTGGTGAGGGAAGAGAACCTTGTATGAAGGATTGGGGGGAGCGAAGCTGGCGACGTAATTTGTCACCCGGCCGGCAGCGAGGCAGGCAAGGCTTAGCACGTTGGGTTAGTGGTCCGGGCCCGTTGGTTAGGTGCCTTTAGTTGGGTACTAGCACCTGGACGGGACCGAGCAGCGCCTGTAGGCCACGTTTTAGTGCGGCGGGCCAGCCAATGCTTATATCGAGGCGATGATTGATCTGCCTCGGGGCGCCATCACGGAAGCTTGGCCAAGCGCGCACCGCCGGCTAGGCCTGGTTGAGTATTTAGCCCGGATACCGACCCAGCAGAATCGCGAGATACTGCACAAGGTGCTAAGCTGGAAGGGTTCCCAATATTCAGGGTAGCCAGTGTGGAAGATGGCGATAGAGGGCTTCGAAATTTTAGAGACTACATGTATGTGAAGAGACATTGATATGGTACTATCTAGGGCAGTAGATAGGTAGATAGGTCGGATGAACATTGAGGAAAGCTTAGTCAACCGGAGCGTGATTGTGATTTCATCCAACCAAGAACAACGTATAATGATTCATACCGGGCATGGGTCATCATCACGATTAGGCAAGGCGGCGAGACCCGGAAGGATTCGGCGGGAGGGCGTGGCGGACATCCTCACGACGGGGCACTCCGAACATGCTAAAGTTCTTACAGTACGGACGGGCTGCGTGCGAATCGCTCCGCGTGTGCCTGTCCGTCTGTCTGGCTGTGCCTGTCACACTGCCCATGTGCTCTCCATGCGATGCCAGCAGCAGCAGCAGCGCCTGTAGTAATCGCAGCAGATGCCCCCCATGCGTCCCAAGTGCAAGTATGGAGTCTATGGAGTCTATGGAGTCTCCAATCTGCTGCAACCATCGACCCCGGGCTCTCAACCGCTATCTGGGCGGGTAAGTCGCCGGCTATTGGAGGGGCTCGCAAACGCTGGCGATCCATTGGGCCCCTAGACATTTGATGAACATAGACTATCTCGCTCCCTATCAGGAAATCAGCTCGAAAATAGCCAGACAAGTGCTAGCAAGACCCATCCAGTCTGTTGCCTGCAGTCATGATCGGACCGTCAAAAAGGATGACCGTCCCTGCCCACGGCTAAAGCCATCGGAATGGCACCTTGCAGGGCACATCAGTGCGGGTTAGGACAGGAGCGAGAGCGACATGCAGGGATTCAAAAGCATATCAGCGTCGCTTACTGGGTCCTACATGGACATGGCTCACTGCTCCGTCAATCCGTGCGTGCAACTCGTAAGGCCAGCCAGCCGAGGGGAGCCACAGCAAGCCTGGACTTGGTGCATCGTGTAGATGGGCCCGCAATCTTCACAAGCCTGATCCATGTCTGTAAGAAAGCATTCCGTCTTCCATGCAGCAATCCAGCCCGAAGCAGGAAACCGGTCTTGTCATCCACCCATTGGCCCAGGAGACAAGACGGAACAGCCTCCGTCGCACACCATCACTCGGTCTTGGTGCTTACGTGCAGGCTCTGCGGCAGGCTTTGCGGCAATCTGTGCGGCTAGTTCCAGTAGAGACTGGAGGCTTCCATCTCGCGAGCCATGGAACGGAGGAACTTGACGCACAACCATCAGCAATCCCGAGGCGGAGCGGATTTAAGCGGACATGGAGTCTCAGGCAAAGAGGATCTCGAGGATCTCTAATTGATCGCTGGCAGAGTGCCATTGCCATGATTGACAGCCACGTGGAAAGGGGGCTCACCTTGGGGCCACCGCCGTTGGGGATTCCGACTCAGACATGTGCTCAGACGGGTTTCTGGAACCGAGGTGTGCAGCCGCCACATGGACGCACGGTGCAGCAGCCCGTTCAACCAACCTGAACCTGTTGAGGATCATATGCAGGCGTCGGTTCTGGGCCAGACCGGGTTGCAGCGATCAGACGACGAGATGTAACGGTTCCGAAATGAAGGGCGGAGGCAGTGGGATAATCCCGCACCGGCTTCGACGAGACTCGATTCGACTCGACTCGAGTCGACTTGATTCGATCGGGTTCACCTCACTGGCTAGGCAACTACTTTGCAACTCCCCGGCAACTACCTATCTCACTTGCGAACCGGGGAGTTGCCACTACACCTGGCAACTATCTTACATGAAACAAGGAATTGAACCTACTAGTATCGTAATTGGCAACCATCTTACATGTGAACCAGGGACTTTCCCTGGTTGCCACTGCCTGGCAACTATCTTACATGAACCGGGGAGTTGAGCAGGGTCAGTCTGCTCTGTCCAACGCCCTCTGCTTCTGCTTCTAGACAGCACGCCTTGGCCACCACACCACAAAGGGATCTGCGCATGCATCGGGGGATACATGGAGGTAAGGTACTTCGTGCCTGGGTCATATCGCACGCAAGGTGAAAGTACCTACCTGGCTCAAGAAGGTGAGTCCCGGATCTAACCTCTGATGCACCTTCATCGGATCTCCATCAGATGTTTGATATCAATCGTCATCTCATTCCTTCGATGCATTTGTAATGTCACAGCCGATTCCCTCGACCAGAGCCGAGCCCGCTGCCAGTTCTAATTCCGCCAGCAACGAAATCATCGGCCCAGCCCTAGCCCGTCCTCCTGTCATCTCGTCAAACTCGTCAGCACGGGCAGAAAGTCACATGCTACGGGCCGCACACCGCTCCCAGAGCCTCAGCAATTGATGAGAAATTGACACGCAATCGCCATGTTTACGAGCGAAAATGCTGAATCCCGCTCTCCAAGATCCCTTCGTCTCGCTCGCCAGGCTCCAACGGCACTTGGTATGTGCTTACGGGATTCCACATCAGCCGGATCTCGCTCCTGCGGGTCCTCGCGTGCGTTTCGCATGGGAGCTATTCTCGTCTACGGCCAGTTGGGCAGGAGGTGAGGCCGACATATGGAATCGTCTGTAAGTATGCCCGAGATGATGGGCTGGGGCTCTCGTAGACGCGATTGCCATTGATTAGTGTCTACAAGGGAGTTTCATCTCCGCTTATGGCAGCGTGGCCTTACCAGGCCAGCAGATTATGCTGCTGATCAAGATGTGCATCATCTTTGTGCTTCGCAAGGTCTTTCGAGATACGCTGCCTCATAACGTGATCACTCAATGCCTTTTTGGATGTAGTTTCACATGAATGTAGACGAATTGGTAGTATACGCCTTTAGGTAAAATGTCAAAGTACATGTGGGTAATGATACATGTCTGGTGCTGGGCTTGGAAATATCATCTGAAGACTCCTCGTTGCTAGATTGTAGAAAATATCAACGCTTGCATGGCTAAGAAATGTCTCTTTTGATGCTAAGCACAAATGACATTCGTTGTAAACGTGGGGCCACGCACGGTTATTCGAAAGCGAGTGCTACATTATGATTCCCGGCAGTTCATATCCAGGGTCTGCTTCTAGTGTCGTGAAATCAAAGAGACAAAGGGGCTGGAAATGACGTATAGAGAAATATAGAATAGGCGAAGGAAGTCAATGATTGTCAACAGCTGGTATATGGAAATGGTTGATAGGAACAAGGGTGAATGTGAAGACACAGTTGTGTGCAGATGAGTACAACCAGCTCACCCAACAACCACCCCCTTTCCAACTCCGCAGACTAACACAGCGTCAATATACCCTTCTCCGCTTCTCAAAGTACTATATGCTTCATCTACGACAATAAAGGCCTAATCAGTTTAGGCTACCTCAGGATTTGACGAGTCATTTCTGACTCTACGTTCCGTAGGTAGGTAGGGTACGTTTCGGCAGCGGCGTTTTTATCCCCAGAATTGATTTTCCCGGAGATCTCTTTTTCACTGCGTGACCAACCTAAAGCCAACAACACCCAATAGGGGGCTTACCAGAAATGGGGGCTTGTAACAATCATCACCAGAAAACGCACCAGAGCACGGTTTCTAAGTGCCGCTGACAACAAGGTTCGAAGGTGATCAATGCCGAGAAGAGCAATTTCGGTAACACAAGCCTTGTTATAGCGACCAAAATACTCATCGAAAGGGAAGCGACTCATGAGATCTAGGGATCTGCACTGTTTCACGGCTAAAAGGTTCCCCAGCCCGTGTGTACTCGTAAGTGTCGTTACCGAGTATGGGAGACTGTTTCCCCCCTTGCGTACATGCGGTGAGAGAAGAGAAAGGCTGCGTTAATCAAGTGGATACGATGACTTGGCTCGATTCTGTGTGACGTCTCTTGTCATTGTTCCATTCCACCGGCCGTTTACACAATCTGATAGGTTTCATTATGTAGACAAATGCACGTACCTATGGCAGACAGGCAAACGAAAACAGAGTTCGAATGAGGCATAATGATCAAGGTAGGTCACTATAACTATCCGTGGCACCTAAGCTGAGGCTATGTGTCTGAATCAATTTGCCCTTGGAGGAGTTGTCTGTAGTTGTCACTGAAAATGTTCTTTCCACGTGCAAAGATCATCCGAGTCGGTCTCCAGAAGTGCCCCGTAACAGAGAATTCGGGCCGTTTTTGCAGGTCGATCTGGGGAAGGCATCATCATATGAGACTTTGACGTGCTTCTGAGTGGCGAGCCCAATGGGGCGTTGTACTATAGAGTTGTCTGATGCTGTTGCTGCTGATTGCTGCCAAGTTCAGCAAAGCGTTCTCTTTGTGCCAAGAAGGTTGCCGAGTCTGGGGTCGCATGAAAATCGGATAGAATGTTATTCTCAAGTGATAAACCGCGGTTTTGAAATCCTAGGGTCATGTTTCCTCTCAGAGTCACATCGCCCTGATATCTTGTCATCAACGTTAAGTCGGCTGATACAGCACTGTGTTTTCGGGCACGAGACTCAACATTCATACATCAAGTTCGTCGGCCAGACGTTCGGATAACCATAGGCCTACGTCGTTGCAACGGTCTTTGAATTGCCTATCCTATCTAACCATATGCATGTAGCGAGCCATCGTGACTCCGTAGGGCCCAGTGTCTGCGAATCTAGATTATATCCACGGTCATGTCTATGGCTCCCACATAATCCCGAGGATTGTAGCCCGTTTTCGATATGATTGAAAGGCTACCGATTCTCTCAAACATTTTATCAACCTGGCGTAAAACAAGCCCTTTCCAGTAGTTGTCTGCCCGATACAGCCACAGGCAGAAGATGTCCAGCTTACCAGGCAGGCCAAGGTTGAAAAGGTAGTCCTCCTCAAAGCTGAATGCATGCTCGTCATAGAGCAAGCCGCCGAAAGCGGACATATTCCAAGTTGGCCTCTGATGGTGGACATCTCCATCAGTCGACCAAGTGAGCAGGCCAGGCGTGACCGTTCCGCTCAGCGTCAGGATTCCAGAATCGACACATCCAAAGGGGTCGCCATTCAAGGAATTGCATTCAACTCCCACTAATTTAGCAAGGACCTGATATGTCCTGCCTGTAGGGCTCTTTGGTGTCGAGTCATTCCCCTTGATCTCAAGACTTGGCCACCAAAGGGAGCCAAAAGCGGACGCCCACGACCAAGACGGTGCCCTCGGATGCGAGGGACGATACCTCTGGGCTTGGCCAGGGGCGATGGACCAGAACAGTGATTCGAGCAGCGTACTCTTCCACATGCCGGCTAAATAACAGTCCTGGGGATTGAGTTGAGCCATCTTCCTGGCGATACTCGAAAGGGCGGGCAGCCTGTCTTTATCATATGTCATCTTGAGGCCACTATACTCCAGCACAAATTGGTTCCAGCCCCAGACGGTAGGACGGCCTTGATGCTGCTCTTGTAGTAGCCGACGTAGAGTAGCTTTCCATGCTAGTGGTTCCCGCTCGGTGCCCTTGCATTGACAGACCGCGTCCCTGTTGCACTCGAACCACAGCTCCGAATTGCAAAAATGAAGCATGCGAGGAGAGAGGACTCGCTCCTGATAGGCCCAGGCCCGATCAAAAAGGGGGAACTCTTTCTTTCTAAGAGTTGAGGTCTCTTGGAGATCGGGGCTGTTAAAATGAGGAAGCGCTTCGCGCACGTAAACCGTGGCAGCTGGGACGTCTTCGAAAGTGTCTCCGCCGTACGTAAATTCTCGTTCGTAGGCTTCGGGGGGCAAGATGCGGTAAAAGCCACCATGGCTGTCTGAAGATGCGGTCGCCGCGAGGGTCAAGTATGCGTTTTCATAGATCGCTGCCATCTGCGGCGCCTCCCTGAGCCAATCCTCTTCGTCCTCTTGTATAATGCAGAGAGCATCAATCCAAAGATATCGTACACCCAGCCTTCGAGTCATATCAATGGCGTCTTGGAAGGTCTTCGGTAGTGACTCTAGCAGTATACCCTTGATTCTAAGCTCAAGGTTGTGACGAGTTGTCTTCCCAGTTGCTGGCAACTGCCCCCAGCAGTGACTCAAGCACATGTATCGACCGGGCTTGCTGTCGGCCAAGTAGAGACTCAATCCTGTTTCCGGTGCCTCAACGTCTAGCACTCTAGTGGGAAGAGAGGGCAGCACGGCCAGATTGTGACACTTGTGTTTTCTGTTGCATTTCTCGATCTGTCCTATAGCCCATTGAAAACTCTGCTGAGACGATGTGTCTCGCGGAAGACGAGGCGATGAACATGTAAGGGGAAGATCATTTCCTTCATCCTTGACTTGCTCTGCGACTAGGAATAGTGTTACCTCCTATCGTAGCGATAGCTCTGCCTCATATTTCACGACTCACTAGGTCTCGCAGGGAATATTTGCAGATCAAAAGCCTTTCTACGACCAAGCCAGTGCAGCCATAATTGTCTGCGGGTAACGTCTCTGGGTAAGAAGGGATTGTATGCCCAGAATATCCTTCGGTGCTCGCGGACCTGCTCATCTGGCTCATAGCTGATGATGATGTCTACCATTAGCTTGCACATCGCACATGATACTGCAGCTTCGACAATATCTTTGTAGTTGGCGTACAGTCTGCTTGTTTCACAGACACTGCATCCTTCGTTGACCGCGTTTCTTGCTGTGGCGGGCTGGAGAAACTAGTAGACAAGGGAATTAGTATATGAGGAAAGAACATGGAGGCAAAAAGTAAGGTCCGCAAAGTCAATATGTGCGTAACTCAATAAAGTGCTGAGAGCTTGATTTACTTGATGTACCGATTCTGCGCTCATTTTCTGTATATCCATACTACTTCAATCGGTCTGCCAGGTGTGGGACGTGTAGGACCTTTCCTCGTGGTAGTGGCACGGCACATATAACTCGGGCACTATAGTACGGTAACTGTAAGGTAGTACAAGAGGCCGAGTACTGCCGAAACACAATAGGCAAACGACGTAGTTGAATCACCTCGTAACAGAGACGGAACAGAGGACAAGAAAGATGGTATGAAGTGCTGCCTGGCTACTGCAGCCTAATCACGTGTACATGCAGCCTTTCATTCACGCGGGGACGTGAGAATGGATACCTAGAAAGGATACTGCTCCCAATAAACAAGCAATACGAAAAAATCTATAAGAGCGCGATTGATACATGATGCTTGTCAGTTTATAGCGAAGGTTGTTTTACAAGTCAGAAGCACACACGTCTATTACATATATGTAGGTTTACCGTTTTGAAGGAGAGCGCTCAGACGCTATGGAGCTTTCCGTTTGGCGTACGTCCCCCTTCCATCTGGTTGACGCCTCGATCTCAGCTGAGTTCAAGACCTTTTGCCTCAATGTCTAATACTTCTGAGCTGAATACTAGTAGTACTACTACTACTACTAGCACTGATGCAGCGTGACATAATACACTGAGATAGATAGACATAGAAGCGGCAGACGCAGACGTAATATGAGACACATTGGCTTGGGACTATATAAGACATACAGCTGCACGTCGCACAGACACTATCCCTCTCCCTGCATATCTCATACGCCAGCTTAACGAACGAGATCATCTATATGAAGCCATAATTACTGACTGATAGTCACGTATGAGCAAATTGAGCTACCATATACGTAATTGATGAAAGCAAGGGTAACTCTCAGCGCTGAAGATAGATATAAAAGGCTTGCAATGGTCGTCACAATAGAGGGTCCATCTTGAACTTTCATCAAATTTTGAAACTCGATTATCTTCCAACACCTTGCTCGTTTCTGGCTGCTTTGTGTACTTCTCAGTAACCATCAGCATCTTCTCCAACCATGTCTGACGTTACATTTCAACGCCGAGCCGAATGGGCTCCCCAAAAGGGGATCATCATGGGCTGGCCAGGCTTGAACGGAGTCCTCGGGGATCATCCAGACAGACTGGTCAAAGCAACCAAAGAGGTCTCAAGCCTCGCCGCCGCCATCGCCCAGTTTGAGCCCGTCACCATGATTGTGGGATCCGAGCGGCTCGAAGAAGCCCAAGCACAGTTCGCCGAGGTTGATACCCCCTTCGATATCAAAGTGCAACCTATCAAAGGAGATAGCATGGATGTGTGGTTGAGAGATTTTGCTCCCGTTTTTGTGATCAAGAACGGCCCCGGTGCCGATCGCAGCCTTGTCGGCCTTGATTATAACTTCAATGGCTGGGGCGGCAGGTATCCCACGGATACTATCGTTGGCTTCGCCAAAACGCTCCTGAAAGACTTTGACCTTGAGCGCATCGGGACCTCTATCGTGACTGAGGGAGGTGCGCTCGAGACCGACGGCGATGGGACTCTCTTAGTAACAGAGAGCTCCATCGTCAATGACAACCGCAATCCCGGCAAGTCTCGCCAGGAGATTGAAGATGAGCTCGTTCGTACTCTCGGCGTTGAAAAGGTCATCTGGATTCCGGGAAGGCCCGGGCTGGACGCGACGGACTGCCACATTGATGCCCTCGCGCGCTTCGTCCGCCCTGGCGTCATCCTTCTCAGCAAGACGAACGAGGTGAAGCCCACCGACTGGACAGTTGTCTATGAGGAGGCATTGGATATTCTCAGCTCCTCAACCGACGCAAAGGGCCGTCCGTTGGAAGTCATTGAGGTGGAGGAGCCTGACGAGGAAGTCTTTGAGGGCGGAGGATTCAACGATCGTCGCGCCGTGCGAAGCTATGTCAACTATCTGCTGGTCAATGGAGGCGTGATCCTGCCTCAGTTTGGTGACCCAGCTCATGATGCTGCAGCTATTCGGACTACGCAGAGGGTCTTTGGAGATGAGCGAAGAATCTGCCCTGTTCTTATTGAGGAGCTGCCCACACAGGGTGGCGGCGTTCACTGCACGACGCAGGAGATTACATTATTCCCCTGAAGAAGACGTCAATTGAGCTAGTCTTACCGTTTCTAAGTTCTCTGTTACTTTTTCAACCTTTCTGAAATGTGTAGTTGTCATGCCTAGCATGTCGCGCTTGACACTCCTCAAATTGAAACCTTGAACTTTGCAAGCGGCGACTGGCCGTTCGAAGCGACAATGTCTTCGCTACTATGGAATGTTCTATGACAATATGCAAGCCTCCGTAGGTGCTTGATAGAGGAGGAAGGTCTGCCATCAATTTGAATCAGGCGAGTAGAAGCATACAACTGAAGCAGATATGCCGTCTTCATCCACTTAAGCATGAGGTCTCATCGGCTGAACCTGTAAAGGTGTAGTCAGCCCATGAGAACCTGAAATTTCTTCCATTTGTTCAAAGCTTTCTTTGCCCTACCCTTACGCCCAAGTAATTTCCCTGATCACGTCTCTGAAGCCGGATGAAAGAGAGAGGGCGAAGTTCTACGTTGAATATTCTCGCTGTGTATCCTGCATAAAGTAGAATAAGTCTCCGCCCGTCAACAATCGGGACTGTGAATTCATTCACTAACCGGATTCGTATGCGCTTCCGTAGCTCAGTTGGTTAGAGCTTCGTACTAATACTCCAGCCTCCAAGCTAAGTGTTGGTAATGCGAAGGTCGCAGGTTCAAGCCCTGCCGGGAGCAAAGCTCACCAGTGCGCAATCGAATCTTTTTTTGTGCTTTCTTCCCATAATTTTTTGTATATATCCAGAGATATTGACTTCTTCTCTCCTCCTTCTTTTGCTTCAACTTAGGCTCCCTCTGGTTCTCGTTTGGCATTGTTCGATAAGCTTTTTTCGCCATATTCTGTTTCCCACAAACGGACTATCAAGCGGCTCACCTGCCTACTGACTGGCTTGACTCCATTCACTTCCATGAACACGGCTTCGTCTTTTGTTTTTGGGTGAGCTTGGACATTTGCCTATCATGACCTGAACATAATCCACAGGCATTGCGAATCTCTTGTTCGTTTCCCTTGATTTTCCTTCTGTGGGATACCTTTCAGGTCGCAAAAACGCCTGACAGATAGCATAGAGATCATCGAGCAAATTTTGCATGTTGACGATTCTGCCATGTTCAGCTTTGTTCACCAATTCAATGATGCTCTTTTCTCAAAATCTGTTCTTAGGCATTGCCAGCAAGCTGCATCACACACAGTTTCGCAAAACAAGGAGGTTTGTGCTGGCTGAACAGCGATATGATCCGAAGCGGACAACGCCACTCGTGTCGTTGTCGCACAATCACACTCCTTTTTGCTGGTTGCCTGTTGCCAACAATTCACTGATTTTGACACCATGTAATTGTGATTCCATGACCCTCGGTTTACTGTTTCCCTAAAAATATCTCTTCTGTTTTGCTCTTGGCCTCTGTGTCAACCGCCAGCCGCATGTTGTGTCACTTGACCACCTCAGCATTCTGAACAACTGAACAGAAGCACGCTGAGGCACACAAAGATGTACCATGGCGGTGAATCGACATCATGTTCAAAGATTCCTGAATAGCAACCAGCGCCATGAGCTTATAAAAGTTGAGATAATCCGCGGCCCTGGGTTTTCGAGAACCGTTCGTGGGAAGCTGAAGAGAGCCTCGGCTGCTTGCATTTGGAGAATAAGAAAAGCAAAACAAGCAGCAGAACAAGAAGCAAAAACAAACAGAAATCAACCGTTCTACAGTCAAACATGGCCAGCAGCGGATCAAGTTCAGTCAGCAAAGAAAAGGAAGCCGAAATGTTCGACCGCCTGTTCGAGCTCGACGGAGAAGACATCAGCTGGGTCAAGAAGCGAATATTCGACCGTCTCGCAGCCTGCAAAGCGCACCTGGGCGAGCGGCCGCCCCAATACAGAAAGGCCCTGCGCGAGGCGGAAGAGGCCTCCGTCATCGCGTTTGCCGAGGGCATGACCAGCGTCGAGTCCAAGATCAACTTCTACATGGCCCACTGCTACAGGGGCCTTGGCATGTGGGAGGAGGCCTACAAGTTCTACATGGCGAGCACGGTCGACTCGCAGGACATTTACTGGCTGCAGGGCCTGCAGAGCTTCAGCAGGCAGAAGATGGAGGGCGAGAGGAGTCCGGAGCTCAGGCGGGTAAGAGGCTCTGGCGACCTGCGCGTGTTTTATAGCGAGAAGAAGAAGCTAAGGTAGCGAAGGGTGCGGTTTCTCCGTGATCGTTGGGAGGGGATTTATGATTGATCTGTGAGTGAAGACGAGACGTTCCCTGTTTCTCGTGGGTTGCTTGGCGTTTTGTGATTGTATCAGCTCGGCTTACACGGCATCATAGGTTGCAACTTTGGAGGTGAGAGACAGTCCTATGAGGGTTGATGAATGGCGCGCTGGTCACAAACCTGTCAAGGCCATAGAATAGGATAGTTTAGATTCCTCCTACAATGCAATGTCTGCAAGGAACAGCATCTTCATCAGGCTAAATGTCAAGTTTGCCGTCAGCTTTCTACTTCCGCGAGATGGACAAGCGGCTTGTCAACGAAATTAGTGTCCTATAGCTGTATGTCAAGGAGAAGGCTTCTCCAGAAACATCTTCAGAGCACTCACTACCACCACGATATATGAAGCCATGTAAAATGTATAACCCTAACCCTCACATCGATGAGATACGACTTGTGACACCTCAGGGTAAGTGAACAATGCAGAGCTGTGCTAATGGCCACCAGTTGCAGAGTTGCAACGGTGTGTAATAACGAGGCTTGTATTACCTAGAGGCGTCTTGCCAAGGCAGTTTGTGGGTTGCGAGCGATGCGATGGAGTTGACATCGGAACGATTCCTTCCGAAACTCCCTATTCGGGTTCATTGCGGGCATAAACAGGCCATGATTAAGGAGCGAGCAAAGTACAACCTTTATTTGATAGAGACGGATGAGAAAAAAATAAGAGATCCCTGATTTCTTGTTGAGGGACGAGCAAAAAGTTGGGTCGCTTGAGCCATCAATGGCGTCTGAGTGAATGAAGCCCCCTGCCAGACTCGAACTGGCAATCTCAAGATACGCTCTGATAGACGCTGGTTTAGTCCAGCACTAATAGAAGTCTTGCGCCTTAACCATTAGGCCAAGGGGGCGCTCTGTTGGCCCACCGGTTAAGAATCTTTACTTATAAGCACAACTGCTTCTACTACTTCATCTGATTCCACTGACAGCACTCGCTTCTGGTGCTTGTCCTCCTGCGAATCCACCGTGATCTTGAACTCCTCACAGACATCATGAGTAGACGGCGGAATGTCCCAACTCACGCGAGAGTCCATTCATCGCCACCTTTGTAGCCGAATTTACTGTCCGATATAGACAACCCGGTTCTATCGAGACACCGTCTTACCTTGGTGGTCTGATTCTTCTGCATGTTCGCCGTGGCGGCAGCCATCTTCGTTCCCGTACCCCGCAAAATAGCGAGAACATTGAAGCCTTCAACAAATATGAACAACAAGTCCAGATGCATGATGAATCCTTTCCCTTTGCAACCTCTGATCTCGATAGCGGGGAAACTGGCCTCATAAAACTCCGCATAATAACTCCGGAGTGCGGAGAGAGTATTGCCGACAGACAAACTGACGATGCCCAAAACTCGAATCAACTCGCACTCCCGCCACACCACCACTGCCTCACACACAACCATCGCAGCCCTGTTTGGTCTTTGCCCCTCGACCGTCTCCTTCCTCCCACCCGATCACTTCTCTCCTCCGGTCGTACAGGGCCGAGAATCCTCATGTAACCCGCAGTGCTTTTGTGGGCGGGCAGCTGATTGGTGAACCCACGCCTGTCAAAAAGGCTCGTCTTCGCTTTTGGCTCTCTGCAGTGTGATCCGGGTTTCTCTGTGCTGCGGGCATTATTCATTGATTTCATGGGCCTCGACTTACATACTCACTCAATCCTGCCCGCGCGAGCTGACTGGCCCGTCATGTGGCTGGCGACATCATCGAGCATTTGCGCTTCCACTTCTGCGCTGTAACCCCCGGGCCATGCTGCAAACTGCTCGAGAGGGCTGTGGACTTTGGGGTTTGCTTTGCTTTGCTTTCGCGGCACCTCGCCCAATTCGAGTGCGCTGCTCCGTATGACATACACGAGTACGAGTACTGATAAGTATGTATCAGGCAGCGGGATGCCCAAACTTGCTCAAAACTGTGTCTGTTTCCGTCAGGCAGCGCATGATGGCGAGTTTAAAAAGTCCGCGGATCCTGGGCAACGGGCTACGGAGTTTGAGTCCGGCAGTGCTATCGTGCCAGCGCCAAAACAGATTGCGTGCTATAATAACACGGAGTTTAGTCATAAGCCCTGGACGATGCCTCACCCTGCTTAAAGATGCGGGCTATCATCCATCTGCCGTGAACTGCGGTCCACGGATCACCGCCACATGCCCATGCTGTGCAGCGTGGACGAAGCAGGCATGTCTTTTCACTGCCTGCCTGTATCGTGAGCAGCGGTAGGGTTACGGACGAATTATCCCGACTGAACTTGGTGAGACGCAATCTCGATTCCGCACTGCCCGGTGCCGACATCTATATATGGCTATCCCATCACGACCAGCTAGCCCTGTTCCTGTCAGATCTGCATCTCGTGCCGACGGGCCACCTCTGCTTGACGCCTTCGAATCATCACCTTGTCCAGCTAATCCGGCCGGCTTGGCTTGGGGGGCCCCTGTACATCATGGCCTGCTGGTCCCACACACGGTCAGCATCGAGCGGCGACGACGAGTTTCAGTTCCTCCGACGAATGATCACTCATCCTACTTCGACTATCTAACGCCCGAGGGCATTACTCGTAGTATTTGAAATGGCACCGGCAGATGTTTTCTCCTTGGGCCGAGTCATGACAATGCTGAGCCAGACTGCCAGAGTCTTAGAATGAACATGAAATCAGACACACCCTCCGAGGTTTGTAGAGAACCATTGTATTATCGGCGCCTTATGTCTGTTACAGCCGACACACACACCCCCAAGCTGCTTAAAGGCCGACAAGGGGACTTTGATGTCCCGCAAACTCCTTCCGTAGGCTAAAATCGCTGCCCAGCTGCGGTACTTGCAGTTCTCGTGTGCAGATTTCCCGGCAGAGTCAAGATGACAGCGCCACTAAAAACTTGGCTTGGACAAGGCACACCCACTCTTCACTCACCTCGACTCACTACCTTAATTCACTTTGCCGGCCCCGAGGCTAAATTCACGGTCAACGTCGTCCCGGTATATTTTCCCTGGCTGAATCGGAGCTGGCTCAGCCCACCAAGGACGAAAACGAACGCCCGCGATGCCGTATCGAGGATGAGTTTACAGGAAAGAAGAGGTGCTGTGATTTTTTGTTTCCTCTTGAAAATTTGACAGATTGCAGACGATGAGGAAACAAATTGTCCCCCATAAGCAGTGAGACTAGCATGATAATGGGACTATTTGCCTGCCTCTTTGGGATAGAGCCACGGCCAAATTTAATGCGACGTCGAAAAAAAAACCTTTTACTCTCCTTCTCTTTATCTCGGGGCCATACACATGAACCTTGTCATTATCCTCGCTAGAGGCAGAAAGAAAGCTGGGTGTACCTTACTGAATGGGGAGAATCAGGGTTGCCGTCTCGTGTCTCAACATGCTGCCCCGTTACTACGTCTGGAGGGTATCCTGGTGCACACATACATGTATTTCTGCTCATCAACGGGCCTATTCTGGCCCATCGTGTACAGTATGAGTCGGCCCGTCCCCGGAGGCTCAACACAAAGTACGAGGTGCTCAACAGATCCTCAGGGCAGAAGATGGTTTAGCTGGGAACGTATCCCCCGCATTCTGGTCCTCGTGGGAAGATCAAAGTTGCATGCATGGCTTGTCAAGTTTGTCCTCTTTTTGCCTTCATCCATGATGCCCATACAGTTCCTGGGGACGGAAACATCAGAGATTAGTGCTACAGCAACGGAAGGTGTAAGCAGGGGGGGCGTTTCGCAGAGTAGCATGCCGACTCGCAGGGCAGGCCGTCTCACAAGTCATGTCATGGGTGATACGCCGTATCACGGCGCGAGCTCCTACCCGTTCCAGCAATGGTGACATTTGTGCCGCCAAAGTTCCAAAGCCTTCGAAACGTACGAAAGCATACTTTCACACACAAAGAGACACCCAGAGAGAGAAAACAATCCCTGTGACTTCATAGGGCATGATGGTAGGGGAGGGTGGGAGAGAAATTAAACTCTGCAGTCAGAGTTGGGCCAACAGTTGCATCGTGGATGCCGAGCCAAGAAGGGCTAACGACGAAGGGGGAGGGAGGGATTTTCTTCATATCGACATGATCATGGCATCATGGTCCTTCCGGGGTGGAGGGGGCAGGAGGAGAGCTGCAGTATCAAGACTTTGGTCGAGTCTACTGCGAAGCATGAAAGTGCTAGCAGATAGGCTCGATAGTGCTGGTTCTTGGAGTGCCTGGCCACACCCCTAGGAGCCGAAAGAGATCAGCGTGCTGCACCCCTGCCCTCCTTCGGCGATGTGGGCTCTTTGCTCTCGACTTACATGGATTGGGCCAGGCCCTTTGGCTCATGTATGCTGTGTCAAGGGCCGAATCTGCCATCGGGCGCCTGGAGTGGGTGGTTGCAAAGGATGGGGGAGTTAATTGTGAGAACACGAGGTGCTGGGCGAACAAACATAAAGGCAGATGTCCTGGATGTCGTGGGTAGCCTCTCGACCCTTGGCTCAAGGAACTGTGCTCTCCGCTCGTTTTCGTCTTGTGAGGGTTCTTGCTTGACATCAAATCGCATAGTAGGCAGGCTATCCCGGTGTTGAGGTCTGCATCTGAGACCTCAAAAGTGTGGAATCGTATCCGTACTCTCACCGGCCTTCTTCCCCGTCCGAGGCCTCCCTCTCGTCGGAGGCTTATCATCTCCGGCAAACAGCAAATCGGCCAACGAGATAGTCGAAAACAGCCAACGAGATAGTCTCTGACCTGGCAGCAGATCTTCACTCTGTGAGACAAGGTAAGCCTCATCCTCAAACAGAAGTCTTTTCACTTACATACAGATGGACCTATTCGCCCGCGCCGTCGGGGCCGGGGTAACACATGTCTGACAGGCATCATCAAGCAGGAACCACCGCCAACAGAGCATCCAGTCGGCCTTCACCTTCCCTAATCTGAAACCCCAAGTCAGATAACCTTGAGCCCCAAAAAAGATTCGCAATCTCTGCCCAGCATTGCACTGAGCCCGTGGCCAGAGCTGCGGTTTGCCTGCCCCTCCCCTGTTGTTACAAGGGGGCAAGCATTTGATATCAGCAGAGATAGCGGGACTAAGCTGCCGCACGGGTCAAGCCGAAGATAATCTCAGCACCCACTTCGGGAGGTAAATATAGAATCTCGGAATCTTCGAAAAAGCGACGCTGTATGTAATCAGCATGGGCATTACGTGGTTGCCGGGGCTTGGAGTTTCTGTTCTTGACTGGTCGCTGACGGGTAGATAGTCGCCGTCGAAGGACATATACATCCCCCTTGGTGCTCGGCACAAGTTGTCATACTCACCTGCTCTCTACTCTCTTTCACAGCAAGCCTCAGCCTCAGGCTTGACACGAATCACGACTTCATTTTTCTCTTCATCATCTTCATCTTTCCCTTCTGTTTGCCGGTACTCACAATCACTGCTCGATCTGGTGATTAAAGACCCAAGCCTCGACCCTCGTTTGGGCAACAGCCGCCTGCTTCGACGTGGACGTTCTCTCCTATACCGAACCGTTTTGCATCACAGTTGCCCAACATGACGAGCAGCAGCGCTTTCGAGCACCGCGAGGCGCTCAACCACCGACAGATGTACGCATTCATCGGATCCATGGTTGGGCTCGCGGCCATCTTCATCTTCTTCCATCTGGGACGACGTATTGCGCAGAAGACGAACGCGGGAAAGAAGGGAGTTTCAGCCTTGGCCGCCTTATCTCGGTAAGAACAGACATCACCCAAGTACAAACGAAGCCTGGTGGCGATATATCAAACGGTTAGCAGAAGCCTGAGTGATGAAGAAGCTAAGACAAAGGGATAGGAAACCGCGAAATGTTCTTCTTCGCACAGCACCCGGGCTGCCTTCTCGGGGACATGCATTTCTCGTCTTCTTGTACTTCGCCATCAACATCATCATTACCTTTACGGACATTGACAACTCCGTCATGAAGATGAACTCCAACTTGGCCGCACGTGCAGCATGGTAGGTGCCTGGATCGGATTCCGCAAAGGGGCAGCCAAGTCGCGCCCTCTATCGTCTCAGAAAGCTGACGGGTTGTAATAGGATGGCCATTGCGAATCTTGTCGTTCTCATCTTCCTGGCCCTGAAGAACACTCCCCTGGCGTTCCTCACGGCGTGGTCGTACGAGCGCCTCAACATCCTGCATCAAATCGCCGGCTCCATGTGCATCATCTTCGTCATCATCCACGCCTCCTGCTACTCCTCCTACTTTGAGCAGGCCGGTCGGGGCGCGATCCTCCGAGAGGAGAGCGTCATTTATGGCGAGATTGCCGGCGTGTCCTTCTTCGTCGTCGGGTTCGCGGGAGCGGTGATCCGCCGCTGGTGGTACGAGCTCTTCTACTACGTCCACGTCAGCTTCTGGATCCTCGCCATCGTCATGGTCGGCCTCCACCAGCCCAACTTTGGCGAGAAGATTGTCTACGTGACGATTGTGACGGCCGGCATCTGGGTGCTCGACCGCCTCATCCGCATGGCCCGCCTGCTGGTATACAGCACCAACAACACTGCCGTCCTCACCCCTCTCCCCAACGGTGGCACTCGCGTGACCCTTAAGAAGGCTCCCCTGGGCGCTGTGTCGGGACAGCATTGCTTCCTCTGGATCCCCTCGATTCGGATGTCCGAGACTCACCCTTTTACCATTGCGTCCATGGATCCCCTGGAGCTCGTCGTAAACTCCCACGATGGCTTCACGCGGGACTTGCACCGGTATGCCGTGCAGCACCCCGGCGCGACGGTCAAGGCCTCGGTGGAGGGCGCCTATGGTACCCTGCCCAACGCTTCCGAATATGAGAGAGTCGTCCTGGTCGCGGGTGGAAGCGGCTCGACGTTTACCTTTGGCATGGCGCTCAACATGCTCAAGAACCCGGCCGCCGCGCAACTGACCAAGAAGATTACCTTTGTCTGGATGGTCAAGTATGAGAGTAAGTGCCCCGGCATCCCCTCAAAACTGTGGCGTATGCTAACGAAGAGGCAATAGGTCACCTGAGCTGGTTCGCCTCTCATCTCGACACCCTTGCAAAGGACGACCGCGTCGAGCTCCAGCTGTACGTTACTCGAACTTCGGAAAAGAAGGCGGACGACGAGACAGGTCTCGAGTCGGCTCCCGCCACGCCACCCTCCGAACGCGACGTCGAGAAGGCAGAGCCCGCTGTGAGGGCCGAGCCACTCATGTCATCTTCATCCGAATCCTCCCTGCCCTCAACATCATCGTCCTCATCATCAGTCCCCAAGTCAATCAGAGACGAAACCGATTCGACGCAAAACACCGCTCCTGTCGACACACAGCCGCATGCCTACAGCAACTTCATCCGACGCGGCAGGCCAGAAATGCCCGCCTTGATCCGAACCATTATCGAAGAGACGCCGGCGGAGGAGCGCGTACTAGTGCTGGGCTGCGGGCCGGACGGTCTGATGGCGCAGGTTCGCAACACGACGGCGGCGTGTATCCGGTCCGACGGGCCGGGAGTCGAGCTGCACTGCGAGCAGTTTGGCTGGTGATGTCGGGATGTCGACTTTTCGTGCTCTTGTTTCCTTATCTTTGGCCTCTTTTTTCCTTGTCATATTTTGCGCCCCTAGAAAAGTGTGTTTCCTTGTCATGTTTGTCTGCAGCCTCTGTTTTCACGTCCGACATGGCTTCCTGGAGTTGGGTCATCTCTTTGCATCTCCGGTGAGATGGTATACCATGTATTTTCCTGTTGTCCCTTTCTTTTGTCGTTTCGGAGGAAATGAGTCATGCTTTGAAGATACGGCTCTTGTATATATATCTGGTTTCCTGGTTTCGCTCGGCGGAACATGTACATATGATGATATAAAGTGCGTCCTGTTTCAGTTAATAGCATGAGACATGCAAGGTGTTCCTATCAAAGAGTGAAGTTGTAAGAGGGGAGCGAAGAAGGGGCCGAAAGGGGAGACCGGAAACATCACGAGAACAAAAAGCGAGCCACGACAACCCCTACATATATCAACACACAAATCAAGGACAAATCAACCCCAACCCCGGATTTCCGGAATCATCCATAACCCCGGATTTCCGAGAATCAAAACTGCTATAACCCCGGATTTTCTTCCGGCCAGCAGAGCGCGGAAAAGGAGGACGAGACCTTGGCGGAGCGGGACTTGTGACTTACAAAACTGCAATCTCTCCAATACTGCCACCTCCCGAGGTTGCGATGGGAGATTATAAATGCTGACGAAGTGTGTTGAAGCGCCTTGGAGAATAGCCCACCCTCTTTCTCAGGCTGCCTTATTAGGAGGGCTGTCGGTCCCTTGGTGGGTAATGCGGCGGTAAAAGTAGTTATGTGACTTGGGAAAGATTGGGAGTGCTTGTTCATAAACGAGCTGGAAACGAGAGCCAAGTAGGAAGGTGAAGCGCAAATGTCTCGCATGATTCGGATCGATGTTTCCTTCTAGAAAGAACATGTGTGGTGCGCTTGTGGTGCGATTTGCGAAACTGCGGGGTGCAGCTGATGGGAATGACCTATAGGTGCACGTTAGTTTGTCTGTTCTCCTTATTCAATAGAAGCACCCGATTTCCTTTCTTCCGCTTACCTAGGTATTTACATACATACACGCTCTCATGTCTTGGCAAAGCAGGTAATCGCAACGCCGAATACGCGGATTAGAGTGATACAATACTTCGTACAGCAAAGGAGGAGTACCGATACTTTTCATCTCATCTCGGTTTTTGGCTCCCCCGTTTCCCTCAGCCTTCGCTTACGCGGGCCGGACCGCCCAGATGTGGAGAACAAACTCACTCGCCTTCTTATCTATCATTTCCCCACGTCTGTTGTTCACGCTTATCAGCTCAAGCCTCATCACAACTTCACATCCAATCTCCAATCTCCAACCCTTCCACTCCCATCCCTTCAGCAAATCGCCCCATAAACCACCACAACCTCATCCCCCACTCATCTACACAAACCCTAAATAACTTTCATCATCGGCAGAAGTTAAAAAGATGCCACCAAAATTGCGCATTCACCCCCCTCTCCTCAACACCGCCTCCCCATGGGCCACGTCCCGCACGCACCTCGCCGCCCTCCTCCGCTGCCCCTCCCTCGGCGCCGTGACCACCCGGACGAGTCTCCTCGCCGGCTTCCCGCATGATCCCCTGCGGCACCGGTACGCCTTTTTCGATCCCGCTACCGGAGAAGCTGTGCACGGAAGCGTCAATGACGGTGGTGGTACAAAGTCGGGTGCCAACACTTTCTCCGGGCCGCCTGAAGATTCACTCGTCAACGACATCTTCCTCAAGGACCTCGACAACGACAAAATGCCCCTCGCATCGCTCAACACGCTGGGCTACAGCCCCCTCCCCCTATCAGAATATCTCTCCATCATATCCTCTCTCACATCCTCCTCACAGTCCCCACCATCAACCCCCAAAACAATAATAATCAGCATCACCGGCTCCCCAGAGGAAATTTCATCCTCCATCGCACTCATCTCTTCATTCTCTCGCTCATCATCCTCGTCATCATCGTCTTCCTTCCCCTTGGCCATCGAAATCAACCTCTCATGCCCCAACATCCCCCACCTGCCCCCTCCAGCATACTCACCCGCCTCGCTAGCGACATACCTCGCCGCTCTGCCCAGTCCCGACTCAGACAGTCAAATCCCCATTGGCATCAAAATCCCGCCTTATACCCACGCAGGCCAATTCGACGACTTTGTATCTGCCCTCCTCGGCTCTCACTCCCCATCATCACCAGCAGCACCTTCACCTTCAGATCCAGTCCCAGCATCGAAATTAAGCTTCATAACGGCAACAAACACCCTCGGCTCATCCCTCCTCCTCGACTTTTCCTTCTCTTCTCCCGAGCCGCCCCTCCCAGACTCAGGCATAGGCGGCATGGCCGGCCCGCCTCTCCACCCCCTCGCGCTAGGCAACGTCTCCATCCTGCGCCGCAGGTTTGATGCCGATCCGCGACTGGCACATCTCGACATCATTGGCGTTGGGGGCGTTTACGACAGTCAGGGATATCAGCGAATGCGCAGTGTGGGAGCCATGGCCGTGGGCATCGCGACGGCGTTGGGGAGACAGGGCGTGGGCGTCTTTACATCTATCGAGAAGGACATTCAATCAGCTTGGTAGATATCATCTTTTCCAAATGGAACACATGTCAAATGTCTACATTAGTGTGAGAGAGCACTCGTTAACACAACTGTCCATGCCAAGTAGATTGATACAAGCGTATCTGCGCCATCTACCATCTATAATACGCCGGCTCGTGTAAAACTGTATATAGTTCCTTTTATATAACCTTCCCGTCTGTATCCCACAGACAATATCCAGAACCAGCCACCTTTTGAGATAGGGGTATAATCCTTAACCATTCATGCCATCAACAACACCAAACTCCGGCCAAATACGCAAAGTCGTGGCCTCGTCATATATACGACCAGAAAGCGATATATCCAGGAATCAACCTGACCAAAGGGAAACAAGAAAGATTATAAGCATATAAAAAGTTACGTTTCGAGGCTGCCTTCGCTATGCTCGACCTCGAGTGTAGGCGAAGATTTGCGACGAGACCCATTGAGCTTTGCGCTCAGTCCTTTGGAAACGACTCCCAAGAAAGTGCGGGGAGGCTTTTCCGCAACCGCAGGCCCCCTGAAGAAATCGGTCGTAATGGTGGCCGGATCAGCAGCCGGATCAGCAGCCGGATCAGCACGAGGCTCTCCGTCGGCAAGCACCCCTTCAGCAACCACTTCGTCATTGGGACGCTCTCCTTGGTTTCGTGGCGCGCGGCGTGGTGGACGCGGATCCACCATCAGCCGGGCATCCTTGACGTGCGTGAGGAAGAGGGGCAGGGCCATCATGACCACCTGCATCGCCACGATGAGAATATACGCCGTTTGTACGGTGCCTCCATGGATGATGATGCCGTACATGACAAAGGGAAAGAAGGCAGGACCAGAGGCGCCCATGGTGATGAAAGCGGCTGCGCGCTTCGTTCTTCTGCCCTGGCCGCGCATGCCTATGGCGAAGATGAGAGGCCAAATGGGCCCTTCGGCAAAGAAAAACAGACAAGCGGGAATGAATATCAGATTCGCATTAGAAGGCCGTATGACAACGCAAAGAAGAGCGGATAAAAAACAGAGAAAGCTACAGAAGCTGAGGACGGTTCGTGGCTGAGGCAGCCGAGGGTTCTTGACCGCCGAATAGGTGAGATAGGCGGCGGCAAATCGGGAGACAGCAAAAGCCGTGTGTCCAACCGTCAGATAATCGGATAGAGAGAGAGCCAGTTCTGGAGGTTGGTCCGGATCCGCCGCTCCGAGTCCGGATAGCCCAGTAACGGCGGCACCGCTGGCCGCCCCCACGCCGGACTCGGGCTGTGACGGCAGCATGGAAAGGAGAAGACTATTGAAAAACGTGCTGTTGCTCTCTTGGCCAGCCACGTACAAGTATTGGGCCATGACGGCGAGGATGAGACTGACGGTTCGCAACTGCAGACCGCCAATGCTCTTCTTGGTTGGGTCAACCGGCAGCCGCTTCGTCGACTCCTCCAGCTCGCTGTCACTAACCTCAGGAAGCGGCATATAATAGAAGAAGAGAGCGAGGACGACACAGAGCAGCGTGATGCCGAGATATGTCCACTGGACATTGATCAGCGTAGTGCTGCTACCTCTGTCATCAGGATCGGCGTGGCTCAGCGACGTGAAGAAGACCTTTTGCGCCAAGAGGCCGCTGAGTACGCTGCCAACACCCTGCACGGCTTGTGCCAGCATGAGGCGAGTCTCGCCGTACTCCTGTGGCCCGCAGAGCACCATGAAGGAGTTTGCAGCGACCTCGAGGACCGAAAGGCCGAAGCCGACAACGAAGTTGCTGAGCATGAAGCCGCCAAAGGAGTTAGTGACGGCAGAGGGCCAGAAGATGATGGTCCCCGTGCCATAAATGCATAAGCCGGTAATGAATGTCGCCTTGTAGCCCCCAATATTTTCGTCGTTTTGCCGATGACGCTTGGATCGGCTGTGCTCGTCTCGTCGCAGAATCCATTCGCCGACCAGAAGGGGACCAAAGAAGTAGCCGCCGCCAAAGTAAGCGCTCGTCAGGCCAATTGTTTGAGCCGTGCTCATATTGTCCACCGCAGCAATCGCATTGTTGAGCGTGTTCAGCAGTCCGTACGAAATTCCCCACAGAAAGAAGAGAATGGCCACAATGGTGCAGTATTTCCACGACTCCCTGCTGTTGGCTCGAAGCATGCTCTTGGGCTTGGTCATGTTGACGAAGCCAAAATAGACGCCGTTTTCGTAGGAATGGTCCGTCGAGATTGTGTTGGTGGTGCGGGAGCGATTCGCAGAGTGGGTAAGGGGTAGGGACGTCATATCGGGAGTGGTGAGGAACTCCATGGCGCTCATGGGCGCATCCGGGCCGGGGCTGACGTGTTGTCGACCACTGCCAAGGGCACCATGGGCGACAGGCTCCGGTTTCATGACCCCCGAGTTGTTGATATTGTTACCCACCGACCGGTTGGCCGAGCCTCGCCGGGTCTGGCTCTTCTCGCTCGTGGTGCCGGGGCTGGGCCTGTTGCCATTGTTGTTCTTGGGATTGTAGAGCATAGAAGGCAGGAGGCGAAGGACCAGAGGCTTCAAGGTGGGAATGCAGGCGCAGGTGGTGCCGACATTGACCTCGACGGCGCTCCACATCAGCGCCAGCGATGCGTTGTAGGCAAAGTCAGCTTGGCCACCGAACCTCGAGCTCGGGTCGGTGGTGATTCCAGTGGGGACGTCGGTGATGGCCTGCTGGAGGTAATAGACTCGGACGACATCCACGACGGCAACGAAAACACCCAGAGTGAACGTAACGACAAGAATCGTCTTTTGCCGCGAGGGTAGCCGCATGCCGGTCAAGACGGGTATCGGCACCGCAAGAATCGCAAGGTCCGTAACGATGTTGACAGGAGCGGCGCAGATGAACTCGGTCAGCAGGGGGATGCATTTCGTCGAACCTGTATAATTCGCATTCCAAGCAGCTTGTACAGGCGTGCACTGGAAGATGTTCATGAAGGTGAGGACGATCCCTGCAACGTTGACAATGATAAGGATCAGCCATGAAGCGAAGCGCAAGAGCACTTGGGTGTTTCTAGCTAAGCGCAAGTAGAAGATGAGGATGCTCGTTTTCGTTGCCATCAAGGCTGGATTCTGGGTATGCTCGTCAGCTCGGAGTCGCCATTGGCAAAAGGGGACACAAACTTACATAGAGGATAGAGAAGACATACTCGCAATGGCGAAGAGTCTCGATTTGTGATGAGGGAATGTCGACGTCGTGCTTGCCGAGTCCGTTGGCAACGCCCAAGCAGATGGTGAAGGACAAGAAGAAGGAGATGAGCCATGCGAAGAGGATAGTCCGGTCGTCCCATGTGAATCTTTTGACAATGAAATAGCGAGAAATCATGCGCGCAAAAACGAAAACCGAGGCGAGGACCAGAGTAGCTATCGTGACGGCCAAGACGGCAGGTCCTCGATTTGCAATGGAGCCACCCGGTTCCACATCCGAATCTGATTCCATGGCGGTGGCTTTGACAACAAGCCCATTGAGCAATGGTAGGATGGGCGAGAGGGAGAGCAGAGGTTGGCCGGAATCCAAGTCGGAGTCCGGTTGAGAGACGGATAGAGGCGAGAAAAGAAGCCTCCCAGGCGCACCAAGCAGCTGAGAGGTTAATACTTGTAAGGGTCGAAGACGGAGAAGTCTCCGGCAGACCCAGGAAAAGGAGAGCGAGATTTGTCGAGCTAGGTATCCGTCCCTGATGCGGAGTCTTCCATTGTCTCGCGCCCCAGGGGTTAGATTTGATCTAGATCTCGGCTGCCGTCTGGGTTGAAGATGCGCTCCAGCAGGACGGCACGAAGCAGGGAGAGGTCGGACTTGGGCTGGGCGGGTGCTACCTTGTGCCTGGACCAGCTATACTTGTAAGAGGGAAGCGAGCAGCACGCAGTCGACAGGTGATATGCAGGATCGCTGCCGGCCCAGCGTCTTGGACTAGATGCTTGCACTAGCACCGAGGCCAGAGGCTGAGCGGTGCGGCAGCCCGGGAGCCGCGAGAGGATATACGCGAGAAGCCTTCGGCCAGGGCCGTGACCAGGCCAGTCAACGTCCGGTCTTGGCCTGTCCAGTGCAGCAGCTTGACCGCAGCGCAAGGCTGCTGACGCCGGTGCTGGTAAGGAGAATAATTATAGCGCAGGCAGTGAGATGTGATACATGGATGTTCGGTGCTGCTTGGTCAGACTCAGGCCCGGGTCGAGGGCAATTCCGGCAGAGGCACAGCCAGGGCTTTCTCTCTCTCTTTCAGCTCTGTCAGGAGCTCGTCAGCGACTCGGTGAGGAGTTGGAAGAGGAGAGTAAAGACGGAGCAGCCCGATGGTTTGGTGTTGAGGTCCGGGAGAAGAGAGCAGAACTTGGAAAGAGTTTCGCTGACCAGGAAAAGCCGCGGTCTACGAGCAGAGCAAGAGCAACGGAGGCCGGAGCTGCGGTACCTGCCTGCACTTGCACTGCACCTGCACAGGCCGACCCGATGCTTGGGGGCAGGTGGCGGACTTGCGCCTGCCCGCGAGTCTGCGCCTGCGCGTGCAGCTGCCACTCGATACCTGCAGGGTACTTCAAGGTACGGAGGGGCTGGCACCGCTTGAGGGGGTCTTCAGCGCAAAGTACCGGTACCGAGGCCCGGCTAGCGGCTGGCGAGTACGCGGAGGGCACCCGGGCTGCTGCGACGTCGGGCAGCGCTTAAATGTACATTCAAGGTACCGACCCCAGGCCGTTTTGGCGAGGGCGGCAGGGTCCCTTTTGCAGCAGGTCGTACCGGGCAGGTCTCTCCATGCATTTGCAGCTGCAGCGGTTGGGCATTTGCGGTGTCGATGTTGTCCATCTCAAGGCGCGGGTGGATGTGAGTGAGTGTATGAGATGACATGGTGTACAGACAGTATTACAGTGCTCTCAGCTGGCTGGTCTGGCCCAGTCTGTTATTGGAAATGCCATCAAGTCACATCCAGTTTAAGACACCGAGGCCTTATGACGCGACGATGCTAACACAAGCACCTGCATACTAGCACAGCACAGTACAAGCATGACCGCAGCCAGCCTGAACTGCTACCCCATATTCTCAGCACGGGCAAGGGGGCGGGTGAGCATCCAGACGCTCAGTGGCATGTAAAAGTGTGCGCACCCTGCAGGACCGAAGAATAAGCAGTGAACAATCAAAAACCACCAAATGCAAAGCAGCCTCCTAACCACTGGGTGTGAGTGCGTGAGTGTGTTTCAACAAGACCATGGACACCAAGCATCTCCCAAGAACATGAAGCTTCACTCCGCCAGTTCGACCACTGCTGCCACTCTATCATGCGGCAGACATAGGGCAAAAGGGCGGCGTGGCAGCGAAAAGAGGGGCTGTCGAGGAATAAAGAAAGGAACCTGGCCGTGATGGCGGTATGACGGCGGATCACCCCTGTGAAGCGCATCCAGACGCCGGGTTTCGTTGATCCTGAAGCCATCGTGAGGGCGTATCAGGAGCTTCTCTGGCCTTGCCGGCAAAAGGTTGCGAGGATGGGGGTCTGCCGGGATATGATGGGAGGGTACGTGGGCTCTTTGAGCCAGCCAACGGGAACAGTGAGATTGATGAAGCTGAGCACAGCAGGCACATGACAGCTTCTGTGAAAGACGCGAGAGAGAGAGCGTGTGTGTGTGTGAAAAGATGGGCGGATGGACGCTTGCGCCGACTGGCGGGATCCAGGCCCCGTCGAATCGAATCGAGGGCTGCGAACACATCGAATCACAGACGATGGTGGGCATTCGATCGTTGCTGCCGCAAGGGCATAGGCACGCACGCATCATGCACTTCATTGGTGTTTTTCATCGCTTTCGGCGAGTGTGTATGTGTATGCTAAACAAAAGAGCGGTATTAGGCGCCTCGCTCGACCTGGGCTATGCAGCATTGACTCGCTCGTCATTGTGTCCTCATGCCTCCACGATGCAACTAGCAGTGGTTTGGAGTAGCCCATAGGTACCAGACATGCAGAATTACTCAAGAATTGAGTTGGTAGGCGCGCAAAGCGAGCAAATGAGAAGAACCGTTAACAAAGCCAAAGGGCCGAGAATAGAGCCATCAGGCGCCAACCAGTAGGTGTCATGACGCCGGCTACAGAAAGAGGAGGCAGAACCGACGGCTGAATGTGGCGGCGACGTGCTGTTGGTGATGCTGAGGCTCTAGGTGTTTAGTACGGTCTAGGCAATTGTGCCTGATTTCGTGGAGGCCAAGGCATCTACGTTGAATTGCATACTTGAGACCAGCTATGAAATGCCAGATAAAGCTTTGACACCATGAACTGCTGTAAGGAGTAGCGTGAAGCTGAGCAAATCAAGAATGCCATTACAGCAGTACTCGGTCAGTTAATGCCAAAGTGAAGCCCTCGAGCATCCTCATCTGCCCAAGAGCATGTACATACGTGCGTACCTGTACCTGCCCGTCAACCGCATGTCGGTACGCCACTGGCCAGCCATGCACGGGGCTCGTCCCGCGCTCTCAGACCCCCAGGCGGCAGTGGGGACATGTACCTGTACCTTGACCGTTGAAGGTTAAACGGGAAGCGGACCGACTCGAAGACATCAAGTTGTCAGCTCAAACGGTGCGAGGAGGATGGCACCAGTACATGATGTTCTGGTTTACATACTGTAATTCATTCAGCCGGCAGTGAAGGGCGGCTGTTGCGTGATGGGCGGACGAGGCAAAAGGGCGACGAGTTGGGCATGAAGTTGATGTCAATACTTCGACTTACAACGGACACCCAACATACATGTGCCTTACGCAATTCTACACCGTATTTATCTCGAATCACGCAGATACATACATACATGGAAAACGCCCGAGGAAGAGGGAAAAAAGCACAGGGATTTCAAAAGCTGGCATCAACCCCGGCACCTCGGCGGTGAGTTTTGCGCAGAAGAGAGCTGCATGCCCGCCACTCTGTGCCCCGCGCTCGTACATTGTAGATGCATGGACCTTGCCTTGCCTTGCCCACCTTGCCCACATACCGTAGTCTACCTCTGTACAAATTGGTATGTAAGGTATGTACGAGTACAACTGCTGATTGAGATGCGGTTCGGGAATCTTGACGCAATGTGTTGCCGGATTATCGGTTTTATTGCAGCTGCTGGTCTTGACCGATCTTTACGGACGCTAGACGTCGCCTTGTTTCTGAAGCAAATCCTCGAACAATTGCCCTTTTTTTTTCATGAAGAGCACCGACACTGTCTCTAGTACTTTACGGACAGATTATGGGCGTTACACTGTCCAAGTGCCATCATAGGTTTATATCGAAAATAGAAAAGGCCATCCAGCAATCCGTCTAGCATCGCCAGCGTCCTATAGATCCGCCTCTGGGTCGAGATGGCGCAACCCGGAGCGACGGCCGCTCCTCCCACGACCCACCACCACGTCAATTCTTCAACACCACTTTTTCGTCTCAATCCCACTTTCTTCACCTCCTGTTCGTGTATGTAGGTACTCGTGCTCACACGTTGCATGTGAACTGCTGCGTTGTAAACAAAAGTGACCAATATGCAAGTGACAGCCTAAACGCAACCGTCTACTAGTACTTCCTTGCAATCGACGCTGTACGATGTGCGTATGCGCGTCGTGTCCGTTTGTATCAATTGCTTCCAAGGTAAAACGGCATCTCGCTTGAAGTTCTGGTTGCTTGTGATGCGTACGAGTATGTACTTGTACCCGTACATGCGATGTGAGATGCTGCCCCATCTGCGAACAGCGAGTTTTCGCTCACACCACACTCGCAGACAAGATGCACACAACAACCCACGCAACCAACAGCGGCAAAGTCTTGGAGGAAAAACGGTCAGACATGCCTCACCCGCCTCATACATATGTACCTTGTCTGTCACTTTTTTTTCCGTCTCTTGTCGGGTTTTACATTTCACTTTGATAGGTCATATGATACAAGCATAGTTATACAGATAGACCATAAGATCGTATACAACTAACTACACAGTATTCCTCTATACGATCATGATTCAACTTGAACAACTCGCAATTCAAACAACTTCGCCCTCCTCTTTCCCCCTCCCGCGGCTTAAGCTGCCGCTGCCCCGCTTGCATCACCGACTTCAAACATGTCGCTGGCCGGATCTTCAGCCCGGATGGAGCAGCAGCTTGCAGATTTGCTTTCGGCCACGTCCAACGTACTACAGGTCTGTAATGACTTCAGAGCCTGCCAGGGTGCTACAAAGTATCATTCGAGTACCTCTCTTGTACAACCATCAACATCAATTACATTATGTATTGGCCATCCGTCTAATTCATGGTGTTCTGTCACTGTACGAAAATACGAAGCACTGGAACAGGTACCTTACGGCACGTCCAACCCGATCCAACCTCCCCCCCACGATGCCTTCACCAACCCTTGGCCCTCAGCCTTCATTCAACTCAGCCGACAACTTTTTTTTTCCTGCCCCCAGCAACAAGTGTGCTAGCCCAAATCCCATCGCTTCGGGACCAATCGCGGCCCTTGCCTACTTACCAAAAGTGCAGCGACCGGGCTCTCAGGTCCAAGCCTGAATGTCAAGCCAGCAGCCACGGCTACCTCGAAAGGAAGACATACATCGCAAGACGACCGGCCTCGGCCGAGACGGCTTGCGATTGGAGTGCCTTGTTTGATGGCTGTCCCCGCGGATCTGAGCCTGGTGTTAATGTACAGGTGTGTGTAACGGAGTTCTCCGCCGAGTCCTTGAAATCATGCTGTGGCATGTCCCATTCCACAGCGTCGGATCTGGCTGATACGTATCGACTCTTGTTGGCGACCGTCTCACCGAGCCTGATTTTGTCATTCATACATCAATTACAAGCATGTAAACAATACATGTAGGCAAATTGCCCATTCTTCGTGATACTGTTGATGATACCGTAGTCAGCGTTTCAATCAACAGCCCGCATTCAGCACATGACATGGAGAAGATTCAGTTGGACCCCTTGATCAACCTCACACACCACCAAACCTGCACAATGACGAAGCCTGACGAACTTTTTTTTTTCTTTGTCACCGCAAAATAATTCTGCTGCCTGGATCACACAACGCACACACACACACATAACAAGCGGCAACCTCTACAGTGCCTGAGATGGCCGCTATCGAGACGATATTTTCCGCCAAAGAGCCAACTTCCCCTCGCCCGCAGTTTACTAGTCTGGTGAGTCGGCTCTCATTCAAGCCATCCAAGCCATCTTTCTCGACTCCTTTCTGGATCCGGCAAGTGGCCTTGTCCAGTCTGGGGATGGAGTCGGAACTCGGATCGGCTAAAGAGCGCAACCTTGTGGGAAATGAGCTGGGGATCATATTGATTTAGACATTGAGTGGTAGAGCGCCCGGCGTTCCGGTAGCTCTCCGACCCGTGAGCTCAGGATGCCGCGGTGCTGCCTGCCTTGCTTCCAGTTCTTTACGTGAAGATGTCGATACAGATCTCATGTAGTTGCTGTTGTGCTCAGCCAGATCAGCATTCTTGACTCGGTAAGACCAAGCCACTCGCAAGTACTGATACGCAACTGTCAACAGCAAAGGCGGGACTGCAGCCGGTCCAATAAGACGCAGACGGGTCGACAGCTTGCATCTATCCACCAGGCCACAGTCTTCAACGCCCAAGCCCGTCATAGTATCTGTATGTCTCAGACCAGCTTGTAAGACATGCATCGGGAACGTGCTCCAACCCGTACTGTACATGCACGAAGCGCCATTGGCCCTGCCCTCATCAAACATTGCATCCTTCCTCTTCCTTTTGCTGTCTTTACCAAATACTGAGTAGAGATTTGATGCCGTGTGCAAACGGTACTAGGAAGCGGACATGGTTGGCTCGGACTTGGAAGCACTTGACTCGAGCCGCCCTGCGCTACTGTTATTACCTGCCTCTTCTTATTAGTATTGCTCTGCCATTTGATCAATGATTCAAGGTGAATAAGGTCAAGCTTGAAGACTCCACCACCACTGCCGAAAGTCCACTTCGTCTCCCATTCCCCCGCAAAGCATTGATCAAGTCCTGATCCAGTAGGAGGGCATCGCCCCCAGGTCACGATCTCTTTTGCAGCGGCAGCAAGTCAGATGCCCGCCAACTCCTGTGAGGAAGCATCACCTGAACCAGTATCCAATTGCAATACCGAAGTATCAGCGTTTCCACTTGATCAGGTTGTCAAATATTAGATCGGTGCCCAAAATGGATTCCATAAGGTAGCAAGTTGCATAGCCCAAGCTAACCCAAGCACATCCAGTAACAAGGCAGAAATGGGCCACGATGCTCCTGAGACAGAGATGCACACCGAATCATGACTCGGTCGGTGATTTCAGGGGGCTCGGGGCATACACCACAATATGGAAGCCTAATTGACAAAGAATTTTGCTATGCTCTTTATTCATTTTTTCTTGCTTGTTCTCTTGAAGCCTTGGGGATTACACTTCAAAAGTGCCCACCTCGGGCCTGAGCTGGGGAACTTCTACGAACCCACGTGTTGTCGACGGCCTCGAAGAAAGAGAAGACGCCACTGCAGGTTTCTGTCTCGCGTGGTGCATCCACTTCTGTAGATTGGATGGCGTTTGGGTTCGTCTGATCAAGGACCAATTCTCATTGTTCTTTGTGGGGGAGTGTGGCGCGTTGGAGAAAGCCACATGCATGCAATTCTCATGGTTCAGCCATTGGGGGTTTTGTACGGAGTATAAGACTTGATTTTATGCCTGTGAAATTTTCAAGCTGAGAGATGACTGCGTGCGCAACCCAGCCATCCCATTACTCTCACCATGCCGATAGCATTGGCGATGGGATGGTGAGACTTTCCACATACAACATAGCCTACATGTTGTCTCGCACGCCCCATGCAGCAGTGTCTCTACATTTTCAGTTGCATGACATCCATGGACATGATAGCAACAGCAGCCAACCTTGGCGGTATTTGATGTGTAGCTTTCATCTTTATCCGTCTGTACCTGCATGCAGTCTGCAAGGTCCCATGTGCACGCCCATCGGGAAAGCCACAATGTCTTCATGAGGTGGTAGGCAAGAGATGAAGGACGTAAACGAACTCAAGTAGCCGAATGATTATGCTGAAAGACTTGAGAAGCGATTTGCTTTGGTATTCATGCTTGACTTTGAATATCAAACCCATCTACCTAATTTCCCAAATGCTAGTTGTCGCTCTGTTACCTAGTACTTCTGAAGCATCATCTACCTCACTACAAAACGCCAGGGAGTCTACAATACGTCTCATCCCAATAACCTTCTCTATCCCTTTTCAATCACCCCGTGAAGTTCTCAATGAGTGAATTTCATCTGGGTACTCTACGCAATGCCAGAGAAATATCAGAGATTTATAACTGTCCTTCTCCGTGTCATAATCGAGCCCGAGCAAGACGCCCCAACTCTACCCCAATCGCCTCACGACACTAACACCCACCCTTTTCCAAAAACCAACAACAATAGCTAGGCACAAAAGCCAAGAAGTGCTCAAAACAAGATTAAAAGCAAGAAGATGGCACCGCGAAGTTCATTCTCGATTGTTATCTCGTCTTCATCTGGAGTCGCATCTGGCCTACATTACATCTCAACATACATCACAGCTTACCTCCCCGCAATATCCACTTCTGCCCGAGACATGTGCCTCGCCTCGCCTCAACTCAATCACGTCATCAACACAAACAAACAACTATCAGATAACCATCCTCAAACCCCCATCAACTCTCTAATCTCATCAAAAACATCCATATGGGCATATAAAAGACCAAGAAGTGTGGGGGAAAAGATTACCGGTCTGTCAAAAATGGCCAAGTCGCCGGAGCAAACAGCGCTGCTGGCCGGCCACGAGTCTCCATCCGGCGACTCCTCTCCGCCTCCCGGCCGCTCGTCCGGCGCCGGGACATCGCACGGAGGACGAGGAGGAGCTTTGGGGGACCCGTCGTCGTCCCGGCCGGCAGAGGGGCCGAAGCACAAAGTTGGATTCGCTCGGGGGATCGCTGTCGGGGCGAGCTTGTTTATCCTCATCTTTCTTCACTGTATGTACAATCATCCAGTTCTCATCTGCATCACCCAGCACCATCTCCTCGCCCTGATACACCACATCAGTCTCATCTCATATTCACCTTTACCAGTCCGATATACAACATCACTAACGCCCTCCAGCAACAAACATGTCCGGCCTCACCATGATCCAAGGCCCCCTCGCATCCTCCCTCCACGCCCCCTCACGCGCCCAATCCCTCACAACAAGCTACCTCATCGCAATGTCCTCCCTCCTCCCCCCCGTCGGCCGCCTCGCCGCCGTCCTCTCCCCGCGCGCCGTCGTCCTCCCCTCCACCGCCTGCTTCGCCCTCGGCAGCCTCGCCGCGTCCCAAGCAACCTCGTACGCAGCCTTCCTCGCCGCGCGGATCATCATGGGCGTTGGCGGCGCGGGCATCGTCGTCATGGCGGTGGTGTTTGTGATTGAGCTCACGGGCCCCAGGGAAAGGGGCGTCGTGATCGGGTCTGTGAATGCGGCGTTTACCATGGGGGTTTCAGTTGGGGCGGCGGTGTATGGTGTTTTGGAGCCGGTTGTTGGATGGGTGAGTGTGTTCTCATATCGACCCCCTTCTTACGTCCCGTCACTTATACTGATGAACCTGTCTGTCCTCCTGATGCAGAGACCGCTCTTCTGGTTTCCGTCGCCAATAGCCCTCCTCGCAGGTGTCGGGCTCTATATCAGCCTCCCGGCATCCATGTCCCTGCCACCAGCAGAACAATCAGGCAAACCAGCTCCCCTGAGACAAAGACTCGCCAGCATAGACTATTTAGGCGCCTTTCTCCTCGTACGCCTCTCATCCCCTCTTTCCTCCCCACTTCTAACCTCAACTTCGACTTAACTAACACAAAAAGCAGACCCTCACCATAGTCCTCTTCCTCTACTCCCTCTCCACCGAAATCCACCCCCTCCCCCTCCTCACCTCCCTCCTCACCCTGTCCCTCTTCACACTCGTCGAGTTCCGCCTCGCCACGGACCCCATCATCCCCCTCTCCGTCCTCTCCTCCCGCCCCGTCCTCCTCTCCTGCCTCGCCCAGCTCGGCCTCATGACCGCCCGCTGGGCCATCCTCTTCTACACCCCGATCCTCATGCTCTCCCTCCGCGCGTCCTCCCCCGGCGAAGCCGGCTCCCTCCTCATCGCCACCAACATTGGCTTCTCCATCGGCGGCCTCGCCATCGGATGGCTGCACATCCGCCGCCAGGGGTCGTACTATCTCGCGCAGCTCCTTTCCTTGCTCGCCTTTACACTCACTGTTCTCGGCTTATCAGTCCTCACTCATCACGTCTCCCTCTCCTCCTCATCGTCACCAGCACCATCATCATCATCATCATCCTTCACCGCCTTCGTAATAACCGTATGCCTCAACGGCATCATCACAGGAATATCCCTAAACTACGCCCTCGTCCACATCCTCCACCTCTCCCACCCATCCACCTCCTACATTACCACAAGCCTCCTCGCCACGTTCCGCGGCTTCGGCGGCAGCTTCGGCACCTCCCTCGGCGGCGGCATCTTCTTCCGCGTCCTCCGCGCGCGTCTCGTCAGCGGCTTCCTTTCGCTCGACGACGACTTAGACGACGGCCCCCTGAGTCCCGAGAGGAGGAAGCTGATTGAGGAGCTGCTCGGGTCGCCGCAGCTCGTCTGGAAGGAGGGCTTCTTGTCGAGGGCGAGGGAGAGGGAGGTTGCGGTCCGGGGATATGCGGATGCCATCGGGAGTGTGTGGAGGGCTGCAGCGTGCTTGGGGGTGGTTGTCATTGTTGTGCAGGCTGCAGCTGGATGGGCGGCGCCTGAGGAGGAGGGGGAGCGGACGTTGCAGGAGGAGGAAGAGGAGGAGGAAGGATGATTAGATTACGTATAAGTGTATGTGTTAGTGCGAAGTTATACAGAATCACTTGATATACCGGGCATTTCGAGTAGAAAGGCTGCAGACACGTTGAATCCTTTACATTATCTTCAACATTAAATGCTTAGCTATTCAAAAAGCAATGTTCTCAAGGCCCCAGGTCAGGTAAAAACAGGAGCAAGGCTCACGCTTCGTTTCGTCATATCATACATGCAGTAGCCTACATGGCCCTTTTGTACAAGTTCCTCCTTCGATGAAAATACAAGCCCGTTTGTAAGATTTTGTCAGCGTATACATGCACGCTCCTGTCATTACAACTGTTCTTAAATACGAATCTTATGTCCAGCACAGGGGGGGAGGGGAGCCCGCCCATTCATCCACATTATCCGGAATCGTGAGAAAAGAACACAAGAAAGGCAGTGCCGTTATGGAGCGCCACCGCTGGTCAGGAAGTAATCCAGCTCGCTCTTCAACCCGCTGCTTTGCCGCTGCTCGTCGTTGGCTAGCTGCTCCAAGAGGCTCATGAAAGGATCCTTCTCCTCGCCCGTCGTGCCCGTGCTGCCCGTGTTGCTCTTTGTGCTGGGGCTAGGAGCCGTAGCTCCCGGCGTTGCCTGGCTGACCCCTGGTTGCCATGTGGGCGGGCTGTTGTACGCGCTGGCCGTGATCGTTCCAAACATAGCGTCGAAGCCTCCGCTGGCGTCGTTGATGACCTGCTGCTGAGGCACACCGCCTGCCGCGTGGGAAGGCCCCAGGTTGTAGTTGAACGCGGGGCTGAATGTCATCCCGGCCATGGAGGCCATGTTTCCTGGGCCGGGGTGACCTGGGTGTCCAAGACCGAAGCCAGCCATGGCAGGGTGGGCGGCCGAAGTGACGTCGACGGTGCTGCGCATGGCACTCATGTGGTGCTGTTGCCGGTGAGCATCCATGTGAGCGGGCATCATCTCGGCCATGGCACCCACCCCAGGCGTTGACGGGGCCGGCATCAGCCCATGCTGCATGGGTAGGGACTGGCGGGGATAGCTCGTGACCGTCATCGTGGGCGTGAGAGGCAGAGGTATGCCCTGGAGGGACGACTGGGACGGCTTTTTGATCTTGGGGTTCGGCCTGTTCTCCGTAGGCCAAGGAGACTGTACATCGGACAGGGGAGTCGGCTCGTTGGAGTAGTCGACCAGTTCGTCGGCCAGGCTAAGGTTGGCGGTATCAAAGTGGAAGGTCGGCCCCCCAGGCCCTCCAATGTTGGAATACCGGTCGAAAAAGTCCTCGAGCTGGAATCCGGGCGTGTACCGCATTGTGCTTCCGGTGATGGTCTTGACCAGCTCTCTGTGTGCCTCGTACAGTCGCTGGAGCATATCCCGTTGGTGCTGCACAATGGCCCAGGTAAACCGCAGGTCGCTCAAAAGCTGCATTTCGCGGGACAAAAAGTCTGAAGACGAGCTAAAGACGCTGATCTCGCCGCTGCCGCCCTGTTTGCCATAGTGGGCGCCGTGGATGTGGACGGTGCCGGCGGTGCAGATGCAGTAGCCCACAAAGGACGGCCACTCGATGGTCTGCATCTGCCTGCCGACCTCGGCGAGCTCCGTGATGGCATTCGCGTGGAAGAAGCACATGTTGGTCGCCTCGATCTGCCACGACTGGTGCTGCCCGTTTCCTGCCAGCTCAGCTAGGCTGATGGGGAGGAACGGACGGTAGATCAAGCAGTGGATGAGGTGGTAGATGAGCTTGCACAGGACAAGAACGGTCGAGTCCGGCTGGCCAAAGAGAACATCCATCGACGCGAAGATGCCGTCCGTGCCCGACGCCCACACATCGAGATCCTGTCTGATCTTGGACAGATTTGATAGCGAGTGCCAGGGGAAGTGCGAGTCGCCCTTGACGCCTCCAGCCGCCAGATACCGGTTCGTGACGCCGAGAATGCGCGTGATGTCGATGAGCATGCCCGAGCTACCCTGGGACTTTTTGCCGCTGCCCTGAAAGTACTGTAGATTAGATCCGCAGAGGAAGAAATCGCCGTCCACGGGAAGGCCGGAGACCGCCGGAGACCATGACGGGAGCCGTAATGCAATGGCATCATCGCCAATGAGGGATGGCCGCTTAGAGCCGGAGGCCGAGAAGCGATCCAGCAAGTAGCATGACCAAAAGAGCTGCCTCCGCGTTTCGCGTTCCATCGGTGTCACCTGTGCTTGCTGGTCCATCTCACGATGCAGTTCCAGTGCCATGATCATGCCAATGGCATTGGCTAAGCACAAGGTTAGAATGCAGTCCCGCTTTCAAAGAGTCAGCTTCCCGCGGGAACGTACTTATCAACATAAACGCCTTCCTCCCCTTGCCCGAGGCGGTATATGCAATCGCCAGTAGAACAATGGCCTGGAGATTGTCGATGGACGGCTCATCGATGTCAATGGCACTCCTGGCTCGAGAGGCATATTCGTCGCCCAGCTTGACAGCGGCCCGGAAACCGCGAGGATGTGGCGTGTGCCTGCGCAAGGGTTAAGATGACATGTACAGTTGCGATCCATGCGGGAGACATACCTGGCGGCGACTGCGGCAATGGCGTCAAAGAGAAAGGGGGGAAGCTGCTTGAGCTGAATGCGTTTCCGTATCGCCGACTCGTCAAAGATGTGAAAGGGCTTGTTGTGGAAGCGGTTAAAGTAGGTATCGAGAAGGGCGTCGGTCTGTATAGACGGGGTGGCGGGATCCCTGTGGCCTGGATCAGTACATGTATTCACCAAGCACAGCGGCCATGGAGCAACCAACCCAGCTGTCGACGTCTGTGGGGAGTACAACGGCAGCTCTGTAACGTTGGGCGTCTTGTCCTCGGTGGCTCTCCGCTTGGCGGCGGGTTCTGCAGTGTCTCGCTCGTCTGGCTGCCTCTTTGTGGATGGTTCAGCTGCTGCCGGCTGCTGTGTTGCCGCTGACGACGTCGTCTGCTCGCCTTCGGCGTTCTTCTCCTTGAGCTTGGCCTCCAACCCATCCACTCTCTTTAAGAGAGCCTCCAAGACATCCGTCTTTGGCCCGCGCTTCTTCGGTACAGCATCTAAGAGACCAGTGTATGAGCATTTCTGGTCCAATTACGTCCTGATGACAGCGGCGCTTCCAGGGAAGAAGCTGTCTCGGGCGAGGTCCGAGACACTCGGCTACCCGCTCCGAAAGCACCAGGCGACACAGGGCACGTTGAAGCTTACCGTATATACATGGACATTGAAACACCAAGCATGCTTCGCAAGAAGGACGAAGGCGATTACACTTGATCTAAAACCCAATGAGAAGAGACATGTCAGATGCTGCGCGCGGCACTCGATTTAAATGAGGGGCTACAGAGAAAGTCGCAGAGCAAGAGCTGAAAGACCTGCCAGGAGACGCAGCAACTCACCTTTCGCTTGCGGCACGACTTGCAGTTCATGGACTCGCGCGGCTCGGTGGTGACATTCCGCGCAGGCAAGCGCTCAATGCCAACCTGCGGCCGCTGGGGGGGCAAGGCCACAGGCTGCTGCGGAGGACGATGCGGAGCGTTCATCTTGCACGAGGCGGGCGAGGATGCGCGGGCGCCCGGTAGGAGTTGGCGAATGTCTCCGGAGATGAGTAGAAGAGAGGCCGCGCTGCAAGCAATGCGGGTTGCCGGCCGCCGCCAGCAGGGCGCCTAAGCGGTCGAAGGCAGAGCAGCACGAGGCAGCGGTATAAGAGTAGCAGACAGCAGAGGCAAAGCCAGATGTGGCGGGTGAAGCCGCTGCAGAGGAGGCGCGCAAGAGGGACGGACAGAGGCGGGCGAGCGGCGAACGAGGGCTCGGGGCAGCGGTTTGCGGCGCAAGCAATTCCGAGTTGGCGGTTATGGGATACGAGATGCCGGCGGCTTGCTGATACCCGGAGACCCTGGCGAGGATTGTCGGCGTGCTGGGCGTCTGTCGCGTCCGGACGAAAAGCAGCTGCAGGTTGGACGTCGGTCTGGTCGAGGAACTGCGGCGGCCGACCCACCGGGGATTGTTGGAGTGCTGGCTGCTTTTTGACCTGGAACTCGGCGTCGACGATGCGCTGGCGGAGGATGACGCGCGCCGGGAGGGAGAGACAAATATAGACGAGACACGCCGGAGGGATCGCGGACGCTCAGCTTGAGGCCTCGGAGCTGCTGCCTCGTTGGTGAGGACCCCAGGATGGAAAAGATGGATGAGATGCGATGCAGAGCATGGAGAGAGCAGTAGCATTGAGTCTGGTCTGAGCCGTCGGCAACCTCCAGCTTCTGCCTTAGCCCACAGGTCCCCGTCCAGGGCCGGGTCAGGGACAGGTACAGGTACTTGCCCATGTGCCCCGACAGCCACTGCAGCCGGTGCAGGCCCGTCCCAGCCTCTAACCCTTCTGAACCCGCTAGTCCTTGCAGCCCGCCAGCCCGCCTAAGCAGCCCCGTCAGTGGCCTCGATTCCAGCCTATCGCCAGAGGATGGCTGCTCCGCTTCCGCAGCCCGTACAGATACAAATGCCTAAAGCAGGATGGACAAGCATCAAGATGAATCCATTCCGTCCCTGTGGCGCTGCGCGGAATGGGATCTGAGCCCTCGCTCTGTCGCAGCAATTCGTAGCAACTCGGTGCCTCTCCGCTCCAAGATGGTGCCGTACTGTAGCATTGGTCCATTGATGAATGATTTGCTGTTCCTGTCCTGTCCTGTCCTGTCCTGTCCTGTCCTGTCCTGCGGCAGATGTTCCTGTGTCGGAGTGTCTGTAATGCACCCGTACCTGTACCTGTACCTGTACCTGCACCTCTCCAGTGTCTCATTACCCCATCCCCTCCCCCTGTGCTGATGCTGCTAGCGGTTTAGTGCCCTCGTAGCCCTACTCGCCCAGTTTGGAACCGCTGGAGCTCGCTCCCAATCGGCCGCCCTTGCTAATATCCTTCATCACGGCTTCTCCCCACTTGAGCATCCATGTCTCTCCCATCTGGTCACCTTGAGAGTACGAGCATGGAGCATCACAGCAGAATCGCTTCGGAGCATTTTGCACGAAATAGCATCAGACTCCATATTCGATTCCCATCATACATGCAGCCCAATCACAGACACCAGCCTTGCAGAGGTACAAGTACATCTCCGGCATCACATCCAAGTTCTACCAAGTCAGGACCCGGGACAGAGGGCGTCAAATCATGTATCTCACCCGCCCTCTGTTTGGTGGCAATCCGTCAACTCTCATCAGCCATGCAGTGAGAACCGCCCCATCACCCAACTCGCCAGTCACAGCCAGACATTCGCACGCATCGCACACCGAGAGCCAACCAAAGGCATCCAAGAGGCATCCGTTCGGGTGCTGATCCCGCGATGCACAGGCCGCAGGGCTCAGAGGGACCCGGCGACTCGTGCCGGTTCGTGATGCCATGTCCGTCCAGGATGATGTCCAAGTTTGGCATCATCGACGATGCGTTTCAACAGCCCCGATCAGCCGCATGGACCGTTTCCATAAGGCGGCGCAGATACAGGCCTCATCCTCACCACCGCCGTCATCTCACGCTGGATATCGGACCACACGCATCGAATCGCGGGTAGGGGAAGAGGGAACGAACTCTGAACGATGCCCAGGGCGCAAATCAGTGGCTTGCTTACCACATCAAGCCCGCATCGCCGTGTCAGGGGAGCCACACAGAGAGTGGGCTGCAGGCCAGGCCAGGGGAGGTGTCATGCTCGTTTCTTCTCTCTCCACGTCTTCCCGTTCGTTCCCCGTCGACTGCTGCTGCTGCTACCCTCCAGAGTCGCAACCGCGCAAGGCAAGCGACGAACCAACACCGGCTTGCTGGTTGTCGCTGCAAGGCGCAGCCGGCGAACAAGCAGCGGACCAGCGATTGAAGCCGAGAGACTCGTCTTTTTGGCCCGTTTTGCCATCTTGCCTTGCGCCGTTTTAGAGATGACCGGCCCCCAACTGCCGAGCTCACGGTGGCGGTGATATGCCGCCAAAGAGCCGACGCCGTGGGACGACTGCTGGGCCAAGCGTGTATGTGCGTGTGTCAGTTCGAGCGAGTGTGGGTGAGATGTGTGTCAATGCTACCTTACGAGTTGTCAACCTACTAAGTCGTATGAGGAGTTGACAGTTGTCTCGTCCCTTACCATCTTTCCGCCTCTCTTTGCCGACACAAGCTGCCATCGCCGACACATGTCAGTACCAGGCAAAGGGGAAAGCAAATGCTACATGTACCCTTCCCGCACGAATGGCTGCCTTGTGGGGAGTCGCCGGGGTTCGTGCCGCAGCGCACAGCACTGAACCCGGCACAGCAATCTTCTGCAACGCCTCGATGCCCCAGTTCAGCAAAGTTCCCCCTCCGGGTTCAATCGCCTTTGTACCATTAGCCCAGGAGACTCCCGGCAAACAGGGCTCCTGGCTGCTGGGCTGGCAAGCGCTGCTCTTCGGCTCAACCTCTCTTCAGGGGTCGCCTATCCCGTAGTTTGCACGCCAGCACAGCCAATTGCCATGACTAGCCGTGCCTGACAAGCTGCAATCTTGGAACTTGTGACGAGAATACTATCGAGTTGGAACCAAGAGTAAGACAGAAATAGACGAGACACCGCAAAAGTGAGCCGATTCTCCGTCACCCCCACGCCCAGACAAGGTCAGACGGTGCACACAAAACACAAGACGGACGAATTGCATCTACTGACAAGATTGTGCAGCCTCGCTCTGCCCGCAAACCGTGAATTCTAGGGCTCTAGCAATCAGAATCACCAGCAACCAGGACTGAAAGAACAAAACGGGAAAATAAACGCCAGCCTTAAAATGAGCGACACCCGCCCTGCACCATGCAGTCTTTGTTTTTCCTCGGCGATACTAGGCACATCTTATCTCATGTCTTGCTTCTCAGCTCTCCCCCCTGCTCTTCTTCTTCTTCTATCGTGTGTTTCTCTCTGTTTCTCTCTCGAAACGGGATTCAACTCTATCTATAAGCACAAAGTCCTGCTATCATGCGCAAGCGCGCATCTAGGGCACCCTGTTCGAGCTGAGAGCCCCGGGATTGGGGCCATGATGCATGCATGTAGACTTACTCGTCCTCGTATTCTCGTAGCGCCCTTTGCGCTTCTTTCATCATGCCACGATGCCTCGCAAGCGAGATCTTGGAAAATGGTCGCTTAAGCGCGCTCCCTCTTGTTTCTTTTTCTCGTAGCCGTGCTTGTCTCTCTTTTTTCTTCTCTCTTGTAGCCGAGGTTGTCAGTGAGACTGAGCTTTGTAATACAGTACATGTATCCGGGATGCACGTGTACTGGGTCAGCTTGAACTTCGTCTCACTGTGAATTAGTGATCTCGTTAAGGTTATGCTATGGCTTGAGGATCCGGCGAAAGAGCTTAAGCCTATGCATAGAGCAGCAACTCTCTTCAACAAATCTTAACTCCTATCGTAGAGACAATGGTCGAGTTGCTTTTCTCTCTTCTATAGCAACAACCAACCAACCAATTCTAGGGCAACCTGGGTGAGACGATAACCGACTTGTTCCTTTCTTCTCTCCAGCAACAACCCGTTCAGCCCAGAAAACGCAAACGAGCACCACCAGACCCCTGAATCGACACCTACAGTACATCCAATGTATCCCCCCTGCCAGCCCAACGTCCCTCCCTCCCTCCCGCCCGCCAACAGCAGAGAACGTGAAGTCTGGGGACAGCGTAAAAGGTTAATGGGCGCATCTTGCCTTCACATGTACTGTAGCATCCGTTCTCATAAGGCTCATCCGAACATCCACACAACATGAACACCAGGCCACCACCACCAGCCTTTTCGCCAAAGCACGTCCATGACTCGGGTGCGTTCACGTTCTCCCTCACATTACTCGCTCGTGCCTATCCCGTTTTCTGGAGCTTGTACCTGACATCGACGATATAGACGAGGACAGGAATAGAATTCCCTGCCCTACCGAGCTACAAGACAAGGTAAGAAGCAAAAGGATCTGCAGTACTTTGTAGCAACTTGTGTAGGGGGGGGGGTCCGGTAAATCCGCAGCATCTCGGCGTTGTCAAATCACATACAATTACTACTAGCAGTAAATGCAGAGACGAACTGGAGACTCGGGAGTCGACCGACCGCAGTATCTCTCCAAGTACATACAACCCCCATCGTTACAGCCCCTCCTCTTTCCTCCCTCCCTCTCCCAATTCTGGCCGAGGAAACAAACCTTTTCAAGTCCCGCATCGAAGAGGAGGGCGGCGATCGACTAGTATCCTGAAGCATCAAATCCAGCCCTATGAACTCCATCCGGTCAAAGCACAGAAATACCCAACAAGGACAATCGGACCATCAATACCACTATAGGAAATTCCTATCCCGTCATCAGAAGTTCCTTCGTCAGTTCTGGACTATTTCCGTTACTATAAAGTACTTCCTCGTAATACACGTAGGGAACATAAGAGCAGTATTCCATAAAGCCCCCTCCGACTATACACCAAGTCAAACCCCCCTCCCCTCCCCTCCTACACGGCCCTACCTACCTATCAGATCCATCCCTTCCAAGTTTCTTCAACTTGGTCCCCCAAAAGGCAATGTAATCTTGCCGCCCGGCTG